TCGTCGGCAAAAAGGGGGAGAGTATTTCATACATTAAAAAAAGAACATTTGGACTTGATTTGCTTACAAGAGACGCATGTGACAAGGCTATACCGGAAAATTTTGATAAATAAAAGATTGGGAGAAGAATTTACTTCATCGGACAATGTGAAAAAAAGAGGAGTAGTACTCTATGCAAAGGAAAGCCTGTCACCAAAATTTATATTTAAAGATGATCAAGGAAGATATATAGCAATTGAAATTCAGTTTCATGGACAGAAGTTTTTGATATTAGGTGTCTATGCACCAAATGAGGGAAAATCAGAATTCTTTAAAAAATTGCACGAAACCCTATTGGATTATTTGGATTACAATATTATTTTGATGGGAGATATGAATGGAGTAGTGTCTACAAATATGGATAAAGCCCAAAGACAAACGGTGACGAAAGATGGAAGATTACCAAAGACATTTTTTGAAATGACTGACAATATGGATCTGGTGGACATTTGGAGAATAAAGAACCCCTTGGAAAGAGAAGGAACTTTCTTCTCTGAAGCAAAAATGACATGGACAAGAATAGACCAAATCTGGATAACTAGGGGACTGGCCCCTAGGATAAAAAAAGCGGTGATTTGCCCGAAAATTTGCTCTGATCATAATCCAGTAAAGATTGAAATGATACTAACGCCAATTGGAGCTTTCAGATGGAGGATGAATGACTCTTTGTTTAGGAATGAGGAAATTATTAAAAGGCCCAGAAAAACTTGAGAGACTATTTTGAGATAAATATGAACACTACGACCGAGAAAAGAGTGATTTGGGATGCTAGCAAAGCGGTGATGAGAGGATTTCTGATACAACAAAATGCAATTAGGAAAAGATATCAAAATGAGAAGAGAGAAAAAATTCTGGAGAAAATTAAGGATGGAGAAAAAGACTGAGGGCGAAACCGAACTCACAGGAGATCTTAAAAGAGATAAAGTTATACCAAGTACAATACATGAAATTGATGAATCAGGAGATAGAATGGAAGGTCAAACAGATGAAACAAAAGACCTTTGAATCGGCAAACAAGTGTGGGAAACTACTGGCTTGGCAAATGAAAAAAAGACAAAAGCTGAATACGATTACGAATTTGGTAGTAGAAGGGAAGAATATACAGAACCCTGGAGAGATTCGGAAGTGCTTTCAGAATTATTTTAAACAGCTATACATGCAGGAGACCCAGAAAGAATTAGACATTGATCGGTTTTTTAAAATTAACGGATTACAAAAAATATCTCAAGAGAGCAAATCAATATTAAACTCTATAATATCTGACCAAGAGGTGGAAGGAGCCATTCAGAATATGAAACTGGGCAAATCTCCAGGACCAGATGGTTTAACTGCAAAGTACTACAAATCTTTGAAAGAATGGTTAATGCAACCTTTGAAAGAAGTTTGCAATGAAATACTACGGGGAGGAAAAGCACCCGAGTCGTGGAAAGAAGCATATATTACACTTATACCAAAAACTGAAGTGGAAAAGACACAGTTGAAGAACTACCGTCCCATATCCCTACTTAATGTGGATTACAAAATTTTTGCGGAAAGTATGGCTATAAGATTAAAAATGTATTGGTGAAAGTGATTCATAAAGATCAGGCGGGCTTTCTCCGGGGAGACATCTGTCAGATAATACGAGGAATATTATTAATATTCTAGAAAAATTGCAAGTTAATATTAATACTAAAGCGGTTTTAATATTTGTAGATGCGGAGAAAGCCTTTGACAATATTTCTTGGAACTTTATGAAGAAAAATTTGCAGGGGATGGGGTAGGCCAAAGTTTTGAAAATGGTATAGGTGCAATTTATTCGGAACAAAAAGCTAAGCTCATCGTAAATAATGTAGTCACAGAAGAATTTAAGATAGAGAAAGGAACAAGACAGGGTTGCCCAATCTCCCCACTGCTTTTTATATCGGTCCTGGAGGTTTTGCTCAATATGATTAGGAAAGACCAATTGGTTAAGGGTATACAACTCGGAGCTAAACAGTACAAATTGAAAGCTTTTGCTGATGACTTAGTTTTGACACTACAGGAGCCAGAATCCAGTACAAAAAGAGTATTGCAATTAATTCAAGAATTTGGTCAAGTAGCAGGTTTTAAATTGAATAAGATGAAAACTAAGGTATTAGAGAAAAACCTTACAGAGATTGAGAAAGAGAGGTTTCAGAAGGAGACAGGATTAACATTAGTAAATAAAGTGAAAAATTTAGGGGTGTATATGACTGCTAAAAATGTGAATTTGTTTAAAGATAATTATGAAAAATGTTGGTTAGAAGTAAAGAAAGATTTGGAAATATGGTCAAAATTGAAGTTATCATTGTTGGGCCGAATTGCTGCGATAAAGATGAATGTATTGCCTAGAATGTTGTTTTTGTTTCAAACATTGCAAATTGTGGACAAAATGGACTGCTTCAAGAGGTGGCAAAGAGATATTTCTAAATTTATCTGGCAGGGCAAAAGCCTAGAATAAAATTTAAAATATTAACAGATGCAAAGGAAAGAGGTGGATTTGCCCTGCCAGATCTTAAACTTTATTATGAATCAGCCGCATTTTGCTGGCTGAAAGACTGGCTACTTCTTGAAAATACGGACATTTTGGACCTAGAAGGTTTTGATAATGTGTTTGGATGGCATGCATATTTATGGTATGACAAGGTTAAAGCGCATAAGGCCTTTAAGAACCATATTGTCAGGAAAGCATTGTTTAATGTTTGGGTGAGATATAAGGATTTGTTGGAAAGTAAAACACCAAGGTGGCTGTCACCAATGGAGGCTAAGGCTTTGAAAAAAACTAATATGGAGACAAACTGGCCAAAATACTGTGAAATTCTAGAACAAGTTGGAGATAAACTAAAGCTGCAGAGTTTTGACAAATTAAAAACTAAAGTTCGAGACTGGCTTCATTATTATCAAATAAGGGAGGCTTTCAACCTAGATAAAAAGATTGGTTTCCAGGAGGAAAAATCCAAACTGGAAACCGAATTGTTAGAGCCTAAAATTAAGAACCTGTCAAGAATGTATAACTTGCTGCTGAAATGGAATACACAGGATGAAACGGTTAAATCTGCTATGATTAAATGGGCACAAGATGTTGGACATAACATTATGTTTGCTGACTGGGAACGGTTATGGACCACAGGTATGAAATTTACGGCTTGTAATGCCTTAAGAGAAAATATAATGAAAATGATTTATAGGTGGTACTTAACCCCAGTCAAGCTAGCAAAAATCTATCATTTGCCTGATAATAAATGTTGGAAATGTAAAGAAAACGAAGGTACTTTCTTTCACCTTTGGTGGACGTGCCCAAAGATCAAGGCCTTCTGGGAAATGATATATAATGAATTAAAAAAGGTATGAAATATACTTTTCTAAAGAAACCAGAGGCCTTCCTCTTAGGCATGGTCGGCCAATTGGTGCGAAGGGAAGATAGAACTTTTTTTATGTATGCGACAGCAGCAGCAAGAATACTTATTGGGAAATACTGGAAGACACAAGAATTGCCTACCCGAGAAGAATGGCAGATGAAAGTGATGGACTATATGGAACTGGCTGAGATGACCGGCAGAATTCGAGACCAGGGAGAAGGGTCGATGGAAGAAGATTGGAAAAAATTTAAAATATATCTTCAAAAATACTGCAACATAAAAGAATGTTAGAAAGAGGTTGGAAAAAGAATATTAGGTCGTTTTGGCAGATATGACATAATGGATTAAGTAAAAATGAAGTATAGAAATTGAGGATAGAGGAGGATTAATTATATTATTGAATGTTAAAATAAGTAAATGAAAAGAAGGTTAGAAGGATTTGCTGGAAATACGATTTAAACTAGAATACAAAGCGGGGAGGTGAGAGGAAGTCACGGAAATAAGTAAAAGGGAAAAAGGTTGTAAAGGTTTAATTCGATTTTTGTTATATCTCATTGTAATGTATTTTTATATTTTTTGTTGAGTTTTTCTTACTGTCTGTTTTTTGTTATATGTTCTATTCTATTTTGTATGGTTTTTTCTTCTTTTTTGTAATCTTAAAATTGGAATAAATATTTTAAAAAAAAAAAAAAAAAAAAAGAAAGTGAGAAGGCCTTACAAAGTGAAACAAACTTTAAAACCAAGCATAAAAACTTAAACAAGCCTGCCTACACAGCATACAATTAAAATGCATTTAAAGCACAATCTACTTCCAATAAAGAATCTGTAATTTACACACACACACACACACACACACACACACACACCCCCCTGAGCTACAACTCCCAGCACCCTTAACAAACTACAATTCCCAGGATTATTTGGGGGGGGAGGGGTAAACGTACTCAAAATGTGCTTTCCATCACGTGTTTGCAGCATACAATAAAACACTGGAAAAAAGCGCATCTGCAAAGGGCAGAACTAATTCATCCCACCCGTCTTAAAAAGCTGAGCAAAAATGCATAAAAAAAGAGGCCACAAATAGGCTTAATACCCCCTCCAGATTAAGGACCCCAAACCTGGATGAACGCTAGGGACGTTTTGCCATATGCCTAAAAGCAGAGCATCGCAAGGGGGCCGTTTTTGCAAAAACTGGGTTGTGAAAAGGCAAAGGCGGCCGGCTTTCTCCTCCTGCAGAGCTATTATTGCAGACTCGCAAAGGCCGAGGACCTTCTGACTCAGCCTTGAGATTCCATCACAGGCGGCAGAAGGAAGGTGGTTCTTCCACATACCTTGTCCAACCAGCAAGGGCTGCTGCTGCTGCTATTGTGAGATCTATGCTCAGCTGAGCTCCCTTGCCACCGAAAATTCAGAGCAGAGCAAGCGCAGCAGGGCTCAGCAGCAGAGCTGAACCGGAGCTGGCGTTTCAGCTTTCCAGGAGAAACACGTGCGTGGCTAATTCCTCCCCACCTGTCTTTTTTATTTTTATTTTTATTTCCCCCCCTTCCTCCCCACCCCTGCCCATCCTTCTCCTCCTTCAGATGCTGAGCCAGCCGGGAGAGGATGGGGCAGGTGGCCTGGAAAGCTCTGTGCCTGTCGCTGTTTGATTATAAGACGGAGAAATATGTCATCGCCAAGAACAAGAAAGTGGGGGTGCTCTACCGAGTGGTCCAGCTATCCATCATGGCCTACATTGTGGGGTAAGGAAAGAATCTTTGCTCTTCCTTTTCTAAAAAAATAATAATTCTGCGTCATTGATACGCACGCACAGTAAAACCAGGCTGGTCCTTCTCCGTCACCTTTCCTGATGTATCTTGCTGATCAGAGAATCATGGAATTATAGAGCTGGAAGGGATCCCAAGGGTCATCCAGACTGACCCCGTGCAACGCAGGAATCTTTTGGCCAACGTGGGGCTCGGACCCACAACCCTGAGACTGAGAGTCTCATGCTCTGCTATTGACGGATTATTTGCTGGCTTGTGCTGCTCAGCTCGAAAGCCGAAATGCAGGGAAACGTCGCAAACTGACTTGCACCAGGTCAGGAAACCGGCCTGCCTACACCCAGTGTTGCCCGCTCTGAGCGGCAGCTGCTCTCTGGGGTTGCCTTGGGCAGAGCAAAGGGTCCTCTTTGTTGCCAGATCCTTTGAAACGGGAGAGGCCAGGAATTGAACCCAGAGCCTTCCCCCATGCACAGGAGTTGTGAGATTTAATAGTTGTGAGATCCCCAGCCGAAGAAGGGTGGGGGGTCGGGGGGGCTGGTGTGTCGCTGGCCAGAACCCCCTGACCTTTGAGCCCGCCTATCAGGGCTCATCCTACAACCTGGAAAAGCTGCAGGGAATAGGCTACATTTTTAAAAACACACTGGCGTTTGGATTTTGCAAGTTTGCACTGATTTTGCTCGATGCCAAACATTCTGCTTCTTTGGGGATGGGCATAAAAGCTCTGTTTCAAGGCTGGGCAACCCCAGATTTATTTATTTTTTGCAGGGGGGTTGTCAAGATGTTGTTTGGGTAGAGGGGGCTTCTAACTGGTGGTGTGGGGGCCAGGATCCTCAGCCACCAAGGGAGACAGAGAGGGGAGTGTTTGGGCTTTGAGGGCAGCAGCTGGGCACAGACCAGCAATGCCGACTAGGACTTTGGCAGATGCCCAGAATGTTGACTGCCGTTACCCATGTGGTTTATGCCTGTCGTTCCAAAACACTTCTTTCTCGGAAACGGCTGCTTCAGAGTCTCCAGGGTGGGCATGTCCAGGGTGCCTGCGTCGCATTGCACCCAGGAATAGCTCTCCGCCGGATAGGAATGGGACATTTGCCGGCAAAACACCACCCTTTTGTGTGTGGGGGGGGGTGTCTTCCTGGTGGGCATCTGCCGCACACACGTCGTTCAGCTTGCGTCTCTCCCTCCCTGCTGACAGAGGGCTACCAGAACGTCTGCGCTTTGTTGTGCAAAAAGTTCTCCCGCATCTCGTTCCAGGTAGAGTGCTCCTAAGCATGGGGTTTCTACTTAGCAGTCGGTTGACAGACCTCTTTAGACACAGTCTATTTAACAATAAATAAATACTGGCTGGCGAGTGAGGGTTGTCAGTTGCTTTTAGCCACCACACCTGAATAGAACCTCCACAGTCAGGCGCAGTGCACCTTGCCGTACCAGATGCTGGAGACAGGTATCAAGGGCGTTGCTGTTGCCTCCTGCTTGGGAGCATCAAAAAATACCTGGCTGTCCTCTGTTGGTAACAGGACACTGGGCAGAATTCCTCAGCTTTCCCCTGTTCCAACAAGGCTCTTTTTGTTTTCATTGGTCCCAAGAGAATGAAGAGCTTTGTAGACCCGCAACCATTTTCCATGGTAGATATAGTGTTGGATTCCTAGGAAACAGAAGGACTCCGTTTGTCTTTATGATCTGAAAAACCTTTCTCCTGATCACTCATGCGGGAGACGTTCCATAGTTATCCACCGGTGGTGAGGGAAATGCACTCTGGACATGCTCAGGGGCACTCTCGCCTCTTCTTTTTCCAAGGAGTACTGCCTCCAGTTATGGATGCCACATGTGAAGGAGGGTGTGGACAAACTGGAACCTAGAGGAAGGGCAGCCAGGAGAACAAGGGACGTGAATACCAGGTCATGTGTGAAGCCACAGCTGAAAGAGAGCTAAGTGTGGTTAGCTTGGAGGAAAGACGTTTAAGGGTTAGGGAAATGACAGCCGTCTCCAAATAGCTGGACGGCTGTCACATAGAAAATGGAGCAGACTTGTTCTCTGTCGCTCCACAGGTCGGGATTTGAACCCGGCGCTCAAAAATTACAGCGAAGCATATTTCAGCAAGACAGCAGGAGGCAGTTCCTACTTGTAAGGAGAGCTGTTCAACAGGGGAACAGCCTGTATTTGGAGGCAGCGGACTCATCCTGCATTGCAGATCCTGCACTGAGCAGTGGGTTGGACTACATGAGCTCGAGGGTCCCCTTTGCGACCCTGAAATGCTCTGATTCCATTCTGCCTTGTTTCCTTCATTCCCCATTTACCACTTGCATTTCAGGGTATTTGCAATGACCGGCTGTGGGCGAAAGTGAGGGCTGGTAATCTCAGAGTGGGGTTTTTGTGGCTGATGTTGGCGCAGACTGGGCACTCTGTACATGTTCAGTTTGCTTTGGTCCGGCGTTTCCATAGTACAGGATTGTAACAAGATGATTGGGTCGGGACCAGTGCAGGGAATGGATATCTCTGGCCCTATGTATCGAGAGCGAAAGGTGTATTGCACGGATTTTTCCAGGAGGACTGAATGCAGAATTTATTATTTCCAACATGCTTCACAGCAAAAGTGTGTTTGTGTGTGTGTTGCTGTCCAACCCGTCAGAAAAATTTACAATTCTGGGCATATTTATTCAGAAATAAACCTCTGTTTTCCAAGCGCTTTGGAAGTGCATTTGGGAACTGCACACAGACTCAGATGATTAATGGATCCATTGAATGGATTGATTTAATCAGCTAAAACATCTGCATATATTAACAAACCCGCAATGTCCCCGTCCCACTGGAGGTTTAAAGGAGACTTGTTTTGTTGAGTCGGTACAAAATGGAGTTGGTGGTGGGGCTGAAAATGGTCGTGGGGCTCAGGAAGAAAATGGGAATCCTTCCGGTATCCACGGGTTTCTTTTAAAAACCACAGTTCCTTTACAAATAATCTGGTGCTCAAGTTATAGAAGGACGTGTGAGAATTTAAATCAGCATGGATTTTCTGATTGAGACAGATGTTTTGAGACTACAGTTCCCATCATCCCTGACCACTGGTCCTGCTAGCTAGGGATCATGGAAGTTGTAGGCCAAAAACATCTGGAGGGCTGAGACTGAGGAAGCCTGGATCCTCAGGGTCCCTTCCAACTCGATGATTCTCTGAAAGGTTCTGGGTTCGATTCCTTGCCAGAGTGGTGTAGTGGTTAAGAGCGGTAGTCTCGTAATCTGGTGAACCAGGTTCGATTCCCCGCTCCTCCACATGCAGCTGCTGGGTGACTTTGGACTAGTCACACTTCTTTGAAGTCTCTCAGCCCCACTCACCTCACAGAGTGTTTGTTGTCGGGGAGGAAGGGAAAGGAGAATGTTAGCCGCTTTGAGACTCCTTCGGGTAGTGATAATGCGGGATATCAAATCCAAACTCTTCTTCTTCTTCTTGCATTGATGAAGAATCTCATCTTAGGGGGATTGAAAGCTCCCCACATTGGAAAGCTTCTGCCAGTCAGTGCATGTAGACAAGGCCAAGCGTTCTTCCAGACTGTCGCTATCTATTGAATCAGTACCAAACAACTTCCGGTGCTCCTGATTAAACTTTTCGTTCCAGACCATGAGGACTAGAATCTTGCTTTGTTTTTAGGGAATGCTCAGAACTCGGTGGTTATGCAGAAGGTGTCAGGTCCAGTTCCCAATGGCACCCCCAGGGTGGGCTGAGATATATTCCCTGGCTGAAACCCTGGAGAGCTGCTGCCAGTCGGTGCAGACAACACTGAGCTAGATGGACCATTGGGGCTGACTCTGTCCTCTGCCTGCAACTGGCTTTCAGCTGCTCTTCTGCAAAGCCCCATTCAGCACAGATCAGGTTGCCATGGCAGCAACGTGGAGGATGCTTTAGCGCAGTGATCGTCGGTGCTGCAGAATTTGGGAGCAGGCGTGGCCCACCGTGACTTCACGTCCCACGGAGGTGGCAAACCCTTCTCAGCCCAAGGACAACCACTTAGGGGGCAGATGCCTATAGGGCTAAAAGGGGCTCTCTCCTGCCAGGCAAACCATGTGTGCTTCTGCCCATCGCTGCCCCCCCTGAAAATCTCCCTCATTTCTGGCAATTCTCTCCCACACGAGGTAGTGATCGGCCCCCAACCTGGATGGCTTTTTTTTAAAAAATAAATTTTATTTTTGTATTTTCTGTTTTGCATAAACGAATGGATTAAATACATATACATATACATATACATATACATATAACCCCTTCTGACTTCCCTCCCCCCACCGTGGATCTGAACGTAATGATTTCCCCCTCTGCATCTCTATCGTAAGTCTATTTTTATAAATCATTAGTTCAAGTTTTTACCACAAGTTTTCTGTCAATCCTACCAATGTATGTAATTGTTTACAATAGTCCCCCCCCCCCAAATAAATCATAAACTTTCCCCATTCTTTATTAAAGACCTCCTCTTCCTGGGTGTGGGTGGGTGTGTTTAAATTTTCTGTTTTACAATTTAAAATACTTATTTCAACATCCTTAAAATATCAACGACTTCCCTTTCCGTGGTTCATTTTGCATATCATAAATCCCTGCGTATTTTACAAAAACGAAACCGTTCAGTGTTCCATTATTACATCTGTCCAAACTTATTTGCACAGCTGAATTTATCTTAATGCTGCTAAACCTCTTCCTGGTTTCTAATTCTTCCCGTGAATTTTGCCATCTGGACACTGTTCATCAGTTTTGTCCATTTGGCTTTAAAAGAGGAACCGGGCAAATCCACGAAGGAGGATAGAGCCACTGTCCCTCCACCAAATACTGTACCAGTTTGACGAAGGCTTCTGTTTCTTTCTCTGGCCAGATGAGTCCGAGCAGGGGTAGGCAAACTAAGGCCCAAGGGCTGGATCCGGCCCAATCGCCTTCTAAATCCGGCCCACGGACGGTCCGGGAATCAGCGTGTTTTTACATGAGTAGAATGTGTCCTTTTATTTAAAATGCATCTCTGGCTTATTTGTGGGGCATAGGAATTCGTTCATTTGTTTTTTCAAAATAGAGCCCGGCCCCTCACAGGGTCTAAGGGATATATAGTCCGGCCCCCTGCTGAAAATGTTTGCTGACCCCTGAGTCAGAGGAAGAAACACAAGCCGTCATTCACTTCCCTGAGTTGATGTCCTTCTTCAGCACAGATGCTGAAGGAGAAGCAGAGGAGTAGATTCCAAGAAGGAGCCCAAGGCGATAGGTAAGGCAGATTGTCCTAGTTCTAGGGGTTGCGCCGACCCTGCGAGGTAGGACGGTTGTGGCGCTGGAATGCCTTTGTTGGGTCTCGATGAGCATCTGACATCCGGTTGTGAAAGCTCACCAGTATCCTCATCCTCCATCCAACGCAGGACTCTCTTGCCATCCATCTCCTCCCCTCTGGTTGTGATGCTTCTTGAAATCTGTTCCTCTGCTCATCTTTCCTGTTCGTATCCTTCTTTTCTTCCGAGGAGCTCGAGGTGGCAAGCAGACAAGTCCTCCCTATTTTTCTCTTTCTTTATCAATCACTCATAGCTGAGTAAGATTGTCTTCCATAAACACGGTTTTAACAATGAGTCCCTAAGTGACTGTGGAGGCCAATTCTGGATCCACACATCCTTCCACAGTGGGGACATGGGTTTCCGGGCGGGAGTTGATCCTCAGGCTGTGCTTAGCAAGTAGGAAGCAGCAAACAATGCGTAATTTAAAAAATATAAGATCAAGCCGTTATACCAATCTGTCCCCCTGCCCCCATCGTTCTGCCCGGACACTAAGGCCTAGCTCCAAGGAGGGCCTTCTGGCGGTTCCCACACTGTGAGATGTGAGGTTACAGGGAACCAGGCAGAGGGCCTTCTTGGTGGTGGCGCCCGCCCTGTGGAATGCCCTCCCATCAGATGTCAAGGAAATAAACAACTATCTGACTTTTAGAAGACATCTGAAGGCAACCCTGTATCGGGAAGTTTTTAATGTTTGATGTTTTATCGCCTATTATTATTATTATTATTAGGGATGCGGGTGGCGCTGTGGGTTAACCCACAGAGCCTAGGGCGTGCCGATCAGAAGGTTGGAGGTTCCAATCCCCGCGACGGGGTGAGCTCCTGTTGCTTAGTCTCTGCTCCTGCCAACCTAGCAGTTCAAAAGCACGTCCAAGTGCAAGTAGATAAATAGGTACCGCTCTGGCGGGAAGGTAAACGCCGTTTCCGTGTGCTGCTCTGGTTCGCCAGAAGCGGCTTAGTCATGCTGGCCACATGACCCGGAAGCTGTACCCCGGCTCCCTCAGCCAATAAAGCGAGATGAGCGCCGCAACCCCAGAGTCGGCCATGACTGGACCTAATGTTCAGAGGTCCCTTTACCTTTATTATTATTATTATTATTAATCTGTTGGCAGATGCCCAGAGTGGGTGGGGTAATAGTAATAATAAATTATTATTATTATTATTATTTTTACACAGTTTCCTTTGAGCTGGGGAACAGAAGCCAAGAGAAACATCAGCATCATTATGTGTGCAATTAAAACACAGCATTTTTTCTATAAGTTGCAGAATTCTACTTTCCTTAGGGAGATACTATGGGTTGCCCTTTTTTAATTTTTCTGTCAGGGCAGTGTGCACGAGTTTTCACTTGGGAGACGGCTGATGTGCTGACCCAGATCCCTGTAGACATCAAAGGAGAGCAAATTGCTTCCCTGTGGCCAAGATGCCTCTCTGACGCGTGGGCGCTCAAGGATGTGACAGTCATTTAGGTGGCACGTGGCTGTCGAACGACATACTTTCTGACGCAGCTGTCAGCGTTTAATTACGGTACATTTAATTCCCTGCTTCCGCCTGGGCTCGGCAATTCAGTAATTTAAGCCACGTGGAGGTGGTGATACCTTCAAGATTTCGTTTAGGAAGAAAGCAGACTCCCCACCCCCCTGAGAATGCCACCAGCTTTCTCTCCCCACCACACATGGCTGCGGTGACTTTTACTAGCTGTGTGACAGGCAGAAATTCAACAGGGAATGCTTTATCCTCCCCATAGAGAAGCCAGTGGCTTGCTTTGCCTTGCAGTTCCGGCTGCGGTATGCAGAGAATTCCAAAGTAGGGAAAGGAGTCAGTCCACAATCCAATCTGTGCATCAGGAGGGATGGAGTCCTGGTCACCCCGAGACTCACAAAGGGAGACACCAATGAGTGCCCAAGTGCTACTGGCAGCAATTCCTAGGACTTCTAGCTTCCAGCTGGAAATATTCCTGGAAATGAAACCCCTTCCAAAGTGGCCGTAGTAGTAGTAACAACAACAACAACAACAACAACAAAAATAAAAATAAAAATAAAAATAATTAATAATTATTTATACCCCACCCATCTGGCTGGGTTTCCCCAGCCACTCTGGGCAGCTTCCAACAAAATATTAAAAACACAATAAAATATCAGACATTACAAGCTTCTCTGCTGTAATGTTTTTAACACTCGATTGGGAGCTGCCCAGAGTGGCTGGGGAAACTCAGCCAGATGGGCGGGGTATAAATTTATTATTATTATTATTATTATTATTATTATTATTATTATTATTATTATTATTATAAACAGGGCTGCCTTCAGATGTCTTCTAAAAGTCAGACACTTGTTTATTTCCTTGACATCTGATGGTAGGGCGCTCCACAGGGCAGGCACCACCAACCAGAAGGCCCTCTGCCTAGTTCCCTGTAACCTCACTTCTTGCAGGGAAGGAACCGCCTGAACCTCAGTGTCCGATCTGAACGATGTGGGTGGAGACGCTCCTTCAGGTATACTGGACTGAGGCCATTTAGGGCTTTAAAGGTCAGCATCAGCACTTTGAAATGCGCTCGGAAACATACCAGGAGCCAGTACAGGTCTTTCAGGACTGGTGTTATGTGATCTCGGCGGCCGCTCCCTGTCACCAGTCTAGCTGCCGCATTCTGGATTAGTTGCAGTTTCCGGGTCGCCTTCAAAGGTAGCCCCACGTAGAGCACGTTGCAGTAGTCCAAGCGGGAGATAACCAGAGCATGCACCATTCTGGTGAGACAGTCCGCAGGCAGGGAGGGTCTCAGGCTGCGTACCAGATGGAGCTGGTAAACAGCCGCCCTGGACACAGAATTGACCTGCGCTTCTACGGACAGCTGTGAGTCCAAAATGACTCCCAGGCTGCGCACCTGGTCCTTCAGGGGCACAGTTACCCCATTCAGGACCAGGGAGTCCTCCACACCAACCCGCCTCCTGTCCCCCAAAAGCAGTACTTCTGTCTTGTCTTGTCTTGTCAGGATTCAACTTCACCCGCCATCCATCCTCCAACCGCCTCCAGACACTCACACAGGACATTCTCCGTCTCTTTTGTGCCTGGTTTGAGCCCTGATTTTTAATTCCGCCCAAGCCCCAAGAACTGACTTCTGATGGAACATTAGCAGCTTCCTTTATTGAAGCAGACCGGCTCAGTCCAGCTCAGTATTGTCTACACTGACTGGCAGCAGCTCTCTAGGGTTTTGCGCAGGGAGTCGTTTCCCAGTCCACAGTTTCAGAGCAAGGGAATTTCCTACCCTACCTGGAGGCAATGGGGATTGAACCCTGAACCTCCTGCGTGCAAAGCAGAGGCTTCCCTGAGATACAAAACAAGAGTTCTAGTCCTCATGGTTCTGGATTTAAAGGTGATTAAATAAGAGCAGAGGGAGTTGCCTCAGACCAAGTTATCCAGCTCAGTACAACATGCATTTTATTGAAACACAAGAGCAGTCAAGTACAACATCCCTAGAGTGGACATAAAAGGGGATGTCTGGACCAGCCAGTTGGAACTTCCTGTTTCTCCTAAGCTAGGACAGACTTCCTCTGCATGTGACTAGAGGTGGGCGTGGCCTCACCTGCCCAGGTAACAAAAGAGCAGGACTGGTCAGCCATCTCTCTCTCTCTGACCACATTTGTCGAAGAAGCAACATCTGCTTAGCCTATGATGCTTTCTTGGCTTCCAGCCAAGAGAGGACAAAGGGACTGTCTCCTTATGAGATAGTTTCCAGGTGTATGTTACTTTTCTAAGCTAAGTCTGATTCTGGGATCCAATTGTGAACAGAATGTGAGTGAGTAAACTCTTTTTATACTTTTATAGAAGACTGTGTCGTGTCTGATCTTTTTATGAGGGACTAAATGGGGAATTACCTTTAAAACCTGCTTTAGAGGCTTTAGCGAGCCTGAGCAAACGCATCCACTGCGAGTTTAAAGGGGGGAATGTTACTCTGCTAAATTGTGGAACTTGTTAACACAAGTTGGAAAGGCTATAATCAAACAATATATCCTCTCCTGCATCCCTGAACATTCTCGCAGTCTAGACCAGGCACGTCCAACAGGTAGATCGTGATATAATCTGTTGTAGATCACTGGTCGATCACTGGCAGTCTCTTGGGAAATGGCCACCCCTGGTCTAGACTGACTGGGAGATGCCAGGAACCGAACCTGGGCGTTTTGCATGCAAAGCAGATGCTCTACCGCTGAGCTACGACCCCTTCCCAAAGGAAAGGCGAAGTCAAGAAACAAATGGGATGTTAATTACCATTTGAAAAAAAGAGTGCCCCTGGGCATGTCCAGAAGGCCAACCATCCATCACAGCTCTGATTTAGCCCCTGATTCAGAAAACTCTGTGTCGACTGTTGTTTCACTCTCTGTTGCATTTCCAGGTGGGTCTTCGTGGTCAAGAAAGGCTACCAGGATGTGGATACGTCTATCCAGAGCTCCGTCATCACCAAGGTGAAAGGCGTGGCTTTCACCAACACCTCTGAGCTGGGCGAGAGGCTGTGGGATGTCGCAGACTATGTCATCCCCCCACAGGTACCCACACTGACCCAGTTTGGCTGCCTTCTTTCCCCTGATTCTAAGCATCAATATATTTGTCTCTCATATATAGATTTATATAGATAGGGGACGCAGGTGGCGCTGTGGGTTAAACCACAGAGCCTAGGACTTGCCGATCAAAAGGTTGGCGGTTCGAATCCCCGCGACGGGGTGAGCTCCCGTTGCTCGGTCCCTGCTCCTGCCAACCTAGCAGTTCGAAAGCACGTCAAAGTGCAAGTAGATAAATAGGTACCGCTCTGGCGGGAAGGTAAACGGCATTTCCGTGCGCTGCTCTGGTTTGCCAGAAGCGGCTTAGTCATGCTGGCCACATGACCCGGAAGCTGTACGCTGGCTCCCTCGGCCAATAAAGCGAGATGAGCGCCGCAACCCCAGAATTGTCCGTTTACGGAAGACAGTCTTACTCGGCTACGAGTGATCACCAAGGACGAAGAAGAAGATTAATTTACAAGCCCTGAAGTCCAGGGTAGCTCAGGGATTGCCTGAATCTTTTATATCCTGGCAAAGATCACCTGCAGGAATGTCTCTGGTCATCCCCCTACATTGGTGAAGCTCACTGTAGAACAAGAAGAAACTCGGCCACTAGAGATTCATCGGGCGTCTTCTCTGCCAACTTTGGCAAATTTGTTTTTTTTTTTTTAAATGATATTTATTAAAGTTTCAAAAGAAGGATACATAAATAAGAAAAAGAAAAATAGAAGAAAGAAAAATACAAAATACCAAAAAAAAATTAAAAACAATTCCATCTTTTCATCACTTCTCTTTCATTTACTTGTTTACCGGACCTCCTCATACCTCCCTTTTTTGTATTCCAGTTCAATTTATTTGTTCAGCAATTCCTTTCCCTCCTTTTTAATCCTGATCTTTAATCTTAATATATTATAGCATTAGGTTTTTACATATTGAAAATCCAATTTTTCCATATTCTTTTATACCATTACAGCTAGAAACCGCTTAACTTCAATCCAAAATCATTCTAACATTCATTAATTTTGCAATATTTCTGTAAATAGTCTTTAAATTTCTTCCAATCTTCTTCCACCGACTCTTCTCCCTGGTCTCGGATTCTGCCAGTCATTTCCGCCAATTCCATGTAGTCCATCATTTTCATCTGCCATTCTTCCAGTGTGGGTAGGTCTTGTGTCTTCCAATGCTTTTCAATAAGTATTCTTGCTGCTGTTGTAGCGTACATAAAGAAAGTTCTGTCCTTCTTTAACACCGATTGGCCGACTATGCCCAGGAGAAAGGCCTCTGGTTTCTTCAAGAAGGTATATTTAAATACCTTTTTTTAATTCATTATAAATCATCTCCCAGAAAACCTTAATCCTTGGGCACGTCCACCAAAGGTGAAAGAATGTACCTTCAGTTTCTTTACATTTCCAACATTTGTTATCGGGCAAATGGTAGATTTTTGCAAGCTTGACTGGGGTTATGTACCACCTGTATATTATTTTCATAATATTCTCTCTTAAGGCATTGCATGCCGTAAACTTTATACCTGTGGTCCACAACTGCTCCCAGTCAGCCATCATTATGTTATGTCCAACATCTTGTGCCCATTTAATCATAGCAGATTTCACCGTTTCATCCTGAGTATTCCATTTCAACAGCAAGTTATACATCTTTGACAAAATCTTAGTTTTGGGTTCTAACAATTCTGTTTCTAATTTTGATTTTTCCACCTGGAAGCCGATTTTCTTGTCCAAATTGTATGCCTCCATTATCTGATAATAATGAAGCCAGTCTCGGACTTTGTTTTTTAGTTTTTCAAAACTCTGCAGTTTCAATCTATCTCCATCTTGTTCCAAAATTTCCCAATATTTCGGCCATTTGACCTCCATATTAAGCTTTTTCAGAGCTTTCGCTTCCATCGGTGACAGCCACCTTGGGGTTTTGTTTTCCAATAAGTCCTTATATCTTATCCAAACATTAAACAGTGCTTTCCTGACAATATGGTTTTTAAATGCTTTATGTGCTTTGACCTTATCATACCACAGATATGCATGGCATCCAAATACATTGTTAAAACCTTCCAACTTTGGCAAATTTGGATGGCCAGGCCTGTGTGCGTTGAGTCTTGCCAGGACTCTCTGAGCCTGTGGATTTCCCCTGCAAATCCTCCTGGCCTTTGTGGATTCCTTGCTGGTTTCTCTTCAAGGTGAACGCAGCCCAGTCCCCTGGGCCTCTCTCTGCAGGGATGTGGCTCTATGCGCCATGCTAAGTATAGCCACTGACTGTAGCAATAAACAAGGATTGCAAGGTGAGCCAAAGGCTTTTTTTAAGAAGAGGAAGAAGTAGCTCCCACGGGCCGCAAATTAAAGTGCTTTTAAAATCGCCCTGCTGCTTGAAACGGGAGGTTTCATAGAACCGGCAGATATGGGGAATGATCGATGCTGCCTTTTAATGTCAGTAGCTCTTAATAATGTGCAGCCTGCAAATCACCCGGATGACTACCAGAAGGCTGTTCGAAGGGATCCTAGCTGTTGGGTCAGGCCAGAGGGAGCCCATCTAGGCCTGCATCCTGGACCAACGAGATGCCCCTTTAATAAACGAAAATCTGCCCTGATTCCCTTATGGGGGACACAAGAGCCCTGATAGAGTCTATTGCAGGTTCTCCATCAGTCGGAGAAAATAACAGAGGCCAACTAGAGAATATTGAGAAGCAAAGCAACTAGTAAGCCTGATCTTTATTGAACTGTTGCAACAGGGTGCCCCCTTCACATGCAGGAGAAGGAGGAGGATCCCAAACAAAGGTGTGCCCGCCCTTATATAGACATTTTAAATTGCCCGCCCTGGAGTCCGAAACCACCTCCAGAAACATCATACATACATCACAGAAGGGGTGGTCTACAACAGAAATCTGAGTGCGTTGTTTATCTCCTGTCTGGCAGGTTACCTATTAATGGTCACTTGATTGGATTACCTGGGGAGCCTGGCCAGTCTTTTGTAATGATAAATACTTAGTTCCTGGGCCAGGTCACAGGCTCACACCCTATTCATATCTTAAATGTGCCCTTAAGACAGGTTTTGTGAAGGAAAAGACAATGGGGAGGCTTTTCCATTTTCCTTTGACCTTGCAGAGAAAACATTTGGTCAGTTTGGGAGCAAAAATGGCTCCAGGGCTGCCCTCCTGTGCTGCCTCAGACACGTGGCCCATACATTTATGTACGTGTTTGCCTGGCACATCCATGAACATTTATTATACATATATAAGACCTTAATTTTTTTTATTTCACCCCGATGGGAAACAGGAAAGCAGGACCTGAGCACAAGAACAGTTCTCTGCTCCTGTGGTTTCCACCAACTGATATTCAGAGGCATGTGCATTGCGTGTTAGGGGAAAGGTCTTCGCTCTGGTGGGGGACACATCCTGCTCCTTCTGGGGTTGTTCATCCATGCTTGGTCCCCACCCTGCACTTGGCTCTCACCTGCGGCTCCTGGAAGCTGCCAGCATGCGACATCGGCCACACCCCAGGAAATGGCTTCGACTGGCTGGCTCAGCCAGTTGAGGGGAGCCGATGGGTCTCAAACCCTCAGTGAGTTAGGGGCTTCCCTTGCCTGCAAAGACAGGCTCTGGCGGATCAAGCAGACGAGACCAAGAGTGAGTCCAACGGTCAAGAAGGCAGTTTCTGCACATGCTGTAGTGTGATAGGAATTTTGAGGTCTTAGATATATGGTAATGTTCATAAGTGTACCAACCAAGCACGTACATAGATCAGCACAGGAAGACCGACCTGAAACCATTTTGATTCCCAAACTGTCCCAAACTGACCAAATGTTTTCTCTGCAAGGTCAAGGAAAATGGAAAAGCCTCCCCATTGTCTTTTCCTTCACAAATCCTGTCTTAAGGGTATGTCTGTGTTTGAATAGGGTGTGAGCCTGTGACCTGGTCCAGGAACTAAGTACTTATCATTACAAAAGACTGGCCAGGCTCCCCAGGGTATCCAATCAAGTAAGCAGGGTATCCAATCAAGTAACCTGCCAGACAGGAGATAAACAACAACAGGAGAAAAACAACATTCAAATTTCTGTTTTAGACCGCCTTTTCTGTGATGTAGGTATGATGTATCTGAGGGGTGGTTTTAGGTTACAGCCCTTCTGTGATGTATGTATGATGTTTCTAGGGGTGGTCTTGATCTACAGGGTGGCAATTTCAAAAGTCTTTATAAGGCCTTGCGCACCATTTTTTCTGGGTTCCTCTTCCTCTCTCCTGCGTGTGGTGAGTGAGGACCCTGTTGCAACAGATCAATAAAGATCAGGCTTACGAGCTGCTTTGCTTCTCAATATTCTCTGGTTGGCCTCTGTTATTTTCTCCTACCAATAGGGAACCTACGTAAGGACTCTGTATGGGCTCTTGGATACCCCATAAGGGGAAAAAGGGCATTTTTTGTTTACAACAGTAGCAGCCTTTCTCAACCTGTGGGTCCCCAGATGTTGTTGAACTACAACTCCCATCACCCCTAGCTAGCAAGGCCAGAGTTCAGGGATGATGGGAGTTGTAGTCTAACAACATCTGGGGACCTACAGGTTGAGAACCGCTGCGAGGGAAGTGAGGAGCAGGTGCGGCTTGTCCACCTGGGAAAGGAGCCCATGTAGAAGAAGGAAAGCTCTGATGCTAAACCTCCGCTGCCTTGCAGGATATTCTCAGGAGAAGAAAAGGCTCCAGGGAGGAGACTCTGAGACGGTTGGATGTCGGCTTTTACACCTCCTTCTGGCAACTTCTGCAGCCAAGCTGCTGCCAAACGTCTTGCTCTGCTTTCCTTTGGACCACCTCAGCGAGAGCGAGAGGGGGGTCTTGTCGTCTGGGGCAGCCCAGGACTTCCAGACACACTGCTCAGACTTGAGCCCCGGGGAGGTCACTTCGGAGCTGCTAACAGAGCAGTTTAACTTCACCCCCGGAGGCCGACTCCATTGTCTCTCAAGCCAGGCAGTTGCCAACAACAGCCTCCAACAGTGTGGGTGAAAAATAGCCATCTTAACTAGTATCCATTCTGAATGAAATCAGCTTTGAGTCCTCACTGGAAGGACAGATCCTGAAGCTGAGGCTCCAATACTTTGGCCACCTCATGAGAAGAGAAGACTCCCTGGAAAAGACCCTGATGCTGGGAAAGATGGAGGGCACAAGGAGAAGGGGACGACAGAGGACGAGATGGTTGAACAGTGTTCTCGAAGCTACGAACATGAGTTTGACCAAACTGCGGGAGGCAGTGGAAGACAGGAGTGCCTGGCGTGCTCTGGTCCATGGGGTCACGAAGAGTCAGACACGACTAAATGACTAAACAACAACAAACTAGTATCCACTGATAATCTTTTCCTCCATAAAGGATATTAATCTGGCGTGGAAAGGTAGAGAAACAAGCAATTAAAAACAATAGTGATTTCTCACAGCAGCTACCCAGACGCCCCAACAAGAATGTCACAAGTAGCACCACTTTCTCTCCCCAGTCTGTGGTTTCCAGCACTGGTATTCAGAATCATTCTTCCTCCAACAGTTGAGGAAGAACATGACCAGTATAGACCAGTAGAGCCTGATCTTTGCTTTGCCCACCGTGACCACAGGCCACATATTACAGTATTTTCTTGGTCCTCAAGTCGTCAGATTTTTCCTAGCAAAATTCTGAAACTCACTACCTCCTAACCCCTTTTCTCTGTTTCGTCTCCTCAGGGCGAAAGCGTCTTCTTTGTGATGACCAACTTGATTGTCACTCCAAACCAACGGCAGGACACCTGTGCTGAGGTAGGCGTTTGTGAACACGGAGAAGCGTTGTGAGTGCTTGTGTCTTAGACAGCGGGCAGGGCAGCAGTTTTGGAGACCATGTGTCAAGATTTCAGCAACAATGACTTGGACAGTCCGATGGCAGCAGGATAGGAACAGAGGCGCTTCCAGTCAGACACTGTTTTGGGGTGGGATTCCGTTAAATGCCAAAAAAATTCAGGTTGCAGAATTATACTGCAATGGGAGGTCTTGCACAGCAAACCCACTTCCCTCAAAATATCGGGCTTTTTTTGCAATAAGAAAAGGCATATATAATCTCCCCACAAACAAATAATAACAAATGCTCAGTAAATAGCCATCTTTGTTGACTGATGCTGCAAAAAAAATCAGGTTGAATGCACATTAAACAGGCCATCTAGAACCACCTAAGAGACCTGGGATTTGACAACCTGGAATTCCCAAGAAGGACACTGAGGTCTAGCCGCTTGTTGTTGTTGTTTAAGTTCGCGTTGGTTCCAGACCACTAGGGGGGTGTGGGAGAATTTTGTTAGAAAGAGGAATGGAGATTCCTGCATGGTCCTCCAAAATAAGTTAATACGAGTACAGTAGTATTCGCAATCGTTGGTTTTCTACTCTAGAGGAATTATGTACAGTGGTACCTTGGTTCTCAAACACCTTGCTACTCAAACAACTTGGTACCCAAACATTGCAAACCCGGAAATGAGTGTTCCAGTTTGCGAACTTTTTTGGAAGCTGAACGTGCTCCGTTTTGAGTGTTATGCTTCCGATTTGAGTGCCACACTTCCATTTTGAGTATTACGCTGAGGTCTGTCTGTTTTTGCTATTTATTTTGAATTTTTTGTTTTGTTTTATTGCTTTCATTTTCTGGCTCAATGGTCTCGTTAGACAGCAAAATGCATGTTAAAATGCTGTTTTAGGGGTTGTTTTTAAAAGTCTGGAACGGATTAATCCATTTTGCATGACTTTCTATGGGAAAGCGCACCTTGGTTTTGGTGGAATGCTTTGGTTTCGGAACTGACTTCCGGAACGGATAAAGTTTGAGAACCAAGGTGCCACTGTATAATAATTACATTAGCTTAATCCATTGAAATGTTGCTGTGAGAACGGTGTTATGTACTGAAGTTCTCACCCTGGGCCAGCAGGGGGACACTGTAGATAGTTATGCAAATAAGGGATCGAAAGTGATGTTCAGTGATTGGATAGTTTTAGAAAATTGTTACAGTTACATTGTACTGGAGCTCTATATAAGCAGGCTGACTGAACCCTTCAGTTCAGTTCTGTCCTGGCCTGTGAATAAACAAGAGCTGTTTGAAGAATTGCTGTGTCGTCTGATATGTTCACCCACAACTTAACAAACAGAATGTTGGGCTAGATGGGTCTGATCTAGCAGGTTCTTCTTGAGATCTTATGTTCACTATTGCAGCCACAACGGTGGAAATAGCATCCTCACTCCTGGCCACATACACAGAGGAAGGACATTGGTGGAGTTCCAATTAAAAAGGTTTGCGAGGTACTCTAAATCAGCCATCACTTACCTGCTGCCCTCCTGCTGCTACGGACTACAACTCCCATCAGCCCCTCCTCAGTGCAGATGGGGAAGGATGCTTGTGTGGCGCAGTGGTTAGAGTATCAGACCAGGACTGGGGAGATTCTGGGTTCAAACCCCCGCTCAGCCATGCAGGTCTCCAGGTGACGGATTTTGTGTCAGTCTCTGCCTTCGCCCCTAATTCACGGGATTTCCTTCCCCTTTTCCTTACAGAGCTCTGGCATTCCAGACGCGCTCTGTTACCGCAACAGCGACTGCAATTCTGGAGAAGCCGTCGTCGCTGGCAACGGTAAGGATTTCCCAGGCAATTTCTAAAGGCCTTGCCCCAGCTGGAAAACAAACAGGTTTGCTGCATAACAGGCAATTCTGCCTTGAGATAAATTTCCATTTTAAACGGTTACCTCTGCTGCTGTTGATTTTATTTTATATTTTTGGGGTAACTTTTAAATCGCTGGGGAAGCCGCCTCGATTTTCAAAGGTGGGAGGGCTATCAGAATGCCGAACGATAACTGAAATAAGTGTAATAAACAAAATTCTGCCCTTATTCCCTTATGGGGGACACAAGAGCCCTTATAGAGTCCTTTGTAGGTTCTCCATCAGTCGGAGAAAATAACAGAGGCCAACCAGAGAGTACTGAGAAGCAAAGCAGCTAGTAAGCCTGATCTTTATTGACCTGTTGCAACAGGGTGCTCCCCTCACACGCAGGAGGAGGAGGACCCAGAACCAAGGTGTGCCTGCCCCAACATAGACATTTTAAATTGCCTGCCCTGGAGTCCAAGACCACCCCCAGAAACGTCATACATACACCACAGAAGGGGTGTAGCTCAAGACCACCCCCCAAATACATCATACCTACATCACAGAAAGGGCGGTCTACAACAGAAATCTGAGTGCATTGTTTACCTCCTGCCTGGCAGGTTACCTGTTAATTGTCACTTGACTGGATTACCTGGGGAGCCTGGCCAGTCTTTTGTAATGATAAATACTTAGTTCCTGAGCCAGGTCACAGGCTCACCCTATTCATACACAGACATACCCTTAAGACAGGATTTGTGAACAAAAAGACAATGGGGAGGCTTTTCCATTTTCCTTCGACCTTGCAGGGAAACATTTGAGGTCAATTTGGGAGGGACAATATGGTTTCAGGACTTATTCTGTGGGGTTTCAGACATGTGGTTTATATATTTATGTACGTGTTTGCTTGGTACATTTATGAACATTTATTATATATACAAGACCTTATTATTATTTTTTATTTCATAAGTAATCTACGCATCCTTATAAAAGTGAGCGGTTGTTTGTAAAAGTTTCCTGCAAGCTGTGTGTTCCCCTTCTCTGTAGCTCCTTGAAAGCTGTGTGCTCTGTCGTTTTAGCAAACATTACTCTTCCCCCACAAAATATTCCAGCTAGCTGATTTCCCACCCCCCCTCCATAACTTTGTCTGCCCTGCAGGAGTCAAGACTGGCCGTTGTCTGAAGGTTGGGAACAGCCTGAGTGGGACGTGCGAGATCTTAGCTTGGTGTCCGGTGGAGAAGAAAGGCCGGCCAAAGTTTGTCCTAGTTCTTGAATTTATTTATTCACTTAAAATCACTCTAAATTTTTTAATACAGGCCAACTGTGCCACGCTTCCTTGAAGAATCATTAACCCAAGCAACCTGTGCTTTTCCTTTAGAAAGCCTCTTCTGGCAAACGCCGAAAACTTCACCGTCTACATCAAGAACTCCATCCGCTTCCCCCGGTTTAAGTTCTCCAAGTAAGTATTGGTCTTCCCTGTTGCTGAACTTTTTGCAGCCGCAGCAAAAGGAACGGCTTCTGCTAGAGGCAAGGATGGTTTTGAAATCAGAGTAGTCAAATTCATGGAGGAGAGATCCGGCAGCAATAGGCTCTTGTCAGAGGAAACGCCTCCCAGTCCCTCTACAGTGGTACCTTGGGTTACATACGCTTCAGGTTACGTACACTTCAGGTTACAGACTCCACTAATCCAGAAATAGTACCTCAGGTTAAGAACTTTGCTTCAGGATTAGAACAGAAATCGCGTGGCAGCAGTGGGAGGCCCCATTAGCTAAAGTGGTGCTTCAGGTTAAGAACAGTTTCAGGTTAAGTACGGACCTCCGGAACAAATTAAGTACTTAACCTGAGGTACCCCTGTATTCCCAGTGTTCAGCTGGTAAGCGCAGATCATTATTTTGCCAAAACGGCACAAGGGAGATATCAACAGAATTCAGGGAACCCCCAAAGGGTTTGTAAAATTACAAAAAGTGTTTGGAGAAAAAAGCCTACATGGGGAATTCTTTCCCCACCTCCCCCAAAAATTGATTGTGAGTTTTATCAGCCATTGGTTTATTGGCTGTCTGGTTTACTGGAGGTTTTGTACAGTGCTTTTTTTTTCTTTAAAAATGTTTAGGAATACTCTCATTTTGACTCAAGAAAATCACCATTTTATAGTTCAAATCGGGGGAAATAAATACCTTATTGGCCTGAATATAACCCTCACTTTTTTTCCAAATTCTGACTATGAAAAGTTAAAGTGCGGCTTAAAATTGTGACCTTACAAAAATTGCCTTTTATGATGTCGCTGCTGAAACAGACATACGGTAAAACAGAATGGGTGTGAGTGCCTGCGGGATTTTAAGGGAGCTGCTTATATTCTGGTATTGTCGATTTTTTCTTTTCCCCCCTTGAATTTTAAAGGTGCGGCTTGTTTGCAGGTGCAGCTTATATTCGGGCCAATATGGTACAGCAAATGGACAAAGGGACAAAGATTCACAAACAGTTTAGGGGTACGCGTCCCCCCAGGAGAAAAACCCCACTGGTTTTGTATATGGGACACATGGTTACGATTTGCTGCTACATTAGTGGGGTCATGACTTTGTGGTTTTAAAGAACGGGCATGTCATTTTCGTACAATTGGTTTGTCTGCTTGGTTGTCTGAGCTCCATCCTGGGGAACGAAAGATCTTAAATAAATCAGTGAAATAAAACGTGGCTGCCAATTGACCTTCCTGCACTCCCTCAACGCAGAACCAACGTCCTCGACACCACAGATGACAGCTACCTGAAAACGTGCCGCTATGGACCGGACCATCCTTACTGCCCCATATTCCACCTGGGGAACCTCGTCTCGTGGGCTGGGAGCAACTTTCAGGAAATGGCCTCAGAGGTATGGAGAAACCTGCTGTTCTGCTTCCTTTGGGGGAAAGGGCTACAGCTCAGTGGCAGAGCATCTGGTCCCGGGTTCAAAGCCCCTACATCTCCAGGTAGGGGCTGGGAGAAAGACTTCCTACCTGAAACCCTGGAGAGCTGCTGCCAGTCAGTGGTGGCAGCACTGGGCTAGATGGAGCAACTGTCTGTACAAGGCAGCCCCATGGCCTTGTTCAGTGGCTAGGGACTGTACAGTGGCGCCTTGGTTCTCAAACTTAATCCGTTCCGGAAGTCCGTTCCGAAACCAAAGCGTTCCAAAACCAAGGCGCACTTTCCCATAGAAAGTAATGCAAAATGGATTAATCCGTTCCAGACTTTTAAAAACAACCACTAAAACAGAAATTTAACGTGAATTTTACTCTCTAACGAGACCATTGATCCATAAAATGAAAGCAATAAACAATGTACAGTGGTACCTCGGGTTACAGACGCTTCAGGTTACAGATGCTTCAGGTTACAGATGCTTCAGGTTACAGACTCCGTTAACCCAAAAATAGTGCCTCGGGTTAAGAACTTTGCTTCAGGATGAGAACAGAAATTGTGCTCCGGCGGGGCGGCGGCAGCAGGAGGCCCCATTAGCTAAAGTGGTGCTTCAGGTTAAGAACAGTTTCAGGTTAGGAACGGACCTCCGGAACGAATTAAGTTCTTAACCTGAGGTACCACTGTACTGCAGTCACACAATCAATCAATCAGTAGCTGAACTGGGTTCCACACAGTCACAAAAACAAAACAAAAAGAGCCGCCGAAACAAAAATGCAAAATAAATAGCAAAAACAGACAGACCTCAGCATAACACTCAAAATGGAGCACGTTCGGCTTCCGAAAAAAGTTTGCAAACCGGAACACACACTTCCGGGTTTGCAGTGTTTGGGTTCCAAGTTGTTTGAGTACCAAGGCACCACTGTAGCTCTTGAGTAGGATCACAGAATTGTAGAGTTGCAAGGGATCCTGAGGATAATCTAGTCCAATTTCACCCCAATGCAGGAATATCCCAGCGTCCCCTATGGGGATCGAACCTGCAACCCTGGCGTTATCAGCACCTCGCTCTAACCAATTGAGCGCTTGCTTTGCATGTAGAAGGTCCTGGGTTTCATCCCTGGCCCCTCCAGTTGAGAAGGGGATCGGGTGATGGGGAAGACGCTCTCACTCTCTGCTCGAGATCCCAGAGAGCAGTGCCGGATTTACGTATAAGCTAAACAAGATATAGCTTAGGGCCCCACTCTCTTGGGGGATCCCAAAAAAATGTAAAGGGAAAAAGAACCCTGGACGTACATTTCCAAAATATAAGATATAAAACAAAGAAAATAAGACTTGCATATAGCAACAGTGTTTTGTGTTGTGTAGGCTCCTATGGTGTAGGTAATGGGCCCTGCCTGCTAGCCTGCTCCCTAAAATATCACCGGTTTGCTCATTTCTATATATAGGGTGCCTACATTCTGCATAGGGACGCGGGTGGTGCTGTGGGTTAAACCACAGAGCCTAGGACTTGCTGATCAGAAGGTCGGCAGTTCGAATCCCCGCAATGGGGTGAGCTCCCGTTGCTCGGTCCCAGCTCCTGCCAACCTAGCAGTTCGAAAGCACGTCAAAGTGCAAGTAGATCAATAGGTACCGCTCTGGCGGGAAGGTAAACGGCGTTTCCGTGCGCTGCTCTGGCTCGCCAGAAGTGGCTTAGTCCTGCTGGCCACATGACCCGGAAGCTGTACGCCGGCTCCCTTGGCCAATAAAGCGAGATGAGCGCCGCAACCCCAGAGTCGGCCACAACTGGACCTAATGGTCAGGGGTCCCTTTACCTTTACCTTTACCTTTCTACATTCTGCATGGCAACATGTGCAAATGGCTTTAGATACCTATTAGGTCCACAAATTACCATATAGCACATGGGTAGGCAAACTAAGGCCCAAGGGCCGGATCCGGCCAAATCGCCTTCTAAATCCAGCCCGCGGATGGTCCAGGAATTGGCATGTATTTACATGAGTAGAAAGTGTCCTTTTATTTAAAATGCATCTCTGGGTTATTTGTGGGGCATAGGAGTTCATTCATTTTTTTCCTTCAAAATATAGTCCGGCCCCCCACAAGGTCTGAGGGACAGTGGACCGGCCCCCTGCTGAAAAAGTTTGCTGACGTCTGATATATCATATATTCAACACAAAAAAACAGCGACAATTTGTTGTTGACAAAGGACAGCTGGACATATAAAGGTCCCCATTCCCTTCAGTATCTTAGGGCCTCATCAAACCTAAATCTGGCCCTGCCAGAGAACAACTGCCGGTCAGAGCAGGCTGAGCCAAGACTGTGATGCTGCGGCAGAAAGGGCCAAAACAATTCTCTTTTTCTGACCTGCCGTTCAGGCAGCTTCCTGGATGGCACATAGATCTCTTGACAACTGGAATGGACAAGATCCCACTGGGATCAGGCAGGGATCGCAGGACCTCCTGGGGGGGAAAGGGCTCTGCGACCTTAACCTGGAGCTCGCGCTGAAGCAAACCTTTGTCTCTCTTTCGTTAAGGGTGGTGTGATAGGAATTCAGATTGAATGGGACTGTGACCTTGATAAGCCCCCCTCTGAATGCAATCCTCACTATTCTTTTAGCCGGCTGGATAACAAGTTTGCTGAGAAATCCGTCTCGTCAGGATACAACTTCAGGTAACAAGACATGGAGGGGAAGGCAATTTTCTCGATGTCTGCAGCAAGCAAAGTCACAGCCTTTACAAAGTAGCCCTAAGCCAGCCTCATTCTCTCTCTCTCTCTCTCTCTCTCTCTCTCTCTCTCACACACACACACACACACACAGCCTAGCCTACCTTGCAAGGTTGTTGTAATAATAATAATAATAAATAATAAATCTTTATTTATACCCCGCCCTTCCCGGTTCAAAAACCGGGCTCAGGGCGGCTAATAACAAATTTAAAACACTTAATTGTAAAAGCAGCATAAAATACAGTATAAAAACATGACTAACAATAAAATTCAAAATTCAGAAATCAATTTAGGGGAAATAAGCATTAGATAATCCCCAGGGCTAGCTGGCTGAATTGGTCCTACTTGGGCCAGCGAGGAGCCCAGGGGAGAATTAGCTGTGGGGTCTCAGAGCGGGTAATCTTCATAAAAGGGGAGGGGGAGGGAAGAGAAGGGAAATAAAAGATCAGGCTGAATTCAAATTAAAGGCCAGGCGGAATAGCTCTGTCTTACAGGGATTAAATGAGAAGGGGGGAGAAGTGTGTACACCACCTTGAGTTCGACGGAGAAAAAGGGATGTAAAGCTGTGAGAAATAAATATAAACGTAATAAATGTAATATATATATAAAACATTGAGTACCATGGACGTTGCTCCCAGGTATGTAGATACAGAACCCCAGCATTCATTGATTCATCAGCCTGACTGATTGTTTAAAACTTTTTGAATGACTACCGGCGAATTGGGCAACGCTTAAAAACAAAAGTTAATTTATTTTCAAGGCAAGTCCTTACCAAAAGGGTGGGTGACAGGTGCCATTTCCTCAGGAATTATATTTCCTTTAAAAAACACACGCACACACATATAATCGTAATTGCCAAAAGTCCAGATCTACACACGGGTGGATCTACACACGGGAGAAAAAACACACGCCATAAATAAGCCAGAAATTAAATCGTTATAACAAAAGAAAAACGCTATGTAAAAATGGCATAGAAATTTTTTTGCTCTCTGGCACCACCTGGTGTTGCATGTTGATAATGAATTCAAAACGTTGTTTTTTGACTAACGTAGCTGAGTCCTCTCTCTCTCCCTCGCTTTCTTTCTTGCCTCTGCTAAGATGTTCCTTGAAGTGACATGTACAGGTTTAGAAACAAAATGTTTTAAAGTCTGGGGCAAGAGAGAGGAGGAAAATATGATCTGGGGTCTGATGCAAAAAACAACAGCAACCAAACCCCCCAGTGCTCCCCATTGCCTGCAGCCTCCCCCATAACAACTACATTTTGGGTGAAATAACGCCATCCCTGCTCTGCTTTTTGATATTGCAGGTTCGCCAAGTATTACCGTGACGCAGCCGATGTTGATTTCCGGACTCTGATCAAGGCTTACGGGATCCGCTTTGATGTCATGGTGAACGGGAAGGTAGGAGGAAATGTGTTTTGCTGCCTCGTGTTTTTCTCTTTTGGCTGGGCCGGCTCCAGGTCCGAGGGGTTTTCCTGGGCGAAGTTTTTCCCTGCCTCTCTGCAGCTGGGATTTAGAAGATTAGAAGATTACTGTCTCTAACAGGGGAGGGAGAAGCTCGCTATCATGGCCAGCAGGCCTCAAGGATTTAAAGGGGCAGATTTCATCCGAGGCTGCATTCTTTGCAGTGCTGTTTCCCTTCCGCTACAGTTCGGCTTCTACTAAAACCTACATTGTTTCCCTCACCGTCTGCTATGGTCAAAACAAACGTAATTAATTCCAGTGGCAGGGAAACATCGAAAACAATGCAGGAAAGCATGTACCGTATTTTTCGCTCCATAGGGTGCACCTCACCATAGGGCGCACCTAGTTTTCATAGGGGGAAATCAAGGAAAAAAATATGATCCCCCCCCACTCTGGGAGGAGCGGACAGGCTGTGCGCAGCCTGTGCGCTTCTCCCAGACCTCCTCCCTGCTTTTGCGGGAGGTGGGGGAATTCCCCCATCTCCCACAAAAGCCCACAGGAGCCACACACCTTTTAAGGAGCGCACGGCTCCTGCGGGCTTTTCTACGAGGAGGGAGAAGGGACTGACGCGGCCAGTCTGTCCCTTCTCCCTCCTGGGGAAAAGCCCGCAAGAGCCGCACGGAGCTCTTGCGGGCTTTTCCCGCCTGCCTCCCCCCTGCATTCGCTCCATAGGATGCACACACATTTCCCCTTGCTTTTTAGGAGGGAAAAAGTGCGTCCTACAGAGCGAAAAATACGGTAATTCTTTACATAACGATTTCGGACTAAAAAAAAAAAAAGATTGACACTCTTACGTGATTTTTGTTCCTGATCTCAAAAGTTGGGGCAATTTCTGCTCCTGTTTGCAACAGAGTTCTCTGACCTCCGCAGTAGCCTTTGGTAGTTTTATTCCTCTCCTTGAATAGGTCTTTCAAGGCCATCCTGCTTTCGGTGGCCATTTCTGCATCCTGTGGCAGAGAGTTCCACATCTCCACTTTGCCTCTCCCTTAACTCCAGGCTCCCCACATATGATAAAAACAAAACTTTCCCGAACAAAATGCTTCTGGCTAAAGGCTCAACTCTCAGCTTTCGACATGTTTTCTTTCAGGCGGGGAAATTTAACATTATTCCGACAATCATCAATGTGGGATCAGGTGTTGCGTTGATGGGAGCGGTAAGTCGAGTTGAATCCAATATATTTTTTCATTGACCCAGTTGTGTGCATGAAAATCTGTCTGCTTCCGCCAAAAAAGGCTAGTCCCATTGTCTTATCAAGCGCATTCTTCATCTCACTAAAAGGAATCTAGTGGCTTGTATATGCCAAGGTTGAGCCATGTTTCTGAAGTCATGTGCAGGGCCTTTTTGGTTTTGGCTCCCTGCCTTTGGAATTTTCTCCCCAGAGACCTCCGATTCCCAGAGTTCCTTGTGAAGAGGGATTGTTTGTTCAAGTGCTCTGGGAGACGAATAGGAAGTCTCCCCACAAACTACAGCTCCGAGGATTCTTTGGGTTTCGGGGTGCTTTAAACATACAGTGTGAATGTGGTCTGTGTTAACAACGAGACCTCAGTGGAATCTAGACACATATAAAAACCGCTTTGAAAATGCTTTTTAAAAAAAAGTTGTTAAAAAATAAATTGAATTTTCCATGAAGCTCACCAGCGCCATCTAGTATCACATTTTATATTGCACTTAAAACACGCTGAAAACATTTTATTTGCCCGACACAAAGCATGTTACTGTAGCCCAATTGTGAGGTTCCCAATGCATGAATCACAGTGGCTAAAGCTATGCAATCAAAGGCTGGGAAGCAGATTTCAACAAAATATCAGATCTCATTCAGAGGTGCTGGCATCTGATCCTGCTCCTAGCTGGGGGGGTGGTGGTCTAAATGACCCGCAAGGTCCCTTCCATCTTCAAAATTATGTGGCTCTTTTCTGCTCTGCAGGCTTACTGTGACCTCTCTTTATCTCTGTGTTATTTTATTGTCTTGATTTCTTTAGGCTACTGTGAGAGCTTAGGCGTGATCGGCCCTATAGTTTCTTATAATGCCCAAATCAACATCGTGACATGTGTCACGATGTTGATTTGGGCATTATAAGAAGCTGTATCTAATTTTTGAGAAGTAGTTTCGAGTAAATCGCTTTGCAATTGTTACTCTACGGCTTATTATGTTTATGTGTTTTTTCAATTGGATTTCCGTAATATAGGCATTCGGGTGGTTTTTGGTTTTGTGAGAGCTTAGGCTGCATCTGCAACATACATTTAAAACTCATGGAAAGCACATCATTCCCCCCCCCCCCCAAAAAAAAGAATGCTGGGAACTGTAGTTTGTTAAGGGTGCTCAAAACTGTAGCTCTGTGAGAGATAAACTATAAATCTGAGGATTTTGGGGGACGGGGGGGATGGGCTTTAAATATACAGTGGACTCAGCTACATTAAAAAAAACCAACCCAACGTTTGGAATTCATTATAAACGTTCAACACCAGCTGGTGCCAGAGAGCAAAAAAAATATATGCCATTTTTACATAGTGGTTTTTTTCTTTTGTTATAACGATTTAATTTCTGACTTAGTTCTAGTGATTCCCCCCCCCCTGTGTGTAGATCCACCGTATATATACAGTGCTTTAAAAAGAACCACCCCAAACATGTTTGGAGGCAGAAATGGGCAGTAGCTCGAGTTCTTTTTATTGATTTATTGCTAAAATGTGTAAATTTGTTGTGTCAGCAATGCCTTGTCTGTCTCCTAGGGGGCTTTCTTCTGTGACCTGGTGTTGCTGTACTTCCTCCAAAAGAGCAATTTTTACCGAGGCAAAAAATACGAAGAAGTGAGGTATGTTGATTTCAGGCGCAAAGGGGCGTGTGGTGTGGCAGAGCCTTGGGGGAGTCCTGCAGATCACCTGGTCGTCAACATGGAGGCGGGGAGGGAAACGCCCCCTCTGACATCATCGTGATGTCAGGCGATTGACAAGTGGGTGGCCCCGCCCACTGGCCAGACTTGGCCCTCAGGAACTGGGGAGGTCAGGATACCTACCCCTCTCCACAAACAGTTACCATCTCTCAGCCTAACCTACCTAACATGTATGCTTCATTCACCTTGAGCTCTTTGGTGGAAAGATGAGATATAAACGAAATACAGTGGTACCTCGGGTTACAGATGCTTCAGGTTACAGACACTTCAGGTTACAGACTCCTCTCACCCAGAAATAGGTTAAGAACTTTTCTTCAGGATGAGAACAGAAATTGTGCAGTGGCAGCGGGAGGCCCCATTAGCTGAAGTGGTACCTCAGGTTAAGAACAGTTTCAGGTTAAGAATGGACCTCCAGAACGAATTAAGTTCTTAACCCAAGGTACCACTTAAAGCCGCCACACTAAAATCGAAAGAAAGTAGAGAGGATTTAAGATGAGGCTGGTGCAACCTGTGGCTTCCGCCACCCACAGCACACCTGAAAATCACTAACCTAAGGACTCATCTTTAGCAAGGCTTTTCCAGGCTGGCTCCTGGCTTGTATTCTAACATGCTTAATTCGGTACCTGGGACCCAGGAATTGGAAGAGGGGTCCAGGAGTCGAGGCACCCCACACATTCATGACAATACAGTGGTACCTCGGGTTAAGAACTTAATTCGTTCCGGAGGTCCGTTCTTAACCTGAAACTGTTCTTAGCCTGAAGCACCACTTTAGCTAATGGGGCCTCCTGCTACCGCTGCACGATTTCTGTTCTCATCCTGAAGCAAAGTTCTTAACCCAAGGTACTATTTCTGGGTTAGCGGAGTCTGTAACCTGAAGCATCTGTAACCCAAGGTACCACTGTACAAAGAATCTGGAAGGAGATTCAGCTCCTTGGCCGTTTTAACCATTGACCTTGGCTTAAGACTGGGAAATGGGCCTGAATAATTGATCATTTCCGTTGGTTTAAAAGCCTCCTGGAATGGCCAGGAGCAGAGAGCATCCCTTGAGAACCATATATTATAGTCAGGAAGAGGACAAAAAGCTTAATGTGGAGTCCTTGCCGCATGCATTAGGATTTTTTAAAAATGCACCAGCATGTTTTGATTTTTAAAAACACACGAACCCATACGGGTGAATGGGTTAAAACGGGCAGTTTTCAAATCCTCCTTCAGGAAACTCTCTTTCTCTCTCTGTGTTGACTTTGTTTGCCAAGGGAGGCGGTGAAAGTTGGGAGGGAGGCATGCCAGGCTGGGGGTTTGCCCCCTTGTTGAACCATGAGCCTTGGAAGGCACCCAGTGATGCTGACTTTAACGCCAGCCCTGCTGGGGAGAGTCAAGTGATTTGTATTTTGCAAGATATGGGGTGCAAGAGCCTTTCGGTCTGATCCTGAGGGACATCATTCAGAGTAAGTCCCCTGAGCAGCTTTGGTGTACTGCCGTTCAGAGTCTCTGTGGGGGCACCCCAAGATCTTTCCCTGCCATCATTGGACCCCCAGAACCTACTCCAACGCTTGCTGCCCCCTTGGCCATGAAGGGGTGAGGATGCTTACCTTTTCATCCCCTGAGAAGTACATTGAGTTAGAGGAGGAAGTTAGAAGAATGGGTCCCTAGTTTGAGACACAACTTGACCTACAATACGATTATCTTTATTGTCATTGTCCCATACAGAACAACGAAATTGAAAATCTACATCAGACATTCAGAAACCAACAAGCCTGCTATCCTAGCTATCCCAGCCTGGTTAGCCCCCTAAAAACTCTGATACCCCATGATTAAATACAATATATTCCCATAGACTACCTTACACTGTGTTTAAAACCAAAATCGCATTTGAATAGAAACTGTTTCTCAGGTGACTTAGTCCTAGTCTTTATAACCCTGTACCTTCTTCCAGAAGGCAGAAGCTGAAAGAGATCATTTCTGGGGTGTGCACTATCTCTGAGGCTTTCTTATGACACCTGGAAGCGTAGATTTGACCCAAGGTGGGAAGAATGCATCCAATTATTCTCTCCGCAGTCTTTTCAACGCTGGACAACATTGTTTTTCCCCTGACCATGCAGCTCCCAAACCACACACACAGACCATAAGTTAATACACCTAGTTCATTGCTGCAGCCAAAACATACATTCCAACAAGTCCTTCAAGCCCCGTTTCTTACATTGGGTGTGAGGAACCAGTGGCCCTCCAGACAAAGGCAGAATACGGCTCCCATCATCCCTGTGTGGCCATTGGCCATCTCATTTAGGGAGTTGCAGTCCAGAGAGTCACGGGTTCCCCTCTACGCCAACGCCATTGCCTTATCCCTCCACGACTTCTTTCTTTGTTTGTTTTTTTGCAACAGGAAACCCGTACCAGAAGCAAATATCAACGGAGACCAGAGTTCTGACTCCCTCTCCAGGCTGGATCACCTGAGGCAATTGCAGACGGTTGAGACCTAACGCCAAGGCCACTGACCGGCGACCGCACTCCACTAAGACTTCATGGGCCAGGGGAACTAAGCAATCCATGACGCCAGGGCCATCGTTTACCTCACGGATAGGCGATGGAGACCAGGAGGATGCGGTTAACCCCCGGCCTTTCACAGCTCCCCAAAGCCTTATTTTCTGGTGACGTTCCGCCATACCCTGAGCCATCTACGTCACGCAACACAGGATTTTACATTTTTTAAAAAACTAAAACTCAAATGCCAAAGCGACCTGCCTATATAATTCCGCAGTGGAGATGGCAGAAGTTAGGTATCCCCTGTGTTGCCATCTTGAATATACCTGAGGTCCATCCATCTTGGCCCAATTGTTGGGCAGCCATCTTGAATACAGCAGGATCGATCCACCTCAGTCAGTAGGGCTACCTATTATTTCCAGGCCTTTGTCCTTCTACAGACAGAATAATCAGGACATATCCCTGGCATTCCTGACAGACAGAATATATTAATATTCCTTGGAGCAACGCACTTGGCTAGTGAGATTTCAGTCAACTGCTTTTCATCCTGCCAAGTCTTCTGTCCTGCAAATTAGCCTGTTTTAAACTGGATGGCCCTGAACAAACTGAGGTGGGATTATTATTATTTTTTGAATTTTCTGGATTTTACGCCTTCGCAGGGCAAGGCAGGACCCTCCCTCTCCGAAGAAATGTTCTGTGGACTTCTGCAGGTCTTGAAAAATGTTTCATAACCTCATCTATGCAGATAGCAAGGTGAATAAGAAATAGATCGCTTTGAGGTGACCTGTTTACGGAGCTTTCATCCTGATTTGTTGGCAGGGAGGTTAGATGACATTTTGTGAAGCAAAACGACTTCTTTTATTGCAAAATGTTTGGTTGTTAGGGTATGGTTGTGCCAAAGAGCTCCGGATCAAATTGTGCAGCCTGATTTTGCCGGCATGTGATGGGATCTCACTGGAAAAATAGCAACAGGCTACAGAGTCACACCCTTAAATAAGAAAGCTATGTACAGAGATAGGCTCCTGAATGCGGGGTCTGCAGAAATTTCTGTTCTCAGAAAGAGAGGTCTTGGTTGACACCCAGATCGGTGCCAGCGTGACATTATGCTCTGTCATTTAACGGGCGCAAAAAACCCACAGGCTGCTACGTTTTGCCCAACTTGAGAAATCGAGAGATGGCGCTAGGATGTTGAAAGACGGAATAAATCACCACGTCGAGAGGACTGAGTCATCCCCACGTACCAGGCAGCCTGGGTGAGCTGGTTTGATGGCATTTCAAAAGAAGACTCTGTGTCCTTTTGTTTCGTAACCCATCTCCCGGGTTCAGTCTTCCAAATTAACTTTCCATCCTCGTATTTCGCAAGAATCGAGAAACTGTTTTGACTTTCTTCCTCTCCCCGCCCCTCTTATCCCCTTTCTTTATAGATGTCTTCCTTTCCTCTTTATTAAGAGCAAGATCTTCGGACTTCCATCACATAGTTTCAGTAACAGAAGGAGAAAACATGCTTGTTTTTCTTAGGACAGATCCACATGTACACATTTGACATATCCGGTCTACATGTAAAGTACATTACTTCCCCCAAAGACTCCTGGGAACTGGAGTTTGTTAAGGGTGCTGGAATGAAATCTACAGTTCCCAGGAATATATTGGGGGGGGGGGGAGTCCTGTGCTTTAAATGTGCAATGAATATGTTTTGACCATATAGTGGGGCTCTGCCCTTAATGATTGACAGATTCTCTGTCGCTATAATGATGGGGTCCTCGCTGTGGTGTCTGTGGGAACAAAGGCACCCTCACACCCTGCCAAGGCTTTTCCCTATTTTTTAATTTAAAAGCAGGTTTGGAGGGTTTTTTAAGGGGTTTCCTGCTTTTTTTAATGGGGTGATGGACAGGCTGTTCACCTGTGCTTTGGAGTGTCTTACAGAGGGGTCTGAACACTGTCAGGTTTATTTATTTTTGGTCAGGGGCTGACAATAGTTTCTTAGATTTCCAGGTGTGCCCCTGGGTCCAAAAAGAGTTAGGAGTCCTGTTCTAATTAGTGGCGTGTGTGCATGGAGGACAGGGGGGAAGAGGATGTTTTAAACAGGAATGCTCATTTCTCTCTCATGTCTCAGTATTAATCTTTGCTAACTGTGAACACAATATAGCCATGAATGCCATAACAAAGATGCTTTTATAGGAAGTTTAAATATTTATACGCAGGGCTGTGCCAAATATCCCCCCCCCCCCCGGCTGCTACTTCCCCTTCCTTGAATTAGCCACATGGGCAATCCTACCCAATCAGGGATCACATAGTGATGCTGCCTGTGTCTGACATGATGTCACTGGACATCAGTGAATTAGGTACTTGCCCAGGGGTGGCTAGTCTCTACCCTGAGGGCCTGATCCACCTCCTTCACTCAGAGTTTTCTGGCCCCTCAAGATCCCACTGATATTGACAAGCTCTGGCAAAAAAAGAGAAGGTATTATTAAAATCAGAGTCTGTCCTTCCTACCAAAGGAGCCCTGGATAATTTGTGTGTGTGTGTAGATCAGATTTCAAAGCTCTCCATGAAGAGTCCAGGGTGTGCGGCTGCTGTTGTATTTTGCAGAATTAATAAAGGAAGCTAATTATCCACCCTGGAGCCTGCCTTCCATATGTGGAACTACAACTCCCATCATCCCTTGGCCATGTGGCTGGGGCTGATGGGAGGTGCAGTTCCAATGTCAAGGCTCAGTAATTAATGTAAAAAGTGGTGCATTGATCAGTGTGAGGGGAGAGCCGTCTCATCCCATTAGAAAGGACCATACCAGTAGCCTATGTCCAAAACCCTGACTTGCGCGATCACAGGTGCTGCCTCCCACGCCCTCGCTCGAAATGTACTTTACGAAGCCAATGCAGAGAAAGGACTTTGGCACGTTTATAAAAGGTCTGTGCATCTGCATTGTCCGTGTGAAGGATTGGGGCGTTCCCAGGAATGGTCCCCGGTCCAAAGCTTCCGACACACCCGAGACTCATTGTAATGTGAATACAGATTGCTGTGAAACGAAGCAAGTCTCTGTGTCGTTTCTCTTCGCTTCGTAGATGTTAACGCTTGCTAAACTACGAATTTAGAAAGCGCTGGTTTCAGAAACACACTTGGCCCCACACACCATCAAGAAGAAACAGAAGACTGTGGCTGTGTTGCTGGTGGAATTCGGTTGCAGGCCAAGATCAGAAAGTGGAGCATAAACTGAAAGGCTGGAGAATAAATGAAAACTGATGTTTTAACAGGAGGGTGGGAGGAACCGGGGGCTCGACAGGTGTCTCTGGACTACAACTCCCATCATTCCTGTCCTTGGCCACATTGGCTGGGACTGATGGGAGTCCAGCAGTATCTGGAGAGCCAACCCAGTCCCTGCTTTCACAGATGGAAAAAAGGCTAGGAAGGAAAGTGAAGCTGCAAAGGAGGATCGGGCATTGCAACAACGAATAAATAATTTTTTAAATGGGTTCAAAGTCTGGGGTGTGCGGAGGGGGAAGCTGAAGATCCCCAGGAGCGACAGAGGCCCAGCCGTCCCCGACCAAGGGTCAGTTGGGAGCCCAACAGGAGGTAGAGGGTATTATGTTGGCAACCCCTGGCAAAGAACCCTTCCCCCGGACGTTCTTTCTAGCCTGGTGTCCACATTTCCACCATTAGCCCTGCTGAAGAGAACAAGGTGGATCTGTGTAGCCAGAACTGTTTCCAAAGGAGGGCAGCCTTACAGAAGGTTGCAAGGAGCACACGAAAGCCACAGCCTTGTCCCCCGGTGCATCTCATGAAGGATGCAGTGGCGGGGCTGGCTTTCCTCACAAAAGCAAGCTGTTGAGACCACACCCCAGTCCTCGCTCCTGGGTTCAGGGAACGCCCTTAATGTGCAACTCTACAACAAATGCTGGAACCGCTAAGGTAGGGCTGTGGGGGCGTTCTTCAGCCCCAGGGGCACAATCCCGCCTGCGTTCCATTGGTGAGCGGGGCAAGGAATGCAAATTTTGCCTTTGCACAGTAGGCTAGTTTCCACCACCCTGCTTTCCTATCCTCCCATCCTGACGAGCAAGAGGCAGGATCAGAGTTCAAGGACACATTTCCAGCCCAGCAAAAACACGAAAGGAGGGTGTGGAGCAGGGCCGGTCAGGGATGTGAGTTGCAGAGAGTTCTGAGGGCCAAATAGTGAGGGTCAAATAGGGAGCCCCAGGCCTAAGGCTCCTCACCCCCACTTTAGCCTGAGGCTCAGATAATGACCTATTCTGCAGGTTGGTGGTAGGTGGAACCAAAAGGAAAAGTGGATGGAGCAATGCATGTAAATTTTGCCTTTCTACAAGGAGCTAGTTTTCTACACCCACACCTCTCTCCATCCAGGCAAGCAAAGGCACGATCAGAGTTCAAGGACACATTCCCAGCCAGATGAAAATACTAAGGGAGGGTGTGAAACTGGCCCAGTAAGGAGTACAGCTGGAGAAAGCGTATGGCCAGAGGAGAGTTCTGAGGGCCAGACAAACAGGTTTTGAGGGCCACATTCTATACCTGGCTCAAATGAACAAATACAATACAATAAAACCACGGCTGAAAGAAAGGCATAGAAGGAGCACTATTTTCTCATCACACCTTCTTAGGGATTTCACATTTTGTTTAATTGGCAGGGTTTTACAGGCTCGTTTCCCGACAGAAGTTACTGGCAGGGTTAAGCAGCACAAGCAACGGATCAACAGCCCCAGACGTCTGGCCTAGGAGACAAGATGACCATTTCCCCCGAAGTCCTGTCACTCCACAAGAACCGTTCTAACTCGGCGCTTCTCCTCTTCCGCCCTCCCCTAGTAAACATGTACCATGCCATAGAGGAAAGTCCAGAAGAGGACATATGTGAAGAGACCCCCGATCAGCCCTCCGGTGAAAAGGGGCCTTCGGGATTTAAAGTACTTGCTCCACCGCCGCCCGGCTTTCAGCACCAGGAGGATGGAGAGGAGGGCGGAGGCCAGGAAGTAGAAGATGAAGCCGTGAAGGCCGGTCAGGCCCAGGATCCCAGCGGTCGCTCCTGAGAGGGCAGAGACTGACGTCCGGCAGTAATCCAAAATGGCTGCGTTCCCTCGGACGGCGGCTTCACTGATGAACTGGGGGCCTTCCCGCTTGGCGATCACGGCATTGGCCATGGCTGCGATCCAGATCCGAGCGCCACTGCTCACTTACTGCACTCCTGTGAAAAGAAGAGCAGGAAATATTGATTCGTCAGGAAACACCAGGCGGTACCATGCAGCAGTTTGGCTTCACCCCCAGAGGCGCACTCCATTGTCTCTCAAGGCAGATGGATACTACTACTACATTCATACCACAAAACAGCTCTGTATAGGCAAGATTGCCCTTTCGCTCCGTGAATTAAAACAAAACCATATTGTCAGCTATGAGGTTCTGGTTGCAAATCACAAACCACTGGTTCATCATAACTGACTGAGAGTGCTTCTCATTCCCACCCCCATTCCCCTCCTAAACCTCCTAGGTTCTCTGCCCTCTTAGAAATGTAAGCACAAGCTGTAAGGGAGGGACATGTGCTTTGCCTGCAGAAGGTCCCAGGTTTAGTCCTCCTGTTAAAAGGATCAGGTAGCTGATGATGGGGATGACCCATGGTTGAGTTTCTGGAGAACCAATGCAAGCCAGAATAAACAATAATGGTCTGATCAAGGCTGGGGGGGACACATGACCTTCTAGACGTTGTTGAACTACAATGCCCATAATTCATGGCCATGCTTGCTGCAGGGAGCTGGAGACCAACAAAATCAGTACATTTCCGAGCACATTTCAAAGTGTTGGTGCTGACCTTTAAAGCCCAGTATACCTGAAAGAGTGTCTCCACCCACATCGTTCAGCCCTGGACACTGAGGTCCAGCTCCAAGAAGGGCCTTCTGGCAGTTCCCTCACTGCAAGATATGAGGTTACAGAGAACCAGGCAGAGGGCCTTCTCGGTGGTGGCGCCTACCCTGTGGAGGGAGATATCTGACATTTAGAAAACAACTGAAGGCAGCCCTGTTTAGGGAAGTTTTTAATGTTTGATGTTTTATTGTATTTTTAAATATTTTGTTGGAAGCTGCCCAGAGTGGCTGGGGAAACCCAGCCAGATTGGCGGAGTATAAATAAATTATCATTATTATTATTGGCACCAGTTTCCAAGTTCCTGGACTGAACAGACAAATATGGCATGAGGTAGCTTTCCCTGTTCCTCTGGAAGGGGCTGTAGCTCAGTGGCAGGTTCAGTCCCTGCCTGGATGGCCAGAAAGGTCCCCTCTCTGAAACCCTAGAGGGAAGCCACCAGTAAGCCATATTGAGCTAGACGGGCCAACCGTCATCTCACTGTACGGCAGCTTCTCGTAAATTTATATAAGCCCTTTAATCAGAACCATGATGACTGGAAACTTGCTTTATTTGTCAGGGGAAAGGCTGCAGCTCAGTGACAGAGAACCGGCTTTGCAAAGCCTTCATATCCAGTACCTCCAAGCAAAGATGGGGAATGTTTCCCAGCCTGAAACCCTGGAGAGGCACAACTTTGTGGGGAAGGACAGCCTTGAAGCATATACTGTATTCTGTATCCCGCAAAGCATGGTCATGATTGATTATTGCAAGCGAAAGAACGCTGACGCCATCCCACAAGCCTCGCTCAGCACAACTCCTTTTCGTCCCCCTCCACTGGAAGCCCGCCTCTGTCCCGCTCCGGGATGACGTCAGAGCCCCGGGTTATGGCGTCAGGGTCCTCTGCCATGATGTCTGAAATAAACGCCATGAGTGACCCATTCGGTTCCGAGAAAGAGGACCGCCGCCCCCTCCTCCCCGCGCACACCAAGAATCCTGCTTACCAGTTTTGGGTCGCCTTTTTCCCCTCGCTAATGCCGACCGAAAAAGTCTTTCCCTTCCAACCGGCTTTACCGGAAGTGGGTAGACGCCGCCATCTTACAGCAGAAAGGATGCTGGGAGCACGGGTGACGTCACCTTCAGCGCGCCGCGGCGTGACTCCGCCCCGCTTCTCACATGAGCCCCACGGATCCTGGCCGCGGAGATACTTTCGCGTGCCTTATTTGGAATTTCCGGGTTTGTTTGGAACTTCCGGCGTCTTTATGCCACACTTCCGGCGTCTTCACGCCACATTTCCGGTAACGTCCGTCGAAGTCGTTAAAGACGCCGTGGATACCATTGATATGATTCGAGCTAGAGCGACCGCTTCTTCGTAGACCGGATTTCCGGTCTGAATTTGGCATGTAAGTTTCGGCGCTGAAAGCTGATTGAGTGGCCTTGTGCCAGTTACTATCCTACCTCACAAAGTTGTTGTGGAAAGTTGTTTGCAGCTGTTTGTCGTGGGTTCATTTAAAAAAAACCCCAGACCGTTAAAATAACAGTTCTAGTGAAAGGAACAGAGAGAAGTTAGGTGGTCAGGTGAGGAGAGCGAGGGAGCGGGCTGAGGGGAGTGGGCGTGGCCTCTTGGTAGGCGGAGAGACGTTGCCGGCCGTGGGGGCGTGGCCACGAGTAGCGGCAGTTGGAAGGGGCGTGGCCCGGACGCGGGTGAGGCGTGGCAAAAAGAGGTCGCGAGGGCAAGTATGTGCGCACGAAGAGGGGCGTGGCGACCGTTGGAGGGGAGGGGCGCGGCCTATTGGTAGGCGAAGAGACATTTCAGGGGCGGGGCGGGGCCACGCATAGCGGCAGTTGGAAGGGGCGTGGCCCGGCCGCGGGAGGGGGCGTGGCCAACCGAGGTCGCGAGGGCGAGTATGTGCGCGCGAAGAGGGGCGTGGCGACCGTTGGAGGGGCGTGGCCCGGCCGCGGGAGGAGGCGCTTGGCCGCGGCGGAGGGGGCGTGGCCCATGGCGAGAGCGGCGCCGGGCAGGGGCGTGTGCCGCCTCCGCCTCCGGCGCCGCGGCGGGCGCGTGAGCGACACGGGGCGGGGCGAGCGGGCAGCGAGGGCGTGGCCGTGGGCGTGTCCTTCCCCCGAGGGGGCGTGTTCATGGCCCGCCTGGGTCGGATCGGGCCGCTCTTCGCCTTTTGTTCCGTGGGAGGCGAGCGAGTGAGGCGCGGCGCCCGAGGCGGGAAGGCCGAGGCCAGGCCAGCGGGGGCCATGGCCTACATCCCCGGTCAGCCGGTCACGGCCGTGGTGGTGAGTGGAGGAGACGCCCTGCCCCCCCCCGGTGTGGGACCCCCCAAAACCCAGCCCTTCCCCCCAGTTTCATTCTCCTCTATGGGGCTGGGGGGGGGAGTGGGGAAGCCAAGGATTTGCAATAGTGATTAACGTTGCTCTTAATCGTTTTGTAAACCGCTTTGAGGGGGAAAACAGCCACAAGCGGCATGCAATTCTAATGGAAGAAATGTTGGGTTTAAATCCGGATTTAAAATAAAACCCATCTGCTCTGGATGGGAATAATGCGTTAATGCAGTAATAACAAACGTCACGCTCGTTGGTGGCGATTTGTTGCCCGCCCTTCACCCTGAGGGCCCAGGGCGGGTTGCAACAATTAAAACAGCGCTAAAAAGAGTTTAAAACAGCTGACAGTCAGTGCTTTTCTTCTAGGAAAAAAGGTTCCAGTACTGCGTGCCCCCGAGTACCTCCAGGAAAAAAGCACTGCTCACATTCACAGAAGTAGAGTGGGTTCTCAAAGCAGGCACGTCGAGTGTCAAAAGCTAAGGAAAATAGGTTTTGATGTATTAAAAGAAAAATGTAATAACGGTGGTGATAATTTATTAAATTGCTGATACATTAAAAACATACTATAATCTCCCTGAAATGCATAGTGGAAGACCTGTCTTTTTCATTCAGGAAAAAGAGGGTGAGGGGGGCATTTTAGCCCATCCTACCTCTTTTCTTCACCTGCTTTTAAAAAAAATGCTGGGGATGGAAAATGGGCCTGAATGTGTGTGTAGAAAAATCAGCTATTTTGTTGCTCATTTCCAACCCTAACTCTTTCTTGCCTCCTTTAATTTGAATGGATGCATAGAATTGAATTGGAAGGGACCCCGAGGGTCATCTAGTCCAACCCCCTGCAGTGCAGGAATCTCCGCTAAATGCATCCATGGCAGATTGCCATCCAACCTCTGTTTAAAAACCTCCAAGGAAGGAGAGTTTGCCACCTCTCATGGGAGTTTTTTCCCACTGTTATTCTACTCTTTGGCTGCTCTCTTGGAAATGCTGCCAGAACATCTTAAAATATTGCTTAATTTCAATGGGCTTGCTGATTACTGTTGGATATAACCCACTGTGCAAATATGTGTGTGAACTTCACATATAATTTATATGTATTCATAAAAATAGTGAAGATTGTTTTTATTCCTAAAGCACTTTGACCTTTCCTATAATTGAATCTCAGATAGACATTTACAAGGCACTGCACTTGAGAGTTTCCAAGACACCCTCCCTGCTTACAGTTTTATCTATGTGTGACAAAAAGGGAGCATAGAAAGGGCTGTGGAAAGGCAAGCAAATTGAGGCACTGATTCTGGCCTAATAGGAATCCTTGCAATGACCTGGTGGGACGGTCACTGTGGGCGACATTTCTGGGCAAGGAAGAGGTGCCAAACGGCTGCGTTTGTTCTCTGCTTCTGCTTTATTAGGAGGCTGCCCACAATTTTGTAGTCTCTTGAGGGATGTTTCCCTCTCTTGCGCTCTCCCCTTACTCCATTACCTCACTTACTTCATTTGTTCTTATCTCCCCTCCTTTCCCCTTCCAGATGCTGCTGAACTGCCACCTCCCATCATCCCTGACCGTTGGCCATGCTGGCCATTGGGAACTGCAGTTCTGCAACATCTGGCTGGCCCCAAAAGCCTGTTAATTCTCCTGCATCCAGGGGTCTTCCTCCAGCTGCTGAGCAGGGGTCTGGACTCAAACCCCGCCGCATTCTTCCCACCCTACCAGTTGATCAGACCCCCACAATCTCAGAAGTGTTCCGGCTAAAAGTTCCAGAAGCAGTGTGTGTGTGGCTCTTGCATTCCATGGATTTACTCCTTCCGGGAAAATTCCTCTCTTGCCCTGCCTGATTAGGGTCTTAAATCTCTCCCCCTTGTTTTGTGCCTCTCTTCTACTTCCAACCTTCCCCCACAATTGCAAATCTTTATGCTTTATTCTTACCTGGTTCCGCCTGCCCCACCCTCCAAACCTTGCCCTCCCTCTGGCCGCCAGTCTCCCCTAGATTAGATCTGTTTGATTCCATCTGATCGGTTCAGTCTCCTTTGGGAGTGGTTGGTGATTCATGGCTGGTTGAGCAAATAGCTGGGAGGAGTGAAAAATGCTCTTTTTGTCGTCAAGGCACTGAATAAGCATAACGTGTATGTGTATGTTTTGTTGCCATCTGGTACAGGCAGGGAGAGTACCCTCAGGGCAGCCTGGCCCATAACCTGCTCCCTCCACCATACAGAGCAAACCAGCAAACCGTAGTCTGTGTCTGATCACAAGAGTAACACCCTCTCCTTAGCCTAAGGTCTGGGGTGTTTGATGAGTACACCTTGACAGGAATCCTGGGAAAAGACATGGATGAGTCAATAATGGCTTGTCTAGCCTGAGTGCTTACAAGTCCAGTGGTGATTTTTTAAAAAAACAAAACGGTGAATGGCACAGACTGGTAGAGTATGGGTGTGGTGGGGAGAGTTTGGCCCTGGAAATCCCATTTTCCAAAGAATGGGGCAGCTGTGAAGTTCAGGGAGCGCTTTTTAAATGCGAACAAAGCAGAAAACTTTGTAGACCCTTCTTCCCCAACCTGGTGCCCTCTGGACATTTTGGAGTATAACTCCCAACAGCTCCTAGTCCAGAACATCTGGAGAGAAACAGCGTGGAGAAGTCCGTAGCAGGCATGTGGTGTATCTCCTGATCACGTGGAACACAACAGTGGAAGGAAGGGTTGATGAGATGAGATTTGCTGAAAACTGGCACTTGTTCATTGCATTTATGTCCCCGCTTTCCTCAGGGCAGTGTAGGTGAAATGGGGTGCACAATGGCCCCGTGTGGTTGATTAAGATGAGAACGCAAGAGGGGCTCGCCCAAGGTCACCCAGTGAATGGAGATTGCAACCCAAGCCTTGTTGGTCCGCACTGCTACACCCCGCTGAGCTCACAGAGAGCGAGCGCATTAGTCATGCATCATAAGAATTTGGGGTGTGGAAGGGATACCAGTGGCGAAAGCACTGGAAAGAGCCTTTCTAATTGCTTTTCAAACAGGCCATGAATGCTGTCTGAAAGTGCTAAAGATGGAGAGAGCATTATCTTATCTCATGGTATGAAGCAATCCAGAAATAACAGTCATAAGAGGCGGGGTGAGGCTTGTTCCCAGACGTCAAGTGCAGTTCTACCCAGATTTACTTGGAAGTCTGTGTCATTTGGTTTAGTGAGGCTTCACCCCTCCAAGTAAGGATGCATAGTAAGCATTGCAGCCTAAAGCTCAGCATTGGCCCGGGTCTGTGTGTTTTTGCACCCCCTTCCCCTAAACATCTGGGTTTCTCTGTCCCCAGATGTTATTGGGCTCCAGGCATGCCTGACCATTGGCTGAAGGGTTTTGGAGTCCGACCTCGCTGCTCTTTTCTACAATTCCCCTCTCTACTCCAGGAATCAACTCTTTATTGTCAGGGGCAGGGAACGTGCGGCCCTCCAGATGTTGCTAGATCAGAACTTCCATCATTCCTCTCCCTTGGTGTTTATGGGCGCCACAGTTAGCCACTCCTGCCATAACGGATCTGGGATTCCTCCGCTCCGAGGGTAGCAAAGCTGTGACCCTTAGGGAGTGTGGGATCGACTTGTCTCAGCCCCAGCCAGCATGACCAGGGGGTCAGGAATGACAGGCTGGGCAGCCCGATGCCATCAGGAGCGGCTCAAGTTCAGCCACCCCTGCTCAGCTCTCTGATCGTGAGAGAGGAATGCTGACAGTTTTCATTTTAAAACTGAAACTGACTGTTCCCTGAAGGCAGGAGAGTGAGCCCACTTGGCTTTAGACCTGTCAATAAAAATGCCAAGTGATGGTGCCGTTTCATCCCCTCTAACCTTTTGTCCATCTCACAAGGCAGCGAGCCACTTAACGCTATCTCTGGAGTCACTGCTGCCATTCTGCCTTGTTTGGCTGTCTTCCCTTTGGTCTCCCTCGCCTTTTATCTCTCTCTTTCTGAAAGTGCTTTTCTCTTTCCCCCCTCAATGAGCTCATAACCCCCGTCTCCAATAAAAGGGTGCTTGTTTACACGGGTGAAATCCGATGCTTCCCCTCATTTCAGAACTGGCCGTTCTTGACCCCCGAGGAAATGATCTTGGATAGAAAGAATGGGAGCAAGGCACGCTCTGGGAAGATGGGGGCTTTTTGTTTCCAAAAATCCCTGCGGCCCAAGCCTTGGTAAAGATTACCCTAATCTTTACCCTAAGCTACTGCCCTTCCCTAAAAGTATTTCCCTTTTCCCGTGGTCTGTTCTTCCTTCCTTCCAATCCTCCTTTCCCAAATTGCTCCCCTGCCATCCCCTGTGTTAGAGCATTTGGTCCAATCCAGCAGGGCTCTTCTGAGCTGTCTGTCTCTCCTTTCTGCTCCCTCTGTGACACAAGGGCAGGTCAACCAATCACTGCTGAGGGCTCCTCTGCCCCCACCAAATCCCACGCTGGGCTCAGATGAAGCTGCTTTGGTTTAGAAAAACGCATAGCTGGCTCAGTTGCTCTTTGTAGTTAAGGATGGGATAGAGAGAAAAATTCTTCTGCTTTTTGGGGGGGGGCAGATGGGAAGCAGGGCTTTGTGAAGAGCAGATGGTGGTTTTGTGCAAGATGTTGTGTCTGGCAGTGCAACAGCAAAGGCCTTTATGCTGTGACACACAACCTCCTATTGAGACACCCACCCACCCCTTTTGCAGTTTCAGAACCCTTTCCCCTTTCTGAACCAAGCAGGATGTGACCCATGGTGTCATCGCATGCTTGCCATATGTCTCTTTTTAAAATAAAGGCCTTGTTGGCTCCAGATTCCTGGACAAGAGCACCTCTTTGTCCTGTTATCAAGCGTCTCACAAGAGCCAGAATGGATGAATCCCAAGCCGCAGGGTGTACGAGGGCCTGCAAAGAGTCCTCGCGTTTCACACGACTCACCTCTCCCTTCCCTTTCAGCAAAGGGTCGAAATCCACAAGCTCCGCCAGGGGGAAAACCTGATCCTGGGCTTCAGCATTGGAGGCGGCATTGACCAGGACCCCACGCAGAATCCCTTCTCGGAGGACAAGACTGACAAGGTCAGTATCTCGAAGGCCTTAAAAGGCGGCTGGGCTGGGCTGGTTTCGTGTAGGTCTGGCCTTGGCGTGATTTGAGCAGCAGAGTTTGGCTGGATCCTGATTGCGTCCAAAAATGCCTCTGTTGCTGTTGCTCAAATCCACCCTGAAAAGATCACTCTTGGTCCGGAGCCAGGCTGATCATGCAGGGAGCCTTTTTGAGGGGGTGGCAATTTCTACAGGCTGTAGAGAAGACTCTGGCAGTGTAACAGGAGACTTCCAGGCATGCCAACTCTTGTCTGTTTGATTGGCTTTTTTTGGAGCAGACTGGTCAAGATCCACTCACCTGGCCTGTTCTTGAGAAAGAAGACATCTCCCCAGGCAACCAGATAGGAAAGGCCTGGGGGAACCTTCGTCTTCCCCACTGTGGAAGAAGAAAATGGCAATTACTCCTTTTTCTTTTATGCCACAAGTGTAACTGGGTATGTGTAGACAACAGATGGACATTTCAATGTGGACTAGCAACTTGCAGGGCTGTTTGGGCTTTTGCGATCAAAAGAATCAGTTGATGGAGCTTACAAAAGCCCTGGTACAGGGATGGCCAGGTGGCTCTGAGGATGAACGAGCAGGGAGGACAGAGGATTTGGCCCTGGCTTTTATAAACTAGATCTCTCTGTAGTGTTTGCTTACTCTTGTGCAAGCCCCTCTGGAGGGTGGCTGTCTGGAGTTGCTTAGCAGAGATTCCACTGGCTGAAGCCTTCCTCTCTCCACCTCACTTCTTGTCATTGAGCAGAGAAGCAGAAAGCTCTTCACAGAGCTGCCTCCAGTAAGCCAAAGGGATCTTTCTCAGACACCCTCACTTCTGGGCAACCTTCTGAGAGCCACATGGGCAAGGGTGCAATTTTTACTTTTTGTATGGCAGGCTTATTTCTGCATTCAGTCACGCATCCCTCTCTACCCTCGGTCCAGACAGTCGAGAGGCATGATCAGAGTTCAAGGACACATTTTTACCCAGGCAAAAGCCCGCAAAGAGGGTATGAAGTAGGTCTGGTGAGGGTTGTGTCCTGGGGAAGAGTCCTGAGTGCCTGATCGAGAAGTATGGAGGGCTGCATCTGGCTCCTGAAGGTTTCCCACCGGTGAACGAAGTCATCTAGAGCCGATCATGCAAGTGGATCAGGGCCTTGTCACAAAATGAGCCTGGAACTACCTCCCCACCTCCAGTTCTCATTTCATGTGCATGTCCAGTGAGGGACCCGGCCAACTCCTGAGACCTCCGTGGTGGTATCTTTATGCAGTCCATCTTTTTCTCCTCTCAGGGCATTTATGTGACCAGAGTGACGGAAGGTGGCCCCGCCGAAGTGGCCGGCCTCCAGGTCGGAGACAAGATCATGCAGGTAAATCCCAGAATGGTTTAAGAAGCAGCAGGGGGGCGTCCCATTATTTCTTCCACTGCCAGGCTTTCCAGGTACTAGTTTTCCCATTTAAAGTGTGAGAGGTTAGGCTGAGAGGTCATGACTGGCACAGGGTGCTTCATGGATGAGTGGGGATTTGAACCCTGGTCTCTCAGGTGCAGGCCTAACACCCTAACTGCTACACCACGCTAGTGACTCTTCTGAGTGGTCTGTTTTTATGGACTCAAATTAAAGCTTTAATCACTCCATCCTGTGAATTAAGTTGCTGAAGACCTTCCTTACGAGGCAAAACAAAAACACAGAAAGCTGCCTTATATATACTGAGTATATATCTAGCTCATTAATGTCTACACGGACTGGTAGCAGCTCTCCAGGGCTTCAGGCAGGGGGCATCTCTGTCATTCCTGGAGACACTAGGGATTAAACACGGGACCTTCTGCATACAAAGCAGATATTCAAACACAGCTGCTGTTTTATTATTTATTTAATTTATATCCCCCTCTTCCTCACAAAGGAACCCCTAGAAACAAAACCAAGACTCCAGTCCTCATGATTCTTAATTAAGGGGTGATTTAAATAAGAAGCTGTCATATACTGATCATTTCCCCATCTATTGGCTCTCCAGAGTTTCAGACATTTCCTCGCTCTATACCTGGAGATGAGCGATTGGACCTGTGACCTTCTAGATGCAAAGCAGATGCTTTACCACTCAGCTACAACTCTTCCCCTGAATTTAGGGCTGCACGGGTTAGAAAAAAGTTGGAGGAGACATGTTAAAGGAGTCATGTTTAAAACTAGAACCCGTGAGATTATTGGACCAGGATCCAGAAAGCTCATTGCTGGACCTTGGGCCAGTCACTCACAGCCTTACGTGCCCTGCTGGGCTGTTGCAATGATAAATGGCAGCGCAAGAATCTTGTACACTACTTTGAGCTCCTCAGAGGAGAGATGGGATGCCAATGTAATAAAGAGCGGCATGGAGAATTCTAGCCTGATACTAACATCCACATTCACACCATGAAGCTTACTAGAAATCAGGCTGAGGGAAGCCGCAAAGTAAGATTAAAGCATTCTGTTCACTTCCACAAAGAATGTGGTGCTGGCCTTTTGTTTGGTTTTAGAAGTGTTTTCACCCAGATTTGTTGAGGTCTGTGGGTGATGGTTGTGGTGGTGGAACAGAACTTGCATGTGCAGGCAGAAACCACCCCTGGATGTGGGGCGTTAGGAACTGGCTCCCAGCTTCTGACTGCCAATACCCCTTGGTTGGCTGTCCTGGTGCTCCTGGTATGCTTTGAATTGGTGGTGGGCCTTTCCTCAAGCAACGCTGCAAATGTATTGCAGGTGAACGGCTGGGATATGACGATGGTGACCCACGACCAAGCCCGGAAGAGGCTGACCAAGAGGAACGAGGAAGTGGTCCGCCTCCTGGTGACCAGGCACTCCCTACAGAAAGCTGTGCGGGAGTCCATGATGTCCTAACCGTGCCATTGAGTTGGGGGGGGGGAATGGATAATCTCCAACAGGGTGGGCAGGATGCTGATCAGGGACCACAGCCAGCTGGGCTTGGAAGACTGCTGCACCCCCCCCCCCACTGCAGAAAATCCCTTCCACAAAGGAGGTGCCATCTTTGTTGAGAGACTCGCCCCTCTTTCGGTTGTACTAAAATGGCACCAGTGCAGTAGCAGTTTGACCTGGCAGGATCAGCAGCTATGGATGGGCGTGGGGATCCTGTATTCCTTGCTTCCCCAGGTGTTGTTGGACTGATCCTTCAGCTGAGGCTGCTGGGAGTTGGAGTCTAGCAACATTTGGAGGGCCCCTGGTTCCCCACTCCAGTCCAGCAGGGGTCAAAGTGAGTTGCTCCCTTGGGTGGCAACACTGATACCAGCTGTGCAGGGAAATGTTTTGGCTTAAGGACCGACCCTTGTATGTAACCTGCCCTGACCTTCTCTTGCACAAATGGACGGCATCCAGCTTCTCCTGATCGTCTCCTGATTTCTCTTCCTAATGCTGGCTGAGTTCCAAGCCTAGAGAGCCTTCGCCATACAGCCAGGGGGAAGGAGTGGGGAGGGATATGGGGGTTGGGCGGGACAGTTTTACAAGCTCCAATACCTTAGCTCCTTTAGAGTGTCCTCTAACATAAAATGCGTCCTGGGAAGCTCTTTGTGGCTTAAACACCAAAGGCTCTTAAGACTTGTCATTTTGCAGAAAGCCCACATTTCAATTTTTATAGCAAAGGCATTCTTGTAAATAACCTTGTTCCCTCCGTGTGTGTCCTCATTCTAGTTCTAAAGCTTAGGTTGAAGATAGCAAAAACAGCCCACAGGAGAGAGAGTCCAAGCCTACTCTTGAAACTTGGGATGCACGGATTAAGCTGAAACCTTCTGTTGTGCCAAAGCGCCGTGTGCGAGTCCCCTTTCAACCTGTACGTGGCAAATTAGTGGCACCCTGGACTGGAAGTGCTGAACTGTAAAATGATGATAAATAACAATATAGGCCTTTTACGCTAGAGTTATTTTAATCAGGGGTGGCTCACCTGTGGCCCCCTGGATTTCACTGGACTCCAGCTCCCATCATCCCTGACTCTTGGCTATACTGGCTGAAGGCAGCTGGGAGTTCAACCCCTCTGGGTGCCCGTGGGGGGGCACCAGTCTTGTAACTGGAAACCTCTCCGATTCTCTTCCGTGTTTATCTCCGTTGAGATCAGGGAGCCTGTTGCATTCCAACACCCATCAGCCCTGCTCCAAGGGACGGGTCATAAGAGCTGGGGGTCCCCCAAAAGGCCTGGAAGGTCACAGATACCCCACTGTCATGCTAGGTCTTTTTCTGGGGCAGAAGCCTTAAATCATGCTTTGGGAGGGCTATCGCTCCCCCAGAATTGTCTTCCCATACCTGCTTGAGGGAACAGCTGCATTTGTGAAGTTTGTCCAAAGGGCAAGCGGTCTGGATCTTTTAGAGGGCTGAAGGCATCTCCCTGCCACACTCTTCCAGCGGTTTATCCTAGTACACCCATTTTGATTGATCTTGTATACGGCCTTTCTGGAATTTGCTTCCAATCACAGTTTTTGTATTAAATGTAACGGTCCACAATACTTTTTCTTTTTTTAAATCCACTGTAAATAAGCCCTTCTCTCTCCCTCCCCCGCAAAGTTTGTACCTCTAACTTATTTCAGTATATTACTGCTATTCCACTTTTGTGCTGATTTTACTTCAGTGATGTTAACCTTCAAGCTGAAAAGAAGTTGCCAGTCTTGTCAAATACCACTAGATGCCTCTTAAATCACTGCATTTTGTACTTTGATGATGCCAAGGTAGTTTAGGGACTTCCTCTCTTTTGGCAGGCTTCCGTGAGGAAGCCTTGGCAGGGCGGGGCGGGGCGGGGCTTGCATGTTCAACTGTTTCGTTTTTTTGTAAGGGAGGGGAGCAAGCAACTGTACAGCTCTGCTGCGTCTCATTTTACACAATAAAAGGAAGCTGGATTTTCTGTCTGGAATGTATTTCTGTCACTGCTTTCGTTGACGTGTTAAGCGTTGGAGGATAAGAGCCAACTTTGCCGATGTGGTTCCACAAGCGTTGCTTTGTTCTCACTGCAGAAGAATGGGAAGGCATATAAGTTGGGTGCCCTCCAACTCTTAGCAACCACAGGCAGCATGGCCAATGATTTCCTTCCACCCCTGATTTAGGCAACCACAGTGAACACTGCAGGGGGCCAGTGGCCCATCTATACCAGCATCGTGTTCTCACAAGAGCCAACCAGATGCCTCTTCTGGGAAACATGCAAGCAAGACCAGAGCACATGAGCTGCGTCTGACTGGAGGCAGAGCAGCGCCATCAATGGCCTTGGCTTCCATGAATACGTCTATTCCTCTTTTGAAGCAAATCAAGTTGGTGGCCATCACTGTCTCCCGTGGGAGCGAGTTTGAGCACCCATCTCCAGTATGGGAACTTTCCTCCCCTTCCTGACCTGGAGATGCAGGGAAGAGAATGCAGCACTTTGCGCTTCCCCAATATAAGCCGCTCCGCCCCACGGCTGGAGACTAACAAAAGGCTGCTTTGATCAGTCACAACCACACCACTTCAAGTTTTGCTGGATGAGTTTTGAGCCAGACCGCCCTTGTACAAAGTTGTTTTTATTTTGTTTAAAAAAGGCCAGATTACCAGTTCTTCATCTCAACAGCAAAGCTAACAAGGGAAGGAAGAGGTTGACTCAAAACAACCTCCATGAACCCCTTTTCCTTCCTCTTCCCCCAGCCCAAAGGAAGACTTGCATCTGTGGCACAAATAACCTTCAAGTATATAAGTAGTTTGTGTTGTTGGCATGGATTCCTTCAGAGGAGCGACCCTTTTCTCCTTCCTTGCAGGCAGCTGCAAACTTTTAGATGGCAAGATAATGGCCCATACTCACAGCCGTAAACAGCTGGAGAGGAAGAAGTAACCCCCATCTTCCTTCTGAAGCAGCTGTGAGCACCACTTGCCTGAAAAGCCCCCAAGAGATTTCCCTCTGCAGGAGTTGTGCTGCAGTCTCAGAAGGCATTAAGGCACCGGAAGGCGATTTGGAGCAGCAAAATGAGGTTTGTAGTAACTAAGTCCACGTGAGGAATAGGCAGAGTCGCTGTGCTTTTCAGACAACCCAGTCTGATTCCTGTAGTGTTATCCACCTCAAGGAAGCTCAGCTAGCGAAGGCAAGCACAGAGGGGGCGTCCCACCAGGGCAGACGGTTACTCAAAAGTCTCGTATTCTTGGCGGCGGTACAAGCAGTAATGCTGGACGATGAACACAATGTCAAAGATGATGGAGAAGAGGCCCAGCCCAAACTTGGTGGGGTCCCCAAAAAGCAGCCGCCATTCATCTGAAAAGCAAAGCAGGGAAGGAATGCAATACAGATTGTGTATCAGCAACAGAATAAGTTGAGAAAAGATTAAAGGCTAGAAGGGGAAGGGACATGATGAAAGCTTATCCAAACTTGTACCCCTCCTGTCCACCTGAAGCTGAAACTTGGGGGTCATATAATGAAAAGCTGATAAACCAAAATGTATACTTAATAATAATAATGTATTTATACCCCGCCCATCAGCTCCCAACAGAATATTAATAATAAAAAGCTATAAAACATCTAACATTAAAAACTTCCCTAAACAGGGCTGCCTTCAGATGTCTTCTAAAAGTCAGATAGTTGTTTATTTCCTTGACATCTAATGGGAGGGTGAATTATAATAATTGGGAGGGCAAAGAATAAAAATAGCCTGCATCTTCACACAAGGCATCCCAAGAGAGATTCACACACACCTCCCCACAAACCCAATCATATTTTATGGTTTCTAAAAGCAGAGTAGGGGGAACTCCAGGCCAATGCAGTCCTCTAGGGCTCTGTCTAGCCGCCAGGGACTCTTCCCCAGGGCACTCCTCGAGCAGCCCTGCTCCACCCCTCTCCCGAAGCACTTTTGCCTAGGCAGAATGGGACAAAGGAGGAGGATGACTTGTTTGCTTGGATGGCAGGGCGCCTGTTTCTTGAAACTGCAGACTTGTGGGGCTGGAATGCAGCGTTCTGTGCAAAAGGCAACCCACCTGGGACTGCCCACTTTTGTCCCTGTGCCCCCCACCATCGACGGCATGTGGCGCCTGGAATGTCCCATCCCTGTTATAAATGTCTCAAAAGGAGTGCAACAGAAAGAAAAAGGATTTCTGCCCCAAGCTGCTTAAGCAGGTAATTGGGTTTTTATTAAAAAAAAGGGGGGTGGACATCACAGTATGAATTCACCCTGACAAGATGGGGCAGTAGGCAGTAGATTAGGCCTAGTGTATACATGCAAGGGAATGAGAGGGTCAGAGGGGGCTCTGCCGCTTTAGAGGAAGACTAAACCCAGCGCAGAAGTTTCAAGAATGGAAAAGGATTACGGGGTTTTTAAGGGTTTGTTTATTCACTGCTTCTTGGCCCAAAGACAGCCCCCCAAAGTGAACAGCATATTAGTATAATAATAAATGCGACAATCATTCAAAAAAATAAAAGATGGCAAAAAGTAAATACCAATATTTCCATCAGCTTCACCTAACATGGGTGATGGGGGCCCAGCAATATCTGGAGGACCGCAGGTTGCTCCCCCACTCATGCTCTGTGTACAGCAACATATGGGGAAGATCACCTCCCACCTCCCTGCCCATCTTTAGATTCTTACGAAAGGTCAGTATCAGAAAAACAGAACTGTGGCAGGACAAACCCTCTGGCTTGATCAAGCATGCTTAGCTCTAGGTTAGATTACTGCAACACATCATATGTGGAGCTGATGGTCCAGAAATTCAGCAGCCAGGTTGGTCACCCCACGGGGCAAGACAGTTTGAGAATATAATGCCATCCTGGCCCAACTGCACTATCCGCCAATTAGTTTCCAGGCCCAATTCAAAGTGCTGGCTTTGACGTATAAAGCCTTAAATAGCTCAGGACAGCAATACCTCAAGGATCGCCTCCTTTCATATGAACCTGTGATCATCATTCTGAGGCCCTCCTTTGTGTGCCTCCTCTGCAAGAGGTCCAGAGGGCGGCAACACGAGAACGGGGCCTTTTCAGTGATGGCTCCCTGTATGTGGAATGCTCTCCCCAGAAAGCTCACATGGTGCCCTCTTCAGGTATCAGGTGACAGGCATTCCTTTCTAACCAGCCCCTTTTCTTTGAACTGTCCATGGCTTTTTCGATGGGGTGGTATGTTTTATTGTATTCCCCCACTGGTTTTAACATACGTATGTACAGTTGTTGTTTTTTGTAAGTCTCTGAGTTGCTGCATTGAAAAGTAAGCAGCTGATAAATTTAACAATAAAAATAATAATTACCATTGTTGTAAGACTGCAAGAACATCTGAAGGAGGCTGAAGGTGCCTCCCGTGAAGTCCAGCAAAACATTCCCGATGCTCCAGCCCTCGGTGCTCTTGCGGCGGAAATTCAGGTAAGCCTAAAAAAGGAGGGAGAAGGCATCTGGGCAAAGGGGCTCCCACTGGGAAGGAAGATGGTCTCCCAAGCTTCAAAAGACGAGTTTTTGGTAGGCTGGCACTGGTTTTCTGATAGATCAGGCCCAACTACATACAAAATGGTGTGGGAAAATGGGACCGACTGAAGGAGGGTTAGGTGAACTAAGGAAAATGACACGTTAAATGGCGTTATTTGTTTTGATGTCAGGCTATAGAAAACCACGAAAGCTGTAAAGGAAAAATTAGTAATTTATATCATTGTATATCAGATGATTATGTTAAATATTAATAATAATAAAAATTATTTATACCCTGCTCTCCCCAAATTTTTTTTTATACCCCTGCCCAGAGCCAGGCTCAGGGCAGCTAACACCAATAAAATCAGAGTAAAAACATAATGGGGGGGGGGAGAACCAATTTAAAATACAGGTTAAAATATAGGATTCTTAATCCTATATTGTGTCATCTAAATTCTGCTCGTGGGGAGGGGATAGTTTATATTTATACCCTAATCAGCATTACAGTGGTACCTCGGGTTAAGAACTTAATTCATTCCGGAGGTCCTTTCTTAACCTGAGATACCACTTTAGCTAATCGGACCTCCTGCTGCTGTGCAATTTCTGTTCTCATCCTGAAGCAAAGTTCTTAACCCGAGGTACTATTTTTGGGTTAGCAGAGTCTGTAAACTGAAGCGTCTGTAACCCGAGGTACCACTGTACAGGCAACTCCTCATTTGCGCGGGGGCTGCGTTCTGGGTTGCTGTGTGCTTGTGTGAAATTGTATATTATTAGGACACCCATTGAAAAAGCCTGCAAACACCCTCTCTGCCCCTTTTTGTGGTGTTTTGGGGTCACTTCGGGGTTCGGCGTGTATGCACGGTCACACGCATATGGGACACGCATAAAGCGGTTGCTGCCGGCACCGAACTTTCATAATATTGTTTGGTATGGAAATTAAGAAAGGAGACAGAAGCTTGATGACAGACAGAGGTGAAGCCCAGCCATGAAACTCAGAATGGGTCCATCCGTCCCCACTTACCTGTGGGAAGTATTTGACAAGGGTGACGCCCAGCTTGATGTAGGAGAAGTAGAAGAGGAAGGCGAGCCATGTGATCTTCCCGGCAGCGGCCACGGACAAGGTGGCGAAGACGAAGAGCCAGGCAAAGACGAGCAAGCCAACGGCCACCCAGGAGACCTTCTGGGTCCCTCTCTGAAAGGCCAGATCATCAGCATAAACAACTTACAAATGAGACATGCAGAACCAGGAGTTGGCACGTTGGGTGGAGGGTTTCTTTCGGCCTGGCTCAGTGGTTAGAGCATCTGCTGGGCAGGCAGGAGGTCCTAGGTTCAATGCCCCCGTATGAAACCCTGGAGAGCTGCTGCCAGTCAGTGTAGACACTGAGCTAGATGGACTCACTCAGCCCTAAGTCACTTTCTTGCATTCCTCTTTAAATCTGCTCTTAATTCGGAACCATGAGAACTAGCATCCTGCTTTATTTTGGGCGGGAGGAAGGGAGCTGTGGCTCAGTGGTAGAGCCCACAGAAGGTCCAGGTTCAATCCGAGGCAGGGAGGGCCAGAAGAGACCCCTGCCTGAAACCCTAGAAGAGCTGCTGCCAGCCAGTGCAGGCAATGTGCTAGATGGGCCAATGATCCAACTCTATAAGGCTACCTTATGTTTCTAAAGGGAATTCAGGGGTGAGACTTGCTGGAGTGAAAAAGCTTCTTTTCCTTTGAGTTAAACCAATATAGATGGCATGCCAGCAGTCGGAAAAGGTGCGGGCATACTATCTTAACACTTAAAAGAGCTTCCGAGAGAGCGATCTGAAGGGTCGAAGCTCACCTCGTAGATCAGGCACTGGAAGATGATGAGGAGAGTCACAGCGACAGCGTGGAGGCTGAAGAAGACGTCGTTGCTGTCCACCGGGTTCACGCCATTGGGATAGGAGCGCAGGAACTGCTCCTAAGGAGGCAGGAGGCTGCTGGTCAGAACTGGGAATATGAGGCAATGGCCAAGCCCCAGTGGAAGGAAGGAGAGGGGTTCCCACCTACCTTCACAGATTTGACCCAGAAGAGGCCAACGTTGAAGACCGAGTAGGCAATGAAGCCGGTAAGGTTCAGGGCGATGAAGTCAAAACTGAGTCCCACCACGCTGGAAGGAGGCAGGGGATAAAAACCCAGAAAATTATTACGACTTGATTTCTTGAATAAGAAATCAAGATAAATATTTTTATAAACGAATCGAAATGGTTTATTGAATAAATTGTAACAGATAAAAACATTGGCAGTTTCATAAGAGTATATATTTAAAGAAGATGAGTAAATGAATAAATTCAGTTAATTTGAATATGCCGAAGGTATTAAAAGTAAATTTAAAGAACCGCAGAAAGTGGGGGAAGAAAGTCAAGTTTTGAAATGTCAGAATGATTGTAAAATCAGTGAAATGTCTAAATCTGAAAAGTATAAATTAAAAATTAAAAAAAGAAAGAAAATTATTGCAACTTAGTACCGTATTTTTTGCCCCATAGGATGCACTTTTTCCCCTCCAAAAATGAAGGGGAAATGTGTGTGCGTCCTATGGGGCGAATGCAGGCTTTCGCTGAAGCCTGGAGAGCGAGAGGCGTCGGTGCGCACTGACCCCTCTCACTCTCCAGGCTTGCGGATAGCAGCCTGTTCTGGGGGCTGGGGTCGGGGGAAGCTCGGGCTTCCCCCGCCCCAGCCCCGCGCCTGGGGGGGAAATGAAAATTTTTTCCTTTATTTTCCCCCCAAAAAAACTAGGTGCGCCTTATGGGACGGAGCGTCCTATAGGGCGAAAAATACGGTATTTTAAATTTGTTACCTACCCTTCACTCTAAGGACCCAGAACGGGTAAAAACAATTTAAAATACAGGATCAAGGGACTGTTTTGAACAACTTACAATCCTAGCAATATGATGGGCACTAAAACCATATGCATGTCAGGTGACAACAGCCAGAGTAAAGAGGAGCCTTCTGCATTGGCCAGAAACTATCTTGAAGGTGTCAAGCCACCTCAATAGGGAGGGAGAGAGGATGTTCTGTAATGGTGCAGCTCCTTCCCGAGCTTCTGAGGGTGGTGGAACAAGCAAGAGGGACACCACCACCCCAATTTCAACACCTGAGGGGGTCTGTAGGGAAGGAGGTGGCCTTTCAGATCAATCAAAAGGTTATTAAAATGTACACATTGGTAGGCAGGCTTTTGGCCCAACAGGGAAAATGCCATCGGCTAGCTTCCAGAAGCTGTGCATCGTCAATGTCTCACAGTGACAGCCAGCTCTGAACTTGCCCGTCTGCTCAACCAAAGCTAGAATGTCAAGTTCCTAGGCCTTAAGACTGCAGAGATTTTAAGACTGAATGAAGCCTGGAGGAGGGGTCCGCTGTAAAGTCAGAGGCCAGAGGGGAAGCTGAGAGTGGGACACAGTGGCCGTGGGACTGATCCTTCAAGGGAGGCAAAAGTTACTGTGTCCAGGAGAAAATGGGACAAAGGAGGAACAAGCAAGTCTGTACAGCAAAAAATAAAAGTTGTTTTTCTATATGCGATCTCCCCCTAGTGGTAGCTAGAAGCGAGCGGGAATTGTATTTGAGCTTATGTACAGGGTCCCCAGCCTTTTGGAAATCTGAGAACTGTATCATGGGCACCCCAAAAGCAAGACCCCTCTGCTTCCTTTTTACCTTTTCCGTCTCCAGTTCTCAAACACCTGAGGGTAAAAGGAGACTGACCAAGCCAGAAAGTAGATCCAGCCAATCACCTGGTCCACGATCCTCACTGCATTGCTGTGGATCACGAGGAAGCGGATTCTGGGCCTGCAGGAGAGGGAGGGGCAGCAGGTCACCAAAGGGAAGCTCACAGCACAATCCATTATACGGATCAACTCTGGCATTTAAAAGCCATCGGGCTCAAGGAGGCTCACCCTGGAGCCAGTGGGATGGAAGCCTTCAGAGTCCATTTCAAAGACAGGGAAGAGGAGGCCCCTATAGGTTTCTCTTGGGAGGGGCCTGCCAAATTTAGGGCAGAGGGGGCGGCCTCAAATGGAGCACTGTCTGGGATAAACATCTGTTTGGGGTTTTTTTTAAAGCAGATTTCCATACTAGCAAGCATCTCCCAATTTACTCTGCCTCCTAAAAATAATTCTGTTCAGGCAGACAAAAAAAAATGTGTTCTTAATTTGGCCTTTAGGTTACCCTCGATTTTAATTTTGAATTTTTGCTCTTAACGTTTTTATTTATGACTTCATGGTTTTAGTCTTTTCACGAACTGTTCTGAGGTTTGTTTTTTGTCAGCCAAGCAGTATATAAATGTTATGATACAATATTATATCAACTGCATTCTGGCATTTCGTATATCCCACCTTTCCCCCAAAGAGCTCAAATTGTCATGCATGCTTCACCCTCTCTACATTTTTTCTTCACAACAACCCTGCGAGGCAGGCACAAAGTCAGCTGTAGGGCAGGTGGGTATGGTTTGGCCAGAATTGCCTCACAAGCCATAACATAAAACAATTAGGTAGGAACAGAAAATTTCTGGTCCTCAGTGGGAAGGGAGGCCGAGTTTAAGAAATTTTAAAAAATCCTGAAATTGTTCCAAGGAGCATTATGGCTGTGGTAACAAGGATAGAAAAACACTGAAGGCTGACTCAACTGCTTACCCTGTTTGGTTGGACGAGTTGGACTGAAGATACACAGTCAGCTGCCCGACTTCTTTTGCTCTCACTAGGAAGCTCACCTTCTTTACGCCTGCCGTTACGATTACCTGGTAAAGCACGGAGACAACAGAAGTTGCTTTCTTCCCCAAGGACCACCTCTCCCCATATGAACCGACCCGGACCCTGCGATCATCCTTTGAGGCCCTTCTTCCTGACAGGTCTGGAGGACGGCAATGTGAGAACAGGGCCTTTTCTGTGGTGGCTCCCAGTTTGTGGGCTGCTCTCCCCGGGGAGGTCAGCCTGGTGCCTTTGTTATATATCTTTAGTGCCAGGCAAAAACATTCCTCTTTCTCCTAGGCCTTTGGCTAATTAATATTCTATATCCTTTTAAATGTGTTTGTGGGAGGGGGTTCTGGTCTGTTTTTGCTATTATTGAATTTTGTGTTCTCATTTTGTATATTTATGTTGCAAACTGCCCTGTGGTCTTCAAATTTAACAAACAAATAACTAACTATTCCAGGGCACTGTGCCTGGCCCTTGGGACTCCCCTGGGCCACACACCACTCTCCTAAGGCCACACCCCTCAATGGACATGCTCTATGTCTTCCTCAAGTGCTTTTGCCTTGAACTATTGATAACGCCTGAACAGAGAGGGCTGTGCACATAGAAACACATGACACATGTGGGACTCTAATGCTACACTGCCCTGCTCAACTGAATTGCATGGATGCCTCTTGCTTGCCTATACAGGGATATAGGCTGGTGTGCATAAAGACATATTAGACTTTGGCTCGGTTGGAATGCAGCCAGCAGTACACAGTTGGGTCCACTTATTTTTCCCTGCTGGTCCCACCCACCACAGCCATGTGGCCCCCGGAAGCTCACCCACAAGGGAAAGCGGCCCCCAGGCCTCATCACCAGATTCACGTGGGCTGGCAGTGGTTCTCCCGGACTTCAAACAGGAATCTTTCCCAGCCCTTATCTGGGGTTGAACCCGGGACCTTTCCCAAAAGGCAGGTGTTCGTTCCAGGACTTACTTGATCAGGCAGCTCGACGATGGTGCCGTTTTCCCTGGATGAATATGTAACATTAAACGTGATTACCAGCGTCTGATTGAGCGGATTGCTGGAAAAGATGGGGGGGGGAGGGAATAGGATAGACATTAGCAGAACCGCAGAGCATTTCTAAGACCCCAGCTGCATTACCAACTTTATACTATCATAAAGGTAAAGGGACCCCTGACCATTAGGTCCAGTCGTGGACGACTCTGGGGCTGCGGTGCTCTTCTCGCTTTACTGGCCGAGGGAGCCGGCGTACAGCTTCCGGGTCATGTGGCCAGCAGGACTAAGCCACTTCTGGCGAACCAGAGCAGCGCATGGAAACGCTGTTTACCTTCCCGCCAGAGCAGTACCTATTTATCTACTTGAACTTTGACGTGCTTTTGAACTGCTAGGTTGGCAGGAGCAGGGACCGAGGAACGGGAGCTCACCCCGTTGCGGGGATTCGACCCGCCAACCTTCTGATCAGCAAGTCCTAGGCTCTGTGGTTTAACCCACAGCGCCACCCGCATCCCTATACTACCATAGCTTCCCCCAAAGAATCCTGGGACCTGTAGTTTGTTCAAGAAGCTGAGAGTTGTTAGGAGACCTCTATTCTCCTTGCAGAGCTACAGTTCGCAGAGTTCCCCAGGAAGAGGGGCTGACTGTTAAATGTCTCTCAAGGGTAATCCTGGGAACTCTAGCTCTTTAAGAGGGCTCAGAATTTTATCTCTAGGGGGTAAACTACAGGGATTCCTTGGGAGAAGCTAAGTGTTTTAATGTAATGGTGTGGGTGTGACCTTTGTCCTGGAGGAAGAAAGAGGCGGCTATATTCTGGCTATTTTGCAAAGGGAGAAGTGACGTAACTAGGCAAATAAAAGGTAAAGGGACCCATGACCATTAGGTCCAGTCGTGACCGACTCTGGAGTTGCGGCGCTCATTTCGCTTTATTGGCTGAGGGAGCCCGTGTACAGCTTCTGGGTCATGTGGCCAGCATGACTAAGCCGCTTCTGGCGAACCAGAGCAGCGCACGGAAACACTGTTTACCTTCCCGCTGGAGCGGTACCTATTTATCTACTTGCACTTTGGCGTGCTTTCAAACTGCTAGGTTGGCAGGAGCAGGGACCGAGCAATGGGAGCTCACCCCGCCGTGGGGATTCGAACCGCCAACCTTCTGATCAGCAAGTCCTAGGCTTAACCCACAGCGCCACCTGCATCCCTTAACTAGGCAAATAGGGAGCTGAAAACCACAGTTATTTCTTACCACCACCACCCCTCCCTGTAACCTTCAAGGACAGAGATCAGAAACCCTGAGAGTTCACCTTAAAGTCACCGCAATGTCCATCACGCCACCATTCTCCAGTGAAACCTCCTCAGGAACAGAAAGCGCCGGGGGTCCATCTTAAATAGAAAAGGGCAGGGGGAAGAGAGCTAGAAGGCATTTTCCAGCTTGAGACAAGCTACTTCTGTCTTGGGGGAGAGAAAGGAGGTATGCTAAATCCCAACTGCTACATGAATCATGCATTTTATGGCAACCCCAAGGAAGCATGGGGCAGGGGGGGGGGGAATCGTATGAACATAGGTTCCCGCACTCTCCTTCGATGCCATGTAGAATATTTAGAGGAGAGATTTGCTGGAATAACCTGTGCCCTAACCTGAAACTGTGTGTTCAGCAAGTGGTGTCAAGATTGAGGGGGACAGCTCAGAGCCAGTAGATTCTGAGCTGCATCACTCTGGTTATTGGAAGTTTGCTGTATATTTCTTAATAGAGTAGACCAGATTAAGTTACTCTGTTAGAATCTTGAGTAAGGTTTGCAAGTACTTGTACTGTAGCAGCCTGGAGGGGGCTAATGGTCCAACTTGCCTGACTTGGGAGTCTGGAAGGCAGAGGGCCTTCTTGGTGGTGGTGCCTGCCCTGTGGAACGCCCTGCCACCAGATATCAAGGAAAGAAACAACTACCTGACTTTTAGAAGACATCTGAAGGCAGCCCTGTTTAGGGAAGTTTTTAATGCTAGATCTTTTGTTGTGTTCTTAATATCTTGTTGGAAGCTGCCCAGAGTGGCTGGGGAGGCCTAGCCAGATGGGCGGGGTATAATTAATAAATTTATTATCATCATCATAGTATGGTGTTTCAGTTTAGCAATTCCTTGGTGTGGTAGAAGTCTAGGAAGCAAACACTGTTGCCAAATCTTAATTTTTCAGAGACATGCTCAACTGGTTTAAATGTTGGGGTTTGCAGTGCATGCTGTGTAAGCGCTCTGTACATGGTCATGGTTCCCACTGTTTCTGTAAAAATGAGAGGGGGTGTTGGATATTCTCTCTCTGTGTGTGAATCATTTGTTCCAGAAACAGAGAAGAACAGATAATATGTTTCAAGAAGCAGCAGAAGGCTGAGATTTTTTTTGTCTATGCAAGGACCTTTTCTGTGGGAACTGACATGTGCAGTGTGACAGGATGCACTGATAACAAAGGTTCTGTGTAACTTGTAGTATCTTGCTGCGAGTCTCTTGCTTGCGTCTTGCGGTGAGAGAAGCAGAGAGTGAGTCTTGGACTCTTGTTGGACTCTAGGCCTGCCTTGACCAGTGGTGAATGTCTGTATATCTTTGCTACCAATATGCTTTTATACCTACCTAGTAAACTTCTACACTGGACTGAATCTTTATGGCGCCCATGAGTGTTTATCGGTGGTTAGGGATAAATATGCCACAAATTAGGTTTCTGTTTTTGCTCTAACAAATCAGACAAAATCATAATTACAGGAAAGAAGGATCCGATGCCCTTATTGACTAGTGTTGAACCCAGTTGCAGTTTTGCAATGACCAATCGCTTCTAACAAATAGATTTGACTGTCCAACCAATGTAAGGCATTGCCTGAATTTTACATTTCTTTGTGGATGGGGAACATCAAGGAGCAGGGGCTGAAAGTGGACACCAATCACCCCCCCCCCCTGATCTCTCCGTCAGGCCACCAACCGCTTTGGCCTTGTTTTGGATCCTCTTTGTGTGTTTTTGTCTGGCTAGAATGGGGCCTGGAACTCTTATAATACCAGCGATAGAGAGGGGTGCGAGAGAGAGAGAGAGAGAGAGAGAGAGAGAGAGAAGAAAGTAGAGCACAATACAAAACCACAATTTCCATTCTCACTTTTGGCCTGTACCAAGCAGCCCCCAGAAGACCACTCAGAAAGAAACGTGGCCCTCAGACTGAAAAAGACTCCCCGACCCCTGTTGAAAGGACATTGTTTAAACATTTACAGGGAGACCACTATTATACTATATTCCTGGCTCAAGGAAAGGTATGCCTGCCGCAGGGTCAAAGAATGAGCATCATCAGATTCCCACAGCAGGGTAAATGGGCTCTTTCCAACTCAGTGGAAGTACTTTTGATTTTTCCCTATTTACAGCTACCACCCAAATTGGTGGAGTCTTGTAAGGAGCGGGGAGGAAAATGCGTTTTGAGAGAGGGCAGATCAGCACCCTGAACTGGGGGCTTCCCACCCCAGCCTTAAAGCCACTGAAAAGCCATTCCTACTTAGACCCAGGAAGTGGTGGTCTTTGGAGCAAGCACTGCTGGTTTGTGAGTCTCATGACAAGATCACACTCGCTTGAAACGGCAAGGAATCTAGCCGGAGGCGAAACTCCGTCCTTTGATGGATGAGGGATGACTTACCACAGGCTCCCAAGGACGCGAGAGACAGGCCCAGCAGAAGGAAGAGGCCGATTCTGTGCACCATTTTCTCCCCAACAGCTGGCAGCTGCAAAACGGCAAGTTAAAAGAGGAAGTCCTGGTTAGAGAGGCAGGGAGCGAGGGCTGACGTCCCAAGACAAAACTATGCTTTTTTTAAAAATAGGGGGAAAAAATGCTAGTCAAGGGGCAGGCATCAGTCTTAAAAGTGGGTAGGCTTTGGTTCAAATCCCAACTCAGGTGCAAAGCTTAATCAAGGAGCTAATCGCCGTCTTTCAGCAGTCTACCTCGCAGGGTTGTTGAGAAGGTAAAAGTGTACAGCGGCTTCCGATGACCTGCTTGTAGAGCATTAGTTAAGATTTGTTTGTGCCGCGTCAAGCAATCATTACCCCATGCCTACACCAGCGCATTTCCCCATCCTTGTTGCAGGAAAGTCCTGATTTTGAAGTGAAATGGGTTTGTTGTGCAATACCTCCTAATCAACTATAATTTCTCAACCCTCCAGCATGTGACTGAATCCCGGGTTGGGAGATGATGATGATAACATTCCTGCCACCTTGAGCTCCTTGGAAAAAGAGCAGGATAAAAAATGAGGTAAAATTCTTTTTCTCAAGAGATATTTAAGTTTTACAACAACCCAAATTTAAGGACAATAAAATGGAGCAATACAGATACAGTACTTAATGCAGACTCTCGCATCATCAAACAGTCATGATTGTGCATTTGTACGAAATCATACACTCACATAAAATTGAGGCGGAAATCCTATGCCCACTTACCTGGGCATGTGCCCTTCTGAATTCAGTGGGGCTTACTTATATGAGGGGACATAGTCCAATACGGACAGCCCAGCCGCCCAGAGTGGTTGGGGAAACCCAGCCAGATGGGTGGGATGGAAATGATAATGATAACAGGAATAATCATAATTATTATTTAACCTTTGCTTTAAAAACAACACCACCCTCATGGGCAAAGTTATATGGCAACCAGAAAGAAGAAAAAGCTCCAGCATAAAAAAAGATTGCTTGACCAAATTTTGAATCGCATCAAAAGCAGAACTCTTACTATCATCATCATTTTATCATTACCAAGACCATCAACTGCCAACCACCTCAGCGTCCAGTACTGCACTATTTCAATGCAGATTCCCCACTCCACCCACACCCCAAGCATTTTAAAAAATGCCAGTGTGGCTTAAAATCCAAGTAAGGAAGGGCAGGTTTAGAAGCGAGCCGTTGAAAACATGAGCTGGGTGTGGGCGTTTGGGCTGAACTCTGTATGTGCTCAGAGGGCTCTCGGACCCTTGCTTCACTGTCTCATAGCAAAGCATATGCACAGAGGCGCCTCGACTTCCCTGGTTCCCTGTTTTTGGGGGGAAGCAGGAACAAAGTTTTGAAGGGTCTCAATGGTGGGGCACCCTTGGGTGGGGATTGGGGTGTCATGCCCCCTGTGGCCATAGGGTGCTGCTGAGGGCTAAGAGGAGGAGGAGGGGAGGAATAGAAAGGAGACACTTCTTTCTCACACACGACCCCCTACCCAGCGCAAAGCGCCCTAATTTTAAAAGTTAAAGGGCGCCTGAAGGGAAAGCACCGCTGTTATAGACTACAAGCCCCGTCATGCAACGCGGCACCCGAGGCTTCCCAATGCCGGCGGCAGCGCACCGCAGTGCATACTGGGAGTCGAAGTCCTCCGAGGCCTGATTCCCCCGCCCCCCTTGTCAGAAATAAACTTAAAGGCCGCCTCGCAATCCTTACAACGGCCCCATAACTCACCGCAGCGGGGCGGGGAGCGGCGTCTCCTCCTGCCAAGCGGTTCCCGCGACTGCCGTCTTTCCCCTCCCCGGTGTTGCTCCCACGGAAGCCTTTCACGTCGTCACCAAGGAGACGGGCCTTATATAATGGCCGGCCTCGCCTCAGGCCTTCCTCTCTCGCTCGGCGGCCATCTTGGGTGCGGCAAAGTCCTCGCTTTCCCCCCGCCCCCTCTCTCCTTCCTGGCTTGTGAAATCTTTTTGTGGGTTTCTCTTTCCCGCCCTCTCAGGCGAAGCAGTGATTTGAGGACACCTGTGAAGTAAGGTAAGCTTGGGGAAGGTCTCCAGTGAGGAAGTAAGGCGGGTCTGAAAGAAGGCAGCTGACACGCCCAAGATGGCGGCCGCCACCTTCGGTGCGTCGTACTGTACTTCCCACATCGTACCCATATCGAGCTCCTGAAGGGGAACGACGCACCCAAGATGGCGGTCGCGTCCTGAGGTCGCCATCTTGGGTGTGGCGCGCACCCCTCGGACATTGGTCCAAAGTTCACTTTCTTCAACCCGATTCTGCTTTGATCTGCTTTTTTACTTCGTATTTTAGCCCCATCGTCTTAACTCTGCTCCCATTTTAAGGTTGGAGGGGTTGTTAGCAGCGACAAGCGTTTAGCCTCCTTTGCATTGATTTACCTACCTGTTTTCCTCCCTCCCTCTAAATTGTATTTTAATTAGTTTTGTTCTTATATTCTTTTATTGGCTTCGTTGTAAGCTACCTCTCGCACAGGCAAGGTAGGATACAGGTTTGTTACTGTGCAGTAATTAAATAGAAATAGCATAGGTGATGGCACCATTCAATAAAAGTTTACTCAGGAGTAAGCTGCATTGATCAGTTGGGCTTACTCAACATCACGTAATAGATTATAGCTTTGCACTCTTGTACAGCATCAAAACCACCCCTTTCCTTCCCTGCAGTGACCCAGGTGGTTTTGTATAAGGAAGATGCCTCCCAAAATTCAAGACAAGGGTTTGAATCCTGCCATGGCGGCCTGCGTCCTGGGGATCGACTTGGGCACTTCATCGGTGAAAACCATCCTGCTGCAAGAGATGGAGCAGGGACCCACCGTGATCTCAAGCTGCGCCAGGGAAACCCGGGCTCAGGTGGAGAGCCCCAGTGCCGGGCCACAGGTGAAAGAGGATGAGATAAATTAATGGAAATCAATTGGGTGGTTATTTGTCGTGAGTAGCCCATGGAACCTTCAAGTGCAGGGGCAGTCTACCTTTGAATACCAGCAGCACATTGTGGGCTTCCCTATAGCATCCTGTAGGCTGTGGTGGAACACAGGTAAAGGTAAAGGGACCCCTGACCATTAGGTTCAGTCGTGGCCGACTCTGGGGTTGCGGCGCTCATCTCGCTTTATTGGCTGAGGGAGCAGGCGTACAGCTTCCGGGTCATGTGGCCAGCATGACAAAGCTGCTTCTGGCGAGCCAGAGCAGCGCATGGAAACGCCGTTTACCTTCCCGCCAGAGCTGTACCTATTTATCTACTTGCACTTTGACGTGCTTTCGAACTGCTAGGTTGACAGGAGCTGGGACCGATCAACGGGAGCTCACCCCGTCACGGGGATTTGAACTGCCGACCTTCTGATCAGCAAATTCTAGGCTCTGTGGTTTAACCCACAGCGCCACCCGCGTCCCTAGGTGGAACACAGGAGGCTAGACTAAATCAACCTTTGGTCCGATCTTGCAAGATGGATCAGAGGGACCTTTGGTTTGATCCAGCGTTGCGTTCTCAAGAACATTGGAAGCTGCGTTATACTGAACCAGACCATTGCTCCATCTAGCTCAGTATAATCTTCATTGACTGGTATATTGGCTCTCCATGGATTCAGGCAGGGAGTCTTCCCACCCTTGGCTGGAGAGGCCAGGATTGAACCCGCGACCTTCTGCATGCAAAGTGGATGCTCTGCCACTGAGCTATGGCCCTCCCCAAGTCCATTGGGGTTCAGAGGAGGCTGTGGACTTAAGTTGCCACGCTTCTCCCCCTGCTAGAGCTCCTCTACATTCAACAGCAGTTGATCCAACTGATAGAGCTCTTCTTCTAAAATAAATCTGGCATGCCAAGATGGGAGCTGCTTTGCTATCACAGAAAGCAGGTAAAACTGCTTCCAAGCTTCATTCCCTATGGACTTTCTCTCTCTCTCTCTCTCTGCTCATGCAGGGGAACGAGCAAGATGTCCGCAAAATTGTCGCTGCCTTGAATGACTGCCTCGCCGGTCTCCCCCAGCAACTCCTGGGAAGGGTTTGCCGCATTGGCGTTTCTGGACAAATGCACGGAGTCGTGTTTTGGAAAACAGGTCAAGGTGAGAGAGCTGGTTTGCAGAATCCTCCTTTCCAAATCCAGCACCACTCCTTCCTCAACACTTCTGTGGTGGCATCCTATTTAAAAATGCAAGCATTAAAAAAAAAGAATCAAAACTTAACATTTTCAAGCCTAATATCTCCCTATTCCCAGATTCTAACAAAATGGTGCAGGGGGAAAAACAACCCCAACCCCCAGGCAGATTGAAGCTAAGATTGTGTCTGAATGAATAAAAGCAAAGATACTCAGGACTTTCCTTACACTGTATTCGCATGTGTGAATGTGTGTGTGTACATGTTCTCTGTTCTTTTTCCCTCTCAAAGTCAGGGCCAAGATAGCATTAAAAGGCACTGGAGAAATTCACAGAGGGGAGGTTAAGGGCTGTTAGCAATGATAGTGTAAATCAGGAGATGAGAACCTCAGGCGCCCAGGGGCAAATGTGGCCTGTCAGGCCTCTCCTTCCGGCCTGTGGGACTCTCCCTGGGCCACACGCCCTTTGCAACCAAGCACCTTACTGGTCTAGCTTTGCATCCTCCTTGAATGCTTTTGCCTGGCTTGAAATCCATCCTTGAACTCTGATCATGTCTCTTGCTTGCCTAGACAGAGGGAGGTGTGAAGAAGCAAGCCTGCTACTCCGCCCATTTTTGCCTGTGGTCCCTCCCAGCACTGGTACCTGGCCCCCGGAAAGCATCCCAGAAGGGCATGTGGCCCTCAGAATGATAAATATTCCCTAGAGGAACCATGAAGATGTTGATGATAATTTTTATTAACCCATCTGTCTGGGTTGCTCCTGCCACTCTGGGCGGCTTCCAACACGCATAAAAATAATAATAATAATAACAACAACAACAACAACAACCACAACAACAACCACCACCACCACCACCACCAAACATTAATAGTAGTAATCAGATCCTATATAAAAAGTCACAATAACTTTAAAATAAAGAACTTTTGTCAAATAAAGCAATATTCAAGAATCCATTAGAATCCAATAGTAAACAGTACAATTAAGCGCCAGCAAATAATAAACAGTTTACGCTTATCAATTACAATAAAGAATGACTAATAAATCAATAAAATCAATAATAGTAAAATAACAGCAATAAAATAACAGCAAATCACAATGCATAAAATGCCAGAAAATGTACAAAACCACGTAGAAGGACCAAACTGAGAAACAAGGACCCACAACTTGTAAAATTATTTTTAAACACTATCCCTGAACTCCTCTCTTCCCAGCTGCTTGTGCTGTTCTCAAAGCCATGGTCTGGGACCGGAGGGGCAAGGCAGGTGGAGAAGCCACTGCCTGCAGAAAGTCTCTCTCCCATCAGAAAGGCAGATCGGGTTGTGGGGACTGATTTCCTGAAAGAATTAGCTGCTTCTTGTCAGAGATGAATGTGGTCTTTAATGGCCTAGCAGGGTTCCCAAGCGATTTTATTCCTGGAATGCTAAAGCAATCAGAAATGGCTATTAGGTTGACAAACTTGCTCTATTTTCCAGATTTCCTGTGGGGGGGGCGGGCGTAAGATAAAATAAAATCTGGAGGTCACTATTTGCCTGTGCTTTTGAGTGGAAACGCTTAATTTTTACCTTTCTCCAAAGCCATGAGTGTTTGGTTTTGACCTCTGCCCAGATGTAAATGGATGCAATTTCTCTTTCTCCTGAGTGGATTAGCCAAAATCACATCTTCTTTGCTGTAAATGATGATTTTTATCTTTTTTGTTTTGTTTTTAACTGATTACCATTAATGTCCTTTCAAAGAGGCCATTTTCATGTTAGGAAGAGATAAATGGGAAGGGAGGGATAACCCAGCGTGGTTGAAAGCAACTTTTTATATGGAAAACAAAAGAAAGGTCGGGAGAAAGAAACGAGGTAGATTTTCTTTTCTTTTTTTGCTTTTCTGTGGTTTTAATCTTCATTTATCTAATGTCTGAAGAGCTAAGCATCTCCCGAAAATTCAGGCAATGTAGTTCCGCAAAAGAGGATTGCCCTTAACACCATTATACCAGTGGGTTGGTTTTGTGCTCAGGGAAGGGCCGTAGCTCAGGATTTGAACATCTGCTTTGCATGTAGAAGGTCCCTGGTACGATCCCTGGGGTCTCCAGATAGGACTGGGAAATAAGTCTGTCTGAAACCCTGGAGAGCTGCTGCCAGCCAGTAGGACTGGGCAGTATATTGATATATTGTCCAAAACCGGTTTGAAGTTCACATCGTGATAACTGTTTCTTATAATATTTGAGCTGGCAATATCACACGAATCACAATGTGTGTGAGGGCTAGGCGATACCTGGTTTCCAACATACCGTATTTTTCGCTCTATAAGACGCACCTAGTTTTTGGAGGAGGAAAACAAGAAAAAAAATATTCTGAATCTCAGAAGCCAGAACAGCAAGAGGGATCGCTGTGCAGTGAAAGCAGCAATCCCTCCTGCTGTTCTGGCTTCTGGGATAGCTGCGCAGCCTGTACTCGCTCCATAAGACGCACGCACTTTCCCCCTTACTTTTTAGGAGGGAAAAAGTGAGTCTTATAGAGCAAAAAATATGGTAATCGGAAGCGGTGTTCTGCTTGTAGAGAAAAACAAGCACACCAGTTCTAAAGTTCATGCAGTTCTCACGATGACCAGTTGGGATGGAAACCATTCAGAGAGGGGAGGAACCCAATGGAGCTGGTCTCTCAGCTGAGCCGACGGAGGGGCCCTGCTTCTCATCTACCTCTGCCGCAGCATGATGAATATGTATTGTCTGTTGACCGCTGGAGAAGCCCAAAGGAGCTGGTGTCTCTGTAGAGCCAACAAAATGGCCCTGCTTTCCACCCATCCCTCTCAAGACGCCAGGAGGTTCTTGCTGGGTGCAAGTCACTATATTTCAGCAATGGACTTTGCAAGCCTCAGTGCTTGGAATTTGCAGAATGGAAGAGTTTATTGGGACAGTGTTGTCTGGGGAGGAAGATAGGGAATCATTCTGCTAACTTGGGAGCAAATGGAACACCCCAGGTCCCCCCCCCTTCATTGAAAATAAAGGTCCTTGTGTCCGTGCAGACAACACGGTGCTTTTGGAGGGGACACTGATGGACAAACATAACTCAGGATGGTCTGGGTCGCTTTGAATGAGCCACACCAGGCTAACAGGTCCTCCTTCACCAGCTCTCTCTTCCCGTTCCAGGTTGCAAGTGGATCGAAAGCGGGCACGGGTGGACGTTTGAGCCTGAAGAGGTCAGTCACCTGATCACATGGCAAGATGGCCGCTGCAGCAGCCCCTTCCTGTCCTCACTGCCTCAGCCGCAGTCGCACCTCAGCGTGGCCACGGGCTTCGGCTGCGCCACAATCTACTGGTACTTGAAAAACAGGTACTGCTGCCCCTTCCTGCTTCAGCTTCTGCATCTTGCTTTGTCGCCTGCGATTCCGTGATGATTTATGTGCAGCCAGAGGCCAGGGTGGCCTTCCTGGTGGGTTCAGTCATGGGGGAGAAGCAATTGGGTGCAGCGGTGGGACTCAGACCAGGAAAGTTCACGGGCGACCTTGAGTCAGTTGCACATTTGCTCTCTTGGCCTAACCTACTTCGCAGGGCTGTTCTGTGGATCAGAAATGTGGGTGGGGGAAAAAATGCTTTGAGTTTCTTGGAGGAAGAGAGAGAGTTCTCTTTCATTGTATACAAGTCGCTTTTTCCACCCAGAGTCAGTCACAAATTAAAAGGTGTATTAACCAGCAGATGCCCAGGTACATCAACTTTTTGTTTGTATGTTTATTGGACAGCCCAGATTTCCTGAAGCGTTATGATGCTGCCGGCACCATCCAAGACTACGTTGTGGCCATGCTATGTGGCCAGGAAAAGCCACAGATGTCTGTCCAGAACGCAGCCAGCTGGGGCTACTTCAACACCACCAGCAAAAGCTGGAATATGGACATGTAAGTTAGCGCTGTGGACTATTACAAAGCGGGGTGTGTGTGTCATTATTTAATTTTTCGATTCTGTGTGTTGGGATACGAGAGAAGGGGGAATGACTTTTCTTAGATTCCCCCCTCACCCCCCACAACTCAATTTTATTTTTTTTTGTAAGTGAATCAGGAGCAACTTCTCTAGCAAACCAGAAACGCCTTTCATTTTTAAAAATCCAACCCCTTGACGGACTGAAAACACTATATTCCCGACCATCATTCCCCCTCCACCCAGAAAAGCTGTGTTAGCTGCTGTTTGAAGTGGCCGGGTTTGCTCTTTTCAGGGACAGGCGTCTGAGGCCTCCAGCTGACTCCCCGAAGGGAAGATTCTCACATGCACAACCCTGCCAGGGAAGATAGAATCCGCTTCCTAAATCCGACTCAAGGTTGCGGACAACTTGGGTTTGGCTTGTGTGTGTTTCCGGGGCTAACCTGGTGTGGCAACAGAAGCGTATGGTGGCCGTGACAGGGTTGGGGTTGACCAAGGGGTGCTTGCTGGGTCTAACTGCTTGTGTGTGTTTTAAACTTTCTGAAGGGTTAACCCTTGGAGCGGTGTGTCCACACACAGCACTCTGCTTTTTAAGGACAGTAGATCGATTTATCTAGCATGTCTGTGCATGTTTTTAAAGTACCACCCATACATTTTCTTAACAACAGCCCTGCAAGGTAGGTGCCAGGATAATCAGCCCCATATCGCTGGGGAATGTGGGCAGGTGTTCCTAGACTTGCGCTGCTGTTGACAAGGAAAGCGGATCTGGAACCCTTTGCGGGGAAGCCGTGACCTTCCAGATTTTGTTGGCCTCCAACTCCCATTGCCCCAGCCCAGGGGCAGCATTGCCAGTGGTGGGCTTGGCCAGAGGCAAAAGCAGACGAAGCAACAAATGTAAATTTTAGCGTTTCTATTCTCCATCAGCGGGTGGCGCTGTGGGTTAAACTACAGAGCCTAGGACTTGCCAATCAGAAGGTCGGCGGTTCGAATCCCCGCAACAGGATGAGCTCCCCTTGCTCGGTCCCTGCTCCTGCCAACCTAGCAGTTCGAAAGCATGTCAAAGTGCAAGTAGATAAATAGGTACCACTCCGGCGGGAAGGTAAACGGCGTTTCCGTGCGCTGCTCTGGTTCGCCAGAAGCGGCTTAGTCATGCTGGCCACATGACCCGGAAGCTGTACGCCAGCTCCCTCAGCCAGTAAAGCGGGATGAGCGCCGCAACCCCAGAGTCGGCCACAACTGGACCTAATGGTCAGGGGTCCCTTTACCTTTATTCTCCATTAAAGCAAGCAAAAGGCACTAATAGAGGTCAAGGACATTTCCCAGCTTGGCAAAAACCCTCAGTGAGGATACAAAGCAGGCCTGGTGAAGGTGTTGCCAGGGGAGAGGTTTGAGGGCCGGAAAGAGAGGCACGGAGGGCCGCATTTGCTTCCTAGGCTTGAGGTTCCTAACTTTTCTGGTTTCTGGCTTCCACCAAGGGCCTCCCCTTCTACCTTCTCCCCCATAATTTGAGCAGTGAGTTGATGCAACTGTAATCTGCACGGCTGTGTTAGCCTGAGATCCCTCCTTCCGCCTCGACTCCAAGCATGTCCAGTAGCCGGGCCCTTCTCCTTCCAACCCGGACGGCTCCCCATTGACCTCTGCCTCTGGTTTCAGCCTGAAAGAGTCCCACTTCCCCATCCACCTGCTTCCTGAAGTGGTCCAGCCCGGAGAACTGGCTGGGGAGACCGCCTACGTGTGGCACCAGATACCAAAGGGGACGGAAGTCGGGGCCGCCTTGGGGGACTTCCAGTGTTCAGTGTACTCCTGCATGTCCGACAGCACAAATGCAGGTAGGGGCGCAAAGCAGCCTTCTGGAAATACAGTGGTACCTCGGGTTACATACGCTTCAGGTTACAGACTCCGCTAACCCAGAAATAGTACCTCGGGTTAAGAACTTTGTTTCAGGATGAGAACAGAAATCGTGCTCCGGCGGCAGCAGGAGGCCCCATTAGCTAAAGTCGTACCTCAGGTTCAGAACCATTTCAGGTTAAGAACGGACCTCCGGAACGAATTAAGTTCTTAACCCGAGGTACCACTGTAATTTATTTGGAGCAGCTATACCTGCTCTTTAGCAGAAAAGGCTCTCAGACCAGCTTACATACAGTGAAAACAAGACAGTCCCTACTCTCAAACTTACAATCTTAAAAAAAATGAGATGCAAGCAAAAAGGGAGAGGGAAGGAGGAGGAAAATAAAAACACAGGTACCCATTTCTATACAGTAGAAGAAGAAGAAGAGTGCGGATTTGCTATCCCGCTTTATCACTACCTGGAGGAGTCTCAAAGCGGCTAACATTCTCCTTTCCCTTCCTCCCCCACAACAAACACTCTGTGAGGTGAGTGGGGCTGAGAGACTTCAGAGAGGTGTGACTGGCCCAAGGTCACCCAGCAGCTGCATGTGGCAGGGAAGCGAACCTGGTTCACCAGATTACGAGTCCACCACTCTTAACTACTACACCACACTGGCAACAGTAGCAGTAGTTGCTATAATGATCAGCTGGCCCAGTTCAGGGGCAGGAGGTGCCTGATGGAGGTTCCCCTCCCTCCAGGGAGTTTATGGGGCCATGCAGGACCCCTGTTGAAGCTCCCTTGTGGGTCCAGCCTCACCCGTTGAAGGCCAGTGTTACATGCCTCTTTAAGCAGAATTTGAGCCCAGCGGGTGTTTTCCAACTCTTGCCTTCCTCTCCCCCTCCTAGTCCTCAACATCAGTACTTCTGCGCAACTCACCCTCCTGATGCCTTCGGGCTTCCAGCCGGCTGATTCGCCGAACCCTCGTTCCCCGTTGGCCTACTACCCGTACTTCAACAACACCTACCTGGTGGTGGCTGCTTCCCTCAACGGCGGCAATGTGGTGGCGACGTTTGTGAACATGCTCGTGCGGTGGATGGCTGAGCTGGGTAAAGGAAGGGATAAGACGGGGACCTCTCTTCTCCTTCTGCCTTTCAGTCATTTGTGGTTTTTTGGGTTTTTAAAAAATAATTTAATATACATTTTATTAGTATTTTCCACACAACAACAACACGAAAGATATCGAAAAATAACAATACACAACACACAAAAATCAACATTCAAAAACTAAATAAAGCAACAACAACAACAACAACAAAAACCAAATCCATATCTTACAAGTTAATATTATAAACACTAAAACAACGACAACAAGACATTGACTTCCACCAATCCCACAGCACCTCCTTTATCTCTCATTGTGTCTTCCTGTTTTCCTGTTTTCTTTATCATCTCTATCCTAACATCTAGATATAAATCCCTCTTTCATATCCTTTCGCTTCACAAGGTTATTCCAGACTCAGCCAGATTTCTGTTCTCGAACCTTGACTTTTGAGGTATTTATTTAGGTGCTCCCATTCTTTTGGAATGGGAGGGCCTTTCAGTCATTTGATCAGTCTTCCTCTCCCAACCCTTTTAATCTCCTCCTGCAGGACTCCAAGTCCCAGAATCGGATCTCTACCCACGTATAATCAGCGCTGCCTTGGCCCAAACGGACACCGACCTCAACATCTGCCCCACCATCTTTGGAGAGAGGCACATGCCGGAAAGGTTGGCCTCGGTGATGGGGATCGCGGCCTCCGACCTCTCCCTGGGCCATGTGACTCGGGCGCTGTGCCATGGCGTGGTCCAGAACCTGCACTCCATGCTGCCTTCGCAGCACCTGAAGGAAGCTGGGGTCACGCGGATCCTGGCCAGCGGGAGCGCCCTGGGCAAGAACGAGGTGATGCGTCAGGAAGTGGAGAAGGCCTATCCATTTCCTGTGCTCTATGGGAGAAATGTGGATTCAGCTGTGGGCGCCGCCTTGGCCATGCTGCGCAGGAAGTGACCTTGGGGCTGCAAGAAAGCACTTCCTCTGGAAAGAGGGGTCGTGAACGCATAGAGGGCCAAAAGTTGCGGGGCAGAGGGAGAAAGGGAAGGCGAGAGAGTAGGCACCCCCTACCCCGGAATTAAAATGCAGTGGATTCAGAACGATCCCATCTGTCTACCCAAAAATCAGATCCTTCCTGGAGCTATCTGCTCCCTGCACATCCCTGGCAGTAGAGGGGTTAATGCCGGCCTCAGACACCACTGAAAGTTTTTGGGGGAAGACTTTTGTTGCCCATTCTGTACCCCCTCCCCTCCAAGTTATATACAGGCCGTTCTGTGTTTCCACTGCGAAAAGGAACCAGATATTTATCCCTCTCTTTTTGCAGTCATCTGCTATTCTATTATAGGGACAGGGAAGTGATGCCTTCAGATCTCGCCAGACTCTTTGTTGGCGCCTGTGATGGCAGCCATGGGCCTTTGAGAGGTTCCTTCCTTTTGCAGATCTTCAGGGTGGATCAAACCCTGTGCAGCAGTACATTCCAGAATTAAATCTGGGAGGTGGAGAACACACCCCCACACACCCCGGGTTTGTTATTCCTCTTGCCTTTGGTAGCTTTTGGGGAGGGGGTTCCCATACTGAAGAGGAACCCACCCACCCCCTTGCATATGAGAAGCATTTCTGGTTTGTAGTGGCTGAAGATGTCTCAGTGCAACAGGAATAAGAAAACTCACCTGTGCTGATTTTTATGCTGTTGTTGTCCTTGCCTCTCTCTCCAGGCCACCTGCACTCGCTCATGTCTCTCCAAGTGGGGAGGGAAAATGGGGCTTGGAGCCACAATATGGGGGGAAGGAAGCAGTCAGATGGAAACAACAGCCCAGAGGGAAGCTGTGTCTCTAAAAATTCAGGGATGGGGCATCTATAGCCCTCCAGTTTGGATGGCATTTGGATACATGTAAATTTTGAAGCATAGCTGTGTTTCGGTTCTCATGCCATTCCAGAAAGTGCGGGTTTGATTGATTTTGCAATAAACGCACACCGAATCAAATCGCTCCATCCCAGGGAGAGACCAGTGGTTTTCTCAACGCACCAGTGATGCAATCTACTAATCTAACCCTAAACATTTAAAAGCACCCTTTTCAGTGGCGGATTGTCAAAACCAGCACCATGTGTATGTAAATGTCAGGATTGAAGTGAGAAAGGTTTTTGCTAAAAGGTCTGGCTCTGAGACCCTTAACGGTTTTCAAGGGGGTCCATGAATCTTGTCAACGTACGGAAACAGTTCTAGGTGTAAGAGGCTGGCTGAAATGTCCTAAATGAGCAGGTGCCAGTTTTTTATTTTTGATATATTTATCAAATGCAGCGTCCACAGGGTTGCACTTGTTTTATCTCAAATCAGAGAAGCACCAAACACATCGCAAAATGCAGCGGGAACACTTTTAAGAGTTTAAAGTGGGGGTTGGCACCTTTTGGCCCAGTGGCCAAATGCAGCCCTCCAGGCCTTTGACAGGCCCTTGGCACTCCCTCCCTAGACCCCACCCCTTCTTTCCCAAGCAACACACCCCACCAGCTCTGCTATTAACTCTTAAACTTCCTCTCCCCCCTCCCCCAAACTAGAAATATGTCCTTGCCCTCTGATAATGCCCTCTACTTGCCTGGATGGAGCATAGAGGGAGGTGGAGGTGGTTGTAGAAACTAGCCATCTGTACAAAGGTGACAGTGGCATTCACTGCTCTGCCCACCACTGGCACGTGGACCCCAGAAGGTCTGCTCAGATGGGAGCATGGTCTTCAGACACAAAAAGATGCCCCATCCCAGAACAGAGTAATGCTTTGCCAGATAGATCAGTGGCTTGATTCACGGCAAGGTAGCTTCCTGTGTGGATAATGGGCCTTGAAAACACATCAGCAGTACTGAAACTCCCCTTTGAAGCACAGGTCGCTAACCTCCCCCCTTTCCCTCCACCAATTTGAGCCTTCCATCAAGAGAGCTTTGCGACAAATGGTGCATTTTCGTTGCTTTTTTATTGCTGCCATTATCATTTCTGCTCTCTGTCGTTTTTCCCGGTCGCTTTTTCTTTTTAAATTACTTATTCCGCAGAGGGCTCTTTGGAAGCGTGGCCTGCCTCGGAGGAAACAGCCGAGACACCAGTCTGGCTGCAGCAGTGGGGCTGGGCCAATGCAAACGGGAAGATGAGATCAGAGTCTAAACGGCCCCATTTTTCTCCTCCTTCGAAGGGAAGAGCTCTGGCTCAGTGGCAGAGCATGTGCTCTGCGTGAAAGGGTCCCAGATTCCACCCTTAATGTCTCCAGGTGGGGTTGGGAAAGAGGACCCCAGCCTAAAATTCGGGAAAGCTTCTGCCAGTCCCTGTAGGCTGTATACTGTGTTAGGTGATCTGGTTCAATAGAAGGCAGCTGTTCCTGTTCAATCAGTCTTTAGTTCAGAACCACGAGGACTCGAATCTTGGCTTTATTTTTTAACGGAAGAGCTGTAGCTTAGTGATAGCGGTCCCAGGTTCAGAAGGGGTCTTGAGTTCAATCCCTGGCATCTCCTGGTAGGGGCTGGGAATGTCCCCTGCCAGAAACCCCGGAGAGCCACACTGCCAGTCAGTGTGAGCAATACTGGGACCAATGGTATGACACAGTATGATGCATCTCCCTCTAGCTCCTGCATTCCTCTTTCCTAGCTAAGGATCAGATTTTAATGATCGCTCAGTCCTGTATACTACAGGTGGGGACACTTTTCAGACCAGCGGCCACCTTCCTTTCTGCACAGCCTTCTGGAGGCCAGAGGCGAAAGTAGGCAAAGCAAAGAATGGATACGGTAGGCTGCAAAGGAGTGTGGTTGTGCAGAAACCTGTGACTATTCGAGCCCCAGATGATGGCTGCAATTTAAATGTATTTTTTCCATTGTCTCAGGAAATGTGAAATGTCTGCCACTAAACTGTAAGTGTGCTGGGGAGTGGGGAATAAAATCCCGAGCAAAGATTTATTTGATTTGTTTGTTTGCAAAAAGCCTCTGGAGGACTCCTGGGAATAGCAATCGCTTCGGCTTTCCCGGGCCGATTTCTCCATTATTGTATCACTCAAGTCCGGGTTTGCGCTCCACATCACCGCCGCCTGCTTATTAAAAACGCCACTGTATGGTCCAATCTACAAACACAGAGAGAAACAGGCTTCTGATATCCCCCACCCCTCCAGCCAACGCCTAAAAAGAGGCGATTTGGCTTCAGACGCTCTTGCAGGACGCGAAAAGTTTGCTGAGACGAGAATCCGGTTGCAGAAGGAGGACCCTTTCGAGAGCTGTAAGTTCTGCGATTTACTTTCCTAGGAAAGCTGGAAGCTGCTTTATACAGAGTCAGACCATGGGGGTGCATACAGCTCAGTTCTGTCTGCACTGACTGGCAGCATCTCTTCAGGGTTTCAGGCAAGGAGCATTATCCCTGGGTTGGAGTTTGGACCACGGACCTTCTGCATGCAAAGCAGGCTCTCTGAGCTACAGCTCTTCCCCCTAAAATTAATCAAGGTTCTAGTCCTCATGGTTGTGAATTACGGGCTGATTTAAATAGGGACTCCAGAAGCTGTTTTATAGAGAGAGGCCATTGGTCCATCTAGCTTCAGTGGCAGAAGCTCTCCAAGGTCTCAGCCTTACCTGGAGATGCCGGGGATCGAACTTGGGATCTTCTGCATGCAAAGCAGGTGTTCTGCCACTGAGCTACAGCTCTTCCCCTAAAAATAAATTGGGATTCTAGTCCTCATGGTTCTGAACACAGGTGTTCTGCCACTGAGCTATGGTTGTTTGCTTGCTGTGCATGCAGTGCTCATGAAATCCAGTTTGGATATGTCCTTTTCACTTCCATCGGTTGCTACCATCAGCTGCACCGTCCCAATACTGTTATTACAGTATTGTTATTACAATTCTCAGTTCCTTACCCACCCACATTCCCTGGCAACTTCACACCAGCCTGCAGTACTGGGGATTATAGTATCTAGGCACCAGGCAAAACTACTTCTTTTTTCACCAGGTTACCTATGGCATTCTTGAGTGCTTGGGGTGTCTTAATTCAGCTTTTTGAAAATGGAATTGTCTTTTAGATTCCTTCATGCTTTATGCTGGTCTTAATGGATGTATTTGTTTATACTGTAAGTCACTTTGAGTTACAATGGTAAATATATATATATATTATTATTAAATTTCTGTTTTACATTTTAAAATATTCACTTAAACAACCTTAAAATATCAATGACTTCCCTTCTTCTCTTTCCATGGTATATTTTGCATATCATAAATGCCTGCATATTTTATATAAACTAAACCGTTCCGTATTCCATAATAACATCCATCAAAATTTATTTACACTGTTGAATTTATCTTAATGCTGCCCACGTTTTCAGATATACACAATTTTACTACCTATATTCAATAAACATTTTCCAACCTTCTTTAAACATATGTTCTTCTTGTTCTCTTATTCGATAGGTCCGCAAGCTGTGCATATTCCATCAGTTTAAGTTGCCATCCTTCTTTGGTTGGGACTTCGCTCGTTTTCCATTTTGGGGCTAACCAAACAGGGGCCGCAGTAGTGGCATACATAAATAGCCATATTATTATTATTATTATTATTATTATTATTATTATTATTATTTGGCCTACCTTGCAGAGTTGTAGATAGAACATGCAGGAAGAGCACACTTGGAATACTGTGTAGAGTTCTGATCAAGTCACCTTCCAAAAGGATATTGTTATGAGCTGGGAAAAGCTCAGAAAACATTAACTGAAATTATTATGAGGGCTGCAGCAACACTCTCGTGAAGGCAGGGTACGGCATTTGGGGGCTTTTGAAAAAATAATATATTTTTTTTAAAGGTGAGTTAAGGGACACACGCACACAGGCACACTCAAATATTCATAGCCTTTGAATGGACCACAAGGATGATCTAGTTCTAGTCCAAACCCTTGAACGTGACAGAGGTGTAGAAGATTATGCAGGATGGGGAGAAAGTAAATACTCTAATGAATACTAGAACTTCGGGTAATCTATTGAGGCGCAATGTTGAAAGATGCAGGAGAGACAAAAGATTGTGTGTAAGCCGCTCTGGCAGTGCCGGATTTATGTATAAGCTAAACATGCTATAGCTTAGGGCCCCGTCTCTTGGGGGCGCCCAAAAAATTGAAAGGAAAAAACCCAACGTACATTTCCAAAATATAAGATAAAAAAATAAAACCTACATATAGCAACAGTGTTTTGTGTTGTGTAGGCTCCTAGGATGTAAGTAATGGGCCCCCGATCATTTTGAGTTGGAGCTTAATAATTATTTCACTATTAATATACTTTTAAAGTATTTCACTATTAATATACTTCTTAATTGTATTTCAGTTCAACAATTACTTTGATAAACTACATATTTTGTTATGGCTTTAGATACCTATTAGGTCCACAAATTACAATATAGCATATATTCAACACAAAAAAACAGCAGCAATTTGTTGTTGACAAAGGACAGCTGGACATATAAGGGGCCCCATTACCTTCAGTAGCTTAGGGCCTCATCAAACCTAAATCCGGCCCTGAGCTCTGGGAACCACTTTTTGCTGAAGAGCAGGGTACAGATGCTCTAAATAAAAAATAAAAATAAAAGCAAGGACTTCCTTCACACAGCACAGTTTGTGGCAGCTGTGAAAAAAGCAAATTCCATGCTAGGGATCATTAGGAAAGGATTTGGAAGTATGGTACCATAAACCCTTTACACAAATCTCTGGTGCAACCGCATTCGGAGTAACGTGGACAGTCCTGGTCGCCTCAGAAAGGATATTGCAGGGTTGGTAAAGATTCAGAAAAGGGCAAGCAAATGATCAGAAGGATGGTGCCACTGCCCTGTGAGGAACGATTGGAGCGTTTGGAACCTTTTAGTTGAGAGAAAAGGCAAGTAAGAAAAGGCAGCATGAAAATGAGTTTATAAAACTTCTGCATGGTATGGAGGAAGTAGGTTGAGGGGGAAAAAAATTCTTCCTCTCCCCTAACGCTAGAACTTGTGAAAGATTCAGGACAGATAAAGCCCTTCTTCACACAGTGTATGAACTCTGGAACTCCCTTCTGCAGGAGACCATAAGGCAAAGGTAAAGGGACCCCCTAACCATTAGGTCCAGTCGTGACCGACTCTGAGGTTGTGGCGCTCATCTCGCTTTATTGGCCGAGGGAGCCAGTGTACAGCTTCCGGGTCATGTGGCCAGCAGGACTAAGCCACTTCTGGCGAACCAGAGCAGCGCATGGAAACGCCATTTACCTTCCCGCAGGAGCAGTACCTATTTATCTACTTGCACTTTGAGGTGCTTTCGAACTGCTAGGTGGGCAGGAGCAGGGACCGAGCAACAGGAGCTCACCCCGTTGCGGGGATTCGAACCGCCAACCTTCTGATCGGCAAGTCCTAGGCTCAGTGGTTTAACCCACAGCGCCACCCGCGTCCCTTTGCAGGAGACCATAGCTGTCAACTTTTAGATTTTCTTGCGAGGAATCCTATTCCGAATAAGGGAATTTCCCTTTAAAAAGGGGGAACGTTGACAGCTACGCAGGAGACAGTGATGGCCACTAACCTGGATGTCTTTAAAAGAAGACTAGAAAAATTCAAGGAAGAGAAGAAGGCTGTCAGTGGCTGCTAGTCATGACGGCTGTTCTTCTGCCTCCGCAGTCCAAAGCAGCAGGGCTGCTAAGTGCCAGTTGCTTGAAACTGCAGGAAGGGAGAATGAGCTCTTGTGCTCAGATCCTGCTTGCAGCTCAGATGGGCGATGCGGATGAAATTTAAAGACTGTTTAGCTAAATATGTTGGGATGCGGGTGGCGCTGTGGGTTAAACCACAGAGCCTAGGACTTGCTGATCAGAAGGTCGGCGGTTCGAATCCCCGCGACGGGGTGAGCTCCCGTTGCTCGGTCGCTGCTCCTGCCAACCTAGCAGTTCGAAAGCATGTCAAAGTGCAAGTAGATAAATAGATACCACTCAGGCGGGAAGGTAAACGGCGTTTCCGTGCGCTGCTCTGGTTTCGCCAGAAGCGGCTTAGTCATGCTGGCCACATGACCCGGAAGCTGTACACTGGCTCCTTCGGCCAATAAAGCGAGATGAACGCCGCAACCCCAGAGTCGTCCGCAACAGGACCTAATGGTCAGGGGTCCCTTTACCTTTACCTTAGCTAAATATGTTAAGATAACTTAATTGGGAAAGCTTGCAAATAATAGATAGGCTTAGGATTTAAATATGTAAGGATAAGATAAGATGTTTAAAGCTAAATTAGGAAGAATGAAAGATGTTAAGTGATCAGGTTAATTTTTTGAGAAAATCGATTTTGGAAAAATGATATATAATAAGAATATATATAATGAAATTCAACCAAGGGGATTTGAGGAAGTCACTTAATAATGTTACCAAGATTTAAACATGATGTATGTATGTTTGTTTGTTTCTCTGTATGTTTGTTTGTTTTGGATTTTTGAAAATTAATTAAAAAAATTAATTTGCCACCAGTGTGGTGTAGTGGTTAAGAGCGGTGGACTCGTAATCTGGGGAACTGGGTTCGCTTCCCCGCTCCTCCACATGCAGCTGCTGGGTGACCTTGGGCCAGTCACACTTCTCTGAAGTCTCTCAGCCCCACTCACCTCACAGAGTGTTTGTTGTGGGGAAGGAAGGGAAAGGAGAATGTTAGCCGCTTTGAGACTCCTTAAAGGGAGTGAAAGGCGGGATATCAAATCCAAACTCTTCTTCTTCTTCAAACAGATGGGCGATGCGGGCCTGATCCAGCAGGCTATTATTAGTTTCATTTTTATTTGTTTTCCTTAGCTTTCAGGGAGAGTCGGAACACTTCCCCCCCCCAGCCTTGTTCTCCGGAACATGTCTGGAATCCTGGGGAAAATGCGGAAGTTGGGGAGCTCCGACCTGGAGGATTCGGAATCGATGGACGACCACTTGGAAGGCGAGGAGTCGGGCGCAGGCACGCCTGGCTGCAACAGGTCGACCAAGCACAGCATCTTCCCCAAGCGGGCGCGGTTCGGGATTGGGGACGGAGACAAGGACACGGCTCCCATGGATTCTTTCTACCAGATGGACCACATGGTGTCCAGTCCCATCCTGAAGTTCAGCCTCAGCTTGGAGCGAGGGAGGTGTGGCAACCACTCTCCAAAGTGAGTGGGTCCCGGGGGGGGGGCTTTGAGATACGCTTGGGGGTCTAAGATGCTCTGCCCTTAACCCCCCCTCTGTAGAAAAATGAGGGAGGGAGAAGAACTCCAATTCGGTTCGGATTTCAAAACGAAGTTACATCATTCGCACTTTCCAAAATACAGTGGTACCTCGGGTTACAGACACTTCAGGTTACAGACGCTTCAGGTTACAGACTCCGCTAACCCAGAAATAGTACCTCGGGTTAAGAACTTTGCTTCAGGATGAGAACAGAAAGCGTGCTGTGGCGGGAGGCCCCATTAGCTAAAGTGGTGCTTCAGGTTAAGAACAGTTTCAGGTTAAGAACGGACCTCCGGAACGAATTAAGTTCTTAACCTGAGGTACCACTGTACCTCGGGTTACAGACACTTCAGGTTACAGACTCTGCTAACCCAGAAATAGTACCTCAGGTTAAGTACTTTGCTTCAGGATGAGAACAGAAATCGCGCAGTGGTGGCGCAGCGGCAGCAGGAGGCCCCATTAGCTAAAGTTGTGCTTCAGGTTAAGAACAGTTTCAGGTTAAGAACGGACCTCCAGAACAAATTAAGTTCTTAACCCGAGGTACCACTGTAACATGTGAATTGAAGTGTACCAGCCGAGGAAGGGAGACCAGGAAGGTGGTGTTTGTTCCTGGCTGTCAGGGTTCGATCTGATCTGTTTTATCACAGCTCTATGCTGCTTTTCATTTGAAGGAATCCCAAAGCAGCTTGCAAACAAGCCTCGGTTGTCGAACGTAATCCATACCAGAAGACCGTTCAGCTTCCAAAACGTTCAACAACCAAGCCACGGCTTCCGATTGGTTGCAAGAGCTTCTTGCACTTGGGTAGAAGCTGAGTCAGACGTTCGAGTTCCGAGGAACGTTCAGAAACTGGAGCATTTACGGTACTTTGGGGTTTTCAGCGTTCAGGGGCCAAAACGTTCGAAAACGGAGCCGTTCGAGAGCCGAGGTTTGACTGTAGCATGATAGAACAGAACACAGCATAAATCACATCAAACGATTAACAAATCATCTGTGAAACAGATATGATACAAAACGATGTTAGCAACTTAAAAAACTATATGATTGACAAATCAGCATTTAGAAAGCAACATTGCCAACAGAACAGCAGCCAAAAAATAAACTAAGCCCTCTCAACTATGCATGTCAGGCTGTAGATCTTCATGCTCTCAATGCCTCTTTAACTGGCCCTCAAAGGGTTGCCATGTTTCAAAAAGTGAAAATCCGGACACAAAAGTTGTTGAGCTTCCCCCCTGCCCCCACACATAGAGAGAGAGAGGTGTGAGTGTGTGTCTAGAAACCAGCCCACCAGACAAAGGTAAAATTGGCATCATGTGTTGCTCTGCCCACCAAAGGCATGTGGCCCCTGAGAGGTTACCCAGAAGTGAATGTGGCCCTCAAGCTGACATGGTGGTACATGTGGGGGGGGGAGCGATATATTTGAGGGCTGAGCCATTGCTCTCCAGGAGGAGCCAGTAACCCACAGTCCTCCTTCCTCGTGGCAGACTTCTTCATCGCGGGGCCCGCCGAGGAGCCTCCATGGGCGTGCGCCCCGAGAAATCGTTCAGGATCTACGACCGAAGGAGGCTCTTTGACGCGGTGGCCCAGGGGGATCCGAGCGAGCTGGACGACCTGCTCACCTACCTCCTGGAGACCCTGAAAAACCTGACGGATGAGGAGTTCAAAGGTAAGCGGGGGTTGTGTGCCATTGCTCTCTTCTGGGGTTTGGGACGCGAAAGCCATTTCTAGAGCATGGAGGATATTTCCTTGGAAGGCAGCGAGTAAGACTTAGAGCAATGAGTGGGTGAGTGGGGGGAAGCTTTGCTGGCCTGAGGGCCACATTTCCTCCCAAGCAAGCTTCCAGGGGCCACAGACCACACACACACCACCACCACCCATCTAGACAAGCATGAGGGATTGTCACAAATTTCCAGCTAAGGAAAGACACTCAAGGAAGGGGTGGAGCAGAGTCAATGAGGGGTGTGGCCTGAGCAGAGACCTGAGGGCCAGGTAGAGATGTATGGATGTATGGAGGGCCACATTTGGGACTCAGGTTCCCAGCTTCGGATTTACAGGCCTGGTTGACAGCTATAGGTAAAGGTAAAGGTACCCCTGCCCGTACGGGCCAGTCGTGTCCGACTCTAGGGTTGTGCGCCCATCTCACTTAAGAGGCCGGGGGCCAGCGCTGTCCGCAGACACTTCCGGGTCACGTGGCCAGCATGACGAAGCTGCTCTGGCGAGCCAGCACCAGCGCAGCACACGGAAATGCCGTTTACCTTCCCGCTAGAAAGCGGTACCTATTTATCTACTTGCACTTGGGGGTGCTTTCGAACTGCTAGGTGGGCAGGAGCTGGGACCAAAAGACGGGAGCTCACCCTGCTGCGGGGATTCGAACCGCCGACCATGCAATCGGCAAGTCCTAGGCACTGAGGTTTTACCCACAGCGCCACCCGCTGTGGGTTGACAGCTACATTTTCTATCTATTTTTTGCCTGGGCCTCTGCTGCCCAGTACGGATTCCAGGATTTACACATATACACACTAAGGGGAAATCTTGGGCCTGGCATCCTCAGTGACCCCTTGAATGGGGAAGGACCTGCAAGCTAAGATTCTCTTAGGCTGCATCTGATCTCCTTGGGTACATTTTGCAGAGTGGCAACGTTAGCACTGTCATGGCAAGGGCGCCCTCTGCTGCTCTTGGGAGTCTTGGCACATGCCCTATCTTCCAAGATCTTGCCATCCTCTGGCGCCAGACCTGGAGACAAGTACCCTCATTATGCACCTCCACTGCTTGCTCCCATTTTGCCTGGACGTATAAATTTTGTGTGTTTCCTCCCCCAGAACCAGATACTGGGAAGACATGCTTGTTGAAAGCCATGCTGAACCTCCACAACGGCCGGAACGACACCATCCCTCTCCTGCTGGAGATTGCAGAGAAGACGGACAACCTGAAGGAGTTTGTGAATGCCGAATACACAGACAGCTACTACAAGGGTAAGGAGTGTGCGATTGCCGTGGGTGGTGAGACGTGTATGCAGCTATTAACGGGGGCAGAGGGTGGAGACCGACTTTCCAGCTTACGGTTCTGCCTCCTCTTCAGGCCAAACCGCGCTGCACATCGCCATCGAGAGACGAAACATGTACCTTGTGGACCTCCTGGTCAGGAACGGCGCCGACGTCCACGCGAAAGCCCACGGGGAGTTCTTCCAGAAAATCAGCGGCAGGCCCGGGTTTTATTTTGGTAGGCGCTGTCTTTGGAAGGGTCCTAGGTCTTGAGTTGGATGGGGGCTGGCCGAGCCAGGAGGAGAGGCCGACAGAAGACCCCCATGGAGGGACCCCGTGGGCTGGGAAGGTTTCTAGCTGGGTCAGGAGAGCCTGAGGAAGAGGATCCAAACATTAAAGCTTTGGGTAGAAACCACAACCTGAGCTCGAGTTCTCCACCTGGCAGGAGCCAGGGCAGGATAGGATACCTTGCTCCCTGCCCCCCTCATGTGACTCTGATGGTCCATCGTTGTTCCCACCAGGTGAACTGCCGCTCTCTTTGGCTGCCTGCACAAACCAGCTCAACATCGTGAAGTACCTTCTCGATAACCCCTACCACCCGGCCAACATTGCCACCCAGGATTCCATAGGCAACACTGTCCTCCACGCTTTGGTGGAGATCGCCGACAACACGGAGGACAACACCAAGTTTGTTACCAAGATGTACAACGACATCCTCATCCTGGGAGCCAGGCTCAACCCCACCCTCAAGCTGGAAGATATCGCCAACCGAAGGGGGCTGACACCGCTGACCCTGGCGGCCAAGACTGGGAAAATACAGGTAGGTTGTGTGAGCTGCTCGAAATGATCAGGCACACTCATTCCCAGTGCGCAGCTTGGAAGTCATTTTGGACTCACGGCTGTCCATGGAGGCGTAGGTTAATTCTGTGTCCAGGGCAGCTGTCTACCAGCTCCATCTGGTACACAGGCTGAGGCCCTCCCTGCCCAAAGACTGTCTGGCCAGAGTGGTGCATGCTCTGGTTATCTCCTGCTTGGACTACTGCAACATGCTCTACGCGGGGCTACCTTTGAAAGTGACCCGGAAACTGCATTTAATCCAGAATGCGGAAGCTAGACTGGTGACTGGGAGTGGCCACTGAGACCATATAACACCGGTCCTGAAAGACCTACATTGGTTCCCAGTATGTTTCTGAGCACAATTCAAAGTGTTGGTGCTGACCTTTAAAGCCCTAAACAGCCTCAGCCCAGTATACCTGAAGGAGCGTCTCCACCCCCATCGTTCAGCCCGGACACTGAGGTCCAGCTCCAAGGGCCTTCTGGTGCTTCCCTCACTGCGAGAAGTGAAGCTACAGGGAACCAGGCAAAGGACCTTCTCGGTAGTGGTGCCCGCCCTATGGAACGCCCTCCCACCAGATGTCAAGGAAATAAACAACTATCTGACATCTGAAGACAGCCCTGTTTAGGGAAGTTTTTAAGGTTTGATGTTTTATCGTGTTTTTAATATTCTGCTGGGAGCCGCCCAGAGTGGCTGGGTTGAAACCAAAGTGGCCCAGATGTGGTAACCTTTCCTTTTTAAGCTTTGCAAGAGAAGCTTGATTTGGTCCGCCAAGGTTTGAGAGATAACAAATGCAAGCTGAATTCAGAACACAAATCTCCCCAAATGGTAAGTCCTACGTCTTTCCCCGGCTCCTTTCTTATAGTGATTTTTCCCCCTTATGATTTTAAAATCATAAAATTTTGTAGTTGGAAAGAGCCCATGAATCATCTAGTCCATATCCTTGCAATGCAGAGGAATCACAGCTCACCTGTTGACGCAGGGTCTTTGTGAGTGTTTCTGCTGGAATTGTCCTGGGTTTGATTCCCAGGAATTAAAAAAGACAGAATTAAAGACTTCCTGTGAATCCCAAGTGCTGACTGGGGACAGGAGACTTCCTGTTTCCTCTCTGTATGATTTACTGTTTCTCCCTGGAATCTATAAATAGTATAGTATAAATAGTATACTATAAATAGTAAATTATTATTATTATTTGGCAACACCAACCAGCAATCCATCTGGAGATCAGAGCTAGATTAATTTTGTCAGTTGCACAGCATGGGAATGGGGCTACCAGGGCAATTGCCCTGGGCACAAAAATGTTGAGGGGCACACCTTTGCAGCTGCCGCCCTGACAGGATCTGCTCTCCATCCTGTCTGCCTCACCTGGGCAGCGCGCCAAGCAGGAGCTGGGAAAGGATGGGCCCTTGCATCTCTCAGCTTCATGCCATCCCACCCACCCAGCCAGCCAGCGGGGGAGGCAGGGGGGTGGCGAGACTCATGGTGACAGTGACGCCACAGCCCCAAGAGGCATACACACACATACACGCTGCTCTGCAGCTCTGTCCAGCAGTAGCAGCGCTGCATGGAGGTGTCAGGGGGCGTAATATTTGTCTTGGGAAGGTAAAATACTGATCTTGCCCTGGCCGCTGGCAACTCATGCTATGCCACTGATGTTGTGACTCATTTTGCAGCGTCTGTGGCTCGAAACTCACCCTGCACTCACTTGGCGGTCTCAAGCCAGCCACTGTTCTTTCCGTCTGGGCTCCTGCGTCTGCAGAATGGTGCTAATAGCATAGTAAAGGTAAAAGTAAAGGGACCCCTGACCATTAGGTCCAGTCATGGCTGACTCTGGGGTTGTGGCGCTCATCTCGCTTTATTGGCCGAGGGAGCCGGCGTATAGCTTCCGACTAAGCTGCTTCTGGCGAACCAGAGCAGCGCACGGAAACACCGTTTACCTTCCCGCCGGAGCGGTACTTATTTATCTACTTGCACATGATGTGCTTTCGAACTGGTAGGTGGGCAGGAGCTGGGACCAAGCAACGGGAGCTCACCCCATCACAGGGATTTGAACCGCCGACCTTCTGATCGGCAAGTCCTAGGCTCTGTGGTTTAACCCCCAGCGCCACCCGCGTCCTAATAGCATAGTAGCTAATAGTATAATAGCCCCGCCTTGTTGTTGCAAGGCAGAGGTGCCCAAGCTTCTGTTGGCATATGTTTTCTGACTGAAAGCATTCCATTCTAGTTCTCAAAAATAGTTTGGTTTTTTTAAAAGCTACATAAAAACAACAGCACCGGTAGTACTCAACCCTGAGCGAGGTCACTGTTTGGTTTCGAAGGAGGCATATGAGGAACCGTGACTCAGGAAGGGATGCAGCCGTCGCCTGAGACTGCAGCACCTCTGAGTCAAGAGTGACTGAATGATCTGATTCCAGGGAGAAACAGTAAATCATACAGAGAGGTAACAGGAAGTCTCCTGTCCCCAGTCAGCACTTGGGATTCACAGGAAGTCTTTAATTCTGTCTTTTTTAATTCCTGGGAATCAAACCCAGGACAATTCCAGCAGAAACACTCACAAAGACTCTGCGTCAACAGGTGAGCTGTGATTCCTCTGCATTGCAAGGATATGGACTAGATGATTCACGGGCTCTTTCCAACTACAAAATTTTATGATTTTAAAATCATAAGGGGAAAAAATCACTATAAGAAAGGAGCCGGGGAAAGACGTAGGACTTACCATTTGGGGAGATTTGTGTTCTGAATTCATCTTGCATTTGTTATCTCTCAAACCTTGGCTGACCAAATCAAGCTTCTCTTGCAAAGCTTAAAAAGGAAAGGTTACCACATCTGGGCCACTTTGGTTTAGAGAAAAGGCAAGTAAGAGGAGATAAGGTGGAAGTGTATAAAATTATCAGCAGAGTGGAGAAAGCAGACAGAGAAAAGTTCTTCTCCCTCTCTCGCAATAGTAGGACTTAGCGGGATGTCCCATGAAACTGAGTGTTGAAATATTCAGGACAGAGAAAACAAAGCGCTTCTTCACACAGAGCATAGCTAAACTATGGCTTTAAAAGATGACGAGACACAGAGGACAAGGGTGCTGGTGGCTACTGGTCACAATGGCCACGTTCTCCCTCTGCAGTCTGCCTCTGAATTTCTGTTCCTGAGAATCACAAGTGGGAAGAAGAGTTACTGCTGTCCCAGGTCCTGCTTGCAGGCATCCCATAATGACCACTGTGAGAACAGGATGCCGGGCCAGATGGGCCCTCTAGATGGGCCTGACCCTGTGGGTCTTTTCCTTGTGTTCTCATGGCTAGGTCTTTGCGTACATCCTCAGACGGGAGATCAAGGAGCCGGAGTGTCGCCACCTGTCCCGGAAGTTCACAGAATGGGCTTATGGGCCCGTTCACTCGTCACTCTACGACCTGTCCAGTATCGACACCTGCGAGAAGAACTCAGTCCTGGAGATCATCGCTTACAGCAGCGAGACGCCGGTATGTCTGAGGCCTGATTCCCTGGCCTCCAGTACCACAGCTTAGAGGTTTCTTTGATGGCCCTCAGTGAGGTTAGGTTTAGGGATGGGCCAATCTGCCACAGTCCGCTTCCAGATGTCCAGTTTGCAATGTATATATATTTTAAAATACCCTAATGAAAATTTGTCACCATCAGGGCGAATTCCTCCTACCATACCCAGGGTCCCTTCCAACTCTACAATTCTATGATTCTATCCAACTTAGCTTAATTTTTTGTGTGCAATGCATTTTGGTATTTTATTTTCACATATGCATCTACAGCATTACCCAGGTATAAGCATTACTCGGCTGGAGAACTGCTTTGAAAAATCAGCCATTTTTATTTTTGATCGCAGTCCTTTTGCCTTTTTAATTTCCACTCTGCCCTTGGTTTTCTTCCGGTGGGGAGACTGGTCTATTAAAGTGCAACGGGGGCAGCTAGCCCCCACCTGCCCGTCATCTGACTTACAACCAGCCTAGCGCTTGACACTCCCTTTCACTGGCTCTGGCGCCCCCTGCTGTTGGCCTCCCTGCCTCCCACCCTACCGGTCTGCTTTCCTTCCCCCTTCCAGAACCGACACGAGATGTTGCTGGTGGAGCCTCTGAACCAGCTCCTGCAGGACAAGTGGGACCGATTCGTCAAGCACCTCTTCTACTTCAACTTCTTCATTTACGCTGCCCACATCGTCATCCTCACCGTCGCCGCCTATTACAGGCCAACGAAAAAGCACGGGGAGGTGGTTTAGCTTCGAGATTCTGGGGTTTCTAGCTCTCTCTTTTTCATACCATCCCTTATGGATGGGGTTTCTATGCCTTTTTGCTCCTGGAGTTCTCTTTACCTGCTGAATTTCTTCCTGATATGGAGCTGTGAAATGCCCCAGGGGTCAGGTTAGGTGGGAACAGGCGTGTGGGGCGTGTGTGCTATTCCTTTTGAAGTGGGACCTGCAGGAAAACGGTCAAACAGGGTGCTCTTGGCCACACTGCCTGCCTGCCTGCCCCACCCTTTCCCAGGTACTCCATTCCATTTTGTCTCTCAGCTTCCACACACCCCCACCGAATCAGTCAGCACTGCACAGTAATCATTGGGCTATTTTTCAGGTGGGGGCCACTCTCCCCTTTTAAGGATTTCCCCTCAAGATCTTATATCCTTCTGAAACCTTGCATGAGTTCCCTCAAGCCTCCTGATACAGGATAACAAGTCTTGTGCCAGGTCGCTAGAAGAAGAATAAGAAGAGTTTTGGATTTGATATCCCACTTTATCACTACCCGCAGGAGTCTCAAAGCAGCTAACAATCTCCTTTCCCTTCCTCCCCCACAACAAACCCTCTGTGAGGTGAGTGGGGCTGAGAGACTTCAGAGAAGTGTGACTGGCCCAAGGTCACCCAGCAGCTGCATGTGGAGGAGCAAGGAAGCAAACCCAGTTCACCGGATTACGAGTCCACCTCTCTTAACCACTACACCAGGGGTCTGCAACCCGCGGCTCCGGAGCCGCATGTGGCTCTTTTACACCTTTGCCGCGGCTCCGGGGCGGATACTAGCGAGGGGAGGAGGCGCATTGTGCGCCCCGACACTCCCCACTGTGGCGGGCGCTGTACTGGCTGTGATGTCGCATGGGGGCGGTGCGTGCGTTAGCCACGCACCGTCCCGCCGTCACCTTACCGCCCGCTGTCAGATCGCAGCTCCGGAGATATATTTGTTTTAAATGTTGCAATGGTTTTGCGGCTCCCAGTTGTTTTTTCTTCGGAAACGGGTCCAAGTGGCTCTTTTTGTCTTAAAGGTTGCAGACCCCTGCACTACACCATGCTGGCGCTGGCTCTCTAGTCTCATGGTGTAGGCAGGGATGAGCTATCTTACTCTGGCATTGCTCCTTAAGCCAGACTTGGTGCCCTCCATTTAAGACCCTCACCAGCCTCAGAGTTGGGGAAGTCTACTTGAAGCACTACGCATATTTATCATCTCCTAAAACAATGCCGTAATTCAATAGCGTGATCCTATGTGAGTTATCTTGGGAATGAATATGTTCAGTGGGACATACACCTGGCTTAGTGGTCTTTACTCATTACAACCTACAGTTATTATACTACAGGACAGGGACGGGGAGAGGCTGTACTGTGGCTCAGTTATCCTGCCCCAGCAAAAAATTATCCCCCACTCCAAAGATCTCCCCCATTTTTGCATTTAAATATAAATAAAAATGGGGTGGGCAGAGAAGTGGTTAAACCTCTCTGCTCTGCCTTCGGCTCTGTTGGGATTGCAAACCACACACACACGCTCATCAGATCACTTATTTTATTAGCAAGGAGAGGGCAGTGGCTCCCTCTCCTGAGCTGATATGCACAGATCAGCGGAGGAAGGTGGGATGGCTGTGTCCTTTGTGAGTCCTGTACGTCCAGGGAGCGTGGGAAAGTGTGGAGTGACCATGGTCACTGCTGGCGTTTCACCTTTAGAGGGCTGGCCAAGGGCAAATGGGCCTACTTCCCCCCCAAAAAATTAGCCACACTCATTCCTCGTTCACAACCGGGTTCCGGCTTTTGACTCTCTAAAGTTGCACCCTTCTCGTCCACAGCCCCCGTTCGCCTTTAATTACACGACCAACGAGTATTTCCGAGTCACCGGGGAGATCCTGAGTGTGTTGGGGGGTGCCTATTTCTTCTTCAGAGGGGTAAGAACTTCACCAGAGTCTCTTATGGGTGGGCAAAGGGTGTAGGTCCCGGGGGAACATGTGCATTTTTTCAGCATGTGCCGTGGGGCCACCCCCTCTGGTCACTGCTCTCTGCCCTCCCTCTGATCTGCCGCCCTGCACTGAGAGACAGAAACAGAGAAAGCGCTCACACACAAACGCACAAATGCTTCACTTTCCCAGGGAATCTGGGTAAAGGTCAGATCCTGATTAATCTGAGCCTTGGAAATCCCATAGAACTGGAAAAGGAAGTGGGAAAGAGCAGTACTCTTCCAACTTCCTCCCTTTGTTCTAGGGCACTGTAACTGGTTCTGCCGCACTGGGAGCTGAGGCCAGGGGGTTGCACTCCTATTTGTCCATATTTTACACAAACTGTATCTGTGGCTTGTGGTTCTATATTCAGCCATGGGAGAGCATTCCAGAGACAGGGAGCCATTGCAGAGAAGGCCCCGTTCTCGTGTTAGTCTAAGGCCATTAAATGAGTTTCATGGCTAAGGCTCCAATCCCAGTCTACTGGGAAGACAGTGTATCGTCTCTCTGGATGAATTTCTTGTCCTTTCTCATTCAACAATACATTAGGAAGGGAGCGTGGCTCACTGGTAGTGCACATCCTTTGCATGTTGTCTGGGTTAGGGTAGGTCATTTTATTGTGCATCTGCGTGAGGGGCGGTGGCGGTAAAAGGCTTTACGGGTTTTTGTTGGACTGAAGCTCTTTTCACACCAACCTCTTATTTATTCTCCTGCCTTTTTTTCAGATCAAGTATTTTAAGCAGAGACAGCCATCCCTGAAAGCAATATTTACGAACAGCTACAGTGAACTTCTCTTGTAAGTGTGGTATAACCAGCCTTATATAACCAACATGTTTACGTCTAATTAACACATGAAGGGGTTAATTCCATAGAGTAAGCTGTCCTGTCAGGTTTAGCATTGTCCCTCACCTTGGGTATAATGAGGTAACCAAGCCTTTCTTCTCCTCCCAGTCTACCTGAGAAGCTTAGCATGTTAAGAGGTTTTGAGGTGCTTGCTGCAGCTCAGACCACGTGGCTCTTACAAGCCTCTCTTGAGTTTCCATACCAATAATTTGGGAACTTTCACCACTTGGCCAAGTTTTATCTGCCTATGAAACTTTTCTGACATATGGAAAACAGCATGAAGCTGACCTTTGAAGGGTTTGTAAGTAAACCAGTTTTTAACTTACCAAACGTGGTCTTTTCCTATTCTGAGTGCAGTTTTGGAACTCTCAACAACATATTGTAAAGGTATCTAACAGATTGTATTTCCACATTTTACTTTGCTGCATGTTTTGGGATTTTAAATCTCTGCTGGGATTCACTCACCAAAGGGCACCTGGAACTTGGCATCCAGGGAATTCTCATTTCTTTTTGCCAGTTTTTCCTTGAACCAACAGTAGACATCCCTTTTACGTGTTTTAAAGTGAGTGGCAGTGTGGTGTAGTGGTTAGAGCGTTGCACTAGGAAGACCAGGGATCAAATCTCCCAAGCTTGACTCCTCCTGTTGCCCACTCAGCTTCATCCACTCTGTCCTGATCCTGGGCTCAGCGATCCTGTACTTCAGCAAGCAAGAACTCTATGTCATCCTCATGGTCTTCGCCTTGGCCCTGGGCTGGACCAACCTGCTCTATTACACTCGTGGCTTCCAGCAGATGGGGATTTACTCAGTCATGCTGGAGAAGGTCAGTCTGGGATAACAGGGGCAATGGGTAGCAGAGGCTAGTCCCTTGGGGCGAAGGGTTCACTGCATGAGCCCACCCTCATCCAGTTGGGTCCTGGTTCTCTCTTCCCACTCACCCTTCCACCTCTTTTTTGCAGATGATGCTGAGAGACCTGTGTCGTTTCATCGTGGTGTACCTCCTTTTCCATTTGGGCTTTTCGACAGGTAACGGAGTGACTGTTTTGGATTCTTTTTGGTGGGGTTGGAGAGAGGACGAAAGCGAACAACTACAGACGTGTGCTGGTGCTGCAAAAGCTGGGTGGGTTAGTTCAGAGATGGGGGAGAAACTGGCTTGGGATCTACCAGTACAATTTGCAAGAAGATCAGCAAGGCTTTTCCAGTTCCCAATTTCCCCAGAGACCGAAGTGACATTTGCACTGTTCTCAGAACATCCCAGTCACCAAGGAGAAATGGCTGGTAATAATAATAATAATAAATTTTATTTATACCCCGCCCTCCCCAGCCGAAGCTGGGCTCAGGGCAGCTAACAACAATCAAAATAATCCAACATTCTAAAAACCTTTCATTATAAAAATTAATTAAAATCAAATTGATGGCAACCATTAAGCCAAATTCTGTGCAGATTGCCAGAGGAGGGGGTCAGGCTGCGCCCTGACCAAAGACCTGGTGGAACAGCTCTGTCTTACAGGCCCTGTGGAAATATGTCAGGTCCCGCAGGGCCCTAGTATCTTGTGACAGAGCGTTCCACCAGATCGGAGCCACGGCCGAGAAAGCCCTGGCTCTAGTTGAGGCCAGCCTAACCTCTCTGTAGCCTGGGATCTTCAGGATGTTTTTATTTGCAGACCGTAAGTTTCTCTGTGGGGCATACCAGGAGAGGCGGTCCCGTACGTACAAGGGTCCTAGGCCGTATAGGGCTTTAAAGGTTAAAACCAGCACCTTAAACCTGATCCTGTACTCCACCGGGAGCCAGTGCAGCTGGTATAGTACCGGATGAATGTGATCTCGCAGCGAAGACCCCATAAGGAGTCTCGCCGCGGCATTCTGCACCCGCTGGAGTTTCTGGGTCAGTCTCAAGGGCAGCCCCACATAGAGTGAGTTACAATAATCCAGTCTGGAGGTGACCGTCGCGTGGATCACAGTGGCTAGGTCAGGGCGAGAGAGATAAGGAGCCAACTGCTTAGCTTGGCAGAGATGAAAAAATGCCGCCTTTGTTATAGCTGTAATCTGCGCCTCCATAGAGAGGGAGGTATCGAAGATTACACCCAAACTCTTAACGGACGATGCTGGCACTAATTGCACCCCCGCAAGAGATGGGAGTTGCCCCCTCAATCCCATATCGTCCCGTCCCAGCCAGAGGACCTCTGTCTTCGAAGGATTTAACTTCAACCGGCTCCCACGTAACCATCCAGCCACAGCTTCCAGACATCTGGTCAGTGTGTCTGGGGCCGAGTCAGGATGGCCATCCATCAACAGATAGAGTTGGGTGTCATTGGCATACTGATGGCAACCCAGCCCAAAACTCCAGACAAGCTGGGCGACGGGGCGCATAAAGATGTTAAAAAGCATCGGGGAGAGAATCGCACCCTGAGGCACTCCACACACCAAGGAGTGGCGCGATGACAATTCCCCCCCCCCCAAGCGCCACCCTCTATCCCCAACCAGAGAGAAACGAGCGCAGCCATTGAAGGACTGTGCCCTGGATCCCCACGTCGGCAAGGCGGTGGTCCAGGAGTTCGTGATCGACCATGTCGAAGGCTGCTGACAGGTCTAGAAGAATCAGCAGCCCCGACCCGCCTCGATCCAGCTGCCTGTGGAGATCATCTGTTAGGGCGACCAGAGCCGTCTTGGTCCCATGACCAGCGCGGAAGCCGGACTGGAATGGATCCAGAGCCGATGTTTCATCCAGAAACCTGCCAAGCTGTTCAGCAACTGCTCTCTCAATCACCTTACCCAGGAATGGAAGATTAGAAACCGGGAGGTAATTGGATAGATCTAAGGGATCTAATGATGTTTTCTTTAAGAGCGGGCACACCACTGCCTCCTTCAGTTCTCCTGGGAATATCCCAGTGCCAAGGGACAAATTGATGATATCCCCCAGGAGGGCCCGCACCTCATCTGGACACGCTCTAATCAGCCAGGACAGGCACGGGTCGAGAGGACAGGTGGTGGGCTTTCCAGCTCGGAGGAGTCTGTCCACATCGGCTGGGGATATCCGGTCAAAGTGGTCCAATACTGGACCCAAGGACAGTCGAGGGGCCTCCAGTTCCTTTATTGTATCCAAATTGGCAGGGAGGTCATGGCGGAGCAACAAGACCTTCTCCGCAAAAAAGCTCGCAAATGCCTCACAGCTGTGTGTCAAATTGTTATTTAAATTTGGCTGTCCTTCAAGGGACGTTAAAGACCTAATTATACTAAATAATTGTGCTGGGCGAGAGCTAGCGGAGGCAATGGAGGCCGAGAAGTAGGACTTCTTAGCGGCCTTCACCGCCATCTCGTAGGTTTTCATAAAAGCCCTATAAGATGTTCTTGAGGCTCCGTCACGGGCACCCCGCCATACTCGCTCTAGCCGTCTGAGGTCCCGCTTCATTTTCCGAAGCTCCTCGGTAAACCAGGGAGCCCGGTTTCTGCAGGGTCGCAGAGGGCGCCTAGGTGCAATCTCATCGATGGCTGCTAGGAGCTGGATAAATAAATAAGTAGAGGCAAATTTGTCCATTTATCATTCTTCTCACTCTTCAGTTCACTTCTTCACATTTCCCATCAGTTTGCAATTATTATTTTTATGCCCGCTTCCCCCCCAGTAAGTGTGATTTTGAACAGAATGCTTTGCTGAAGAACTGCATTGCAAGGGACGATTCTGAAAGCCGGCTGTATTGCGGTTGGTGAAGGGCTTTGCAAAATGTGGATTAAGTACTTTTGCCTTGGAATGTGAACTGAATTGGGTTACTTCCTCGTTCCCTAGCTGTCGTGACCCTCATTGAGGAGGACGACGAGCTGCTGGCACAGAACCAAACTCACAGTACCTGTCAATCAAAGTGCCGACCCTCCTACAACAACTTCTACTCCACCTGCCTAGAGCTTTTCAAGTTCACGATTGGGATGGGAGACTTGGAGTTCACAGACAGTTACCACTTCAGGTTTGCCTCCCCGCTCCCCTTTTCTTTTAACGCATGTAAACTATTTTGTTCTGACGTTTTCAGACTTATGTGAACAGTTCTGGCCGCCTCGTCTCAGACAGGATATTGTAGAGTCGGAAAAGGTTCAACTGAGATGGTCTAAGGGGTGGAGCAAACTCCCCTTTGGAGAAAAGGTTGCAGAGTTTGGGACTTTTTAGTTTAGAAAAAAGGTGCGTCCAGTGAAGCTGAATGTTGGAAGAGTGAGGAGACATAAAAGGAAGCGCTTTTTCACACAGCGCAGAAATTATGGAACTCACTTCCACAAGAAGCAGGGATGCCCACCAACCTGTAATAATAATTATTTATTATTCATACCCCGCCCATCTGGCTGGGCTTCCCCAGCCACTCTGGGCGGCTTCCAACAGAATATTAAAATACAGTAATGCATCAAACATTAAAAGCTTCCCTAAACAGGGCTGCCTTCAGATGTCTTCTAAAAGTCTGGTAGTTGTTGTTCTCTTTGACATCTGGTGAGAGGACGTTCCACAGGGCGGGTGCCACTACCGAGAAGGCTCTCTGCCTGGTTCCCTGTAGCTTTTCTTCTCGCAATGTGGGAACCGCCAGAAGGCCCTCAGCACTGGATCTCAGTGTCCGGGCAGAACAATGGGGGTGGAGACGCTCCTTCAGGTATACTGGACCGAAGCCATTTAGGGCTTTAAAGGTCAACACCAACACTTTGAATTGTGCTCGGAAACGTACTGGGAGCCAATGTACTGTAGGTCTTTCAAGACGGTGTTATGTGGTCTCGGCAGCCGCCCCCATTCTCCAGTCTAGCTTCCGCATTCTGGATTAATTTCAGTTTCCGGGTCACCTTCAAAGGTAGCCCCACGTAGAGCGCATTGCAGTAGTCCAAGCGGGAGATAACCAGAGCATGCACCACTCTGGCGAGCCAGTCTGCGGGCAGGTAGGGTCTCAGCCTGCGTACCAGCTGGAGCTGGGAGACAGCTGCCCTGGATACAGAATTGACCTGCACCTCTATGGACAGCTGCGAGTCCAGAATGACTCCCAGGCTGCGCACCTGGTCCTTCAGGGGCACAGTTGCCCCATTCAGGATCAGGGAGTCTTCCACACCTGCCCGCCTCCTGTCCCCCCAAAACAGTACTTCTGTCTTGTCAGGATTCAGCTTCAATCTGTTAGCCGCCATCCACCCTCCATCTGCCTCCAGACACTCACACAGGACCTTCACCACTTGTAGGCTTTGAAAGAGGATTAGACAAATTTATGGAGAAGTGACTACCGATGGCTACTAGCCATGAAGGCTCTTCTCTTCCTCCACAGCTGAAGGCAGCAATGCTTCTGAATGCCAGTGGCTGGAAACCACAGGAGGGGAGAGGGCTGCTCTTGTGTTCGAATCCTGCCTGCTAGTTTCCCCACAGACACCTGGTTGGCCACTCTAAGAACAAGATGCTGGGCTGGCTAGCCATTGGCCTGATCCAGCAGGCTCTTCTTGTGTTCTAATAAGAATGCGTGCAATTACAAAAAGTTAATATAAATCATTAAAACCTGGGGGGGAACCTCATAATAGAGTAAATACATCCTTAATTGTTCAGAGGCAGTGGGGCAGGAGAGGGCATTCTCTGTGGTAGCCCCTAAGCCACATAACTCCCTCTCCACATACGTGCATCCAGCATTTGACACTTGAGAGATGCGTTTCAGGATCCAACCTATTTCTGTGGTTGTAATTTGTTTTTTTTTAAATGTTTTTAATACTGAATTTTAAATTGTTGTAAGCCGCCCTGGGACCCGCTGGTGAAGGGCACATCTGAGTAGTTGGTAGTAGTAGCAATAGTAATTGATATAACCAATTTATTTGCATCAGTTGCCCCAAATTGTAAAGAATAACTACTGAAGTTATAGGAAACACTTACAATTTATAATACAGTGGTACCTCGGGTTAAGAACTTAATTTGTTCCGGAGGTCCGTTCTTAACCTGAAACTGTTCTTAACCTGAGGTACCACTTTAGCTAATGGGGCCTCCCGCTGCCGCCGCGCGATTTCTGTTCTCATCCTGAGGTAAAGTTCTTAACCTGAGGTACTATTTCTGGGTTAGCGGAGTCTGTAACTTGAAGCATCTGTAACCTGAAGCGTCTGTAACCCGAGGTACCACTGTAATTAAGAGTGCTGTTTTCGTATACACCCTAAATCATCTTCAGTTCCTTTTCATCAGTTCAACCAAATTACAAACTATGGACATCAAACCTTTAACTTAACAGGAGATCCTTGTGATTTATAAGTATAAAATGTGCTGTTCTGAACTCCCTCCCTCCCTCTGTCTATCTTTCTTATGGACCTGTTTGCCCAGGGCATTCACACAGTTACCTGTATTTCCTAATTTTGCCGTTAGTTTCACTACCTTTAGTTCCCCACGCTTCAGGTCAGTCTTCACCATCCTGTTGGTGACTTACGTCATAGTCACGTACATCCTCCTCCTCAACATGCTCATCGCCCTGATGGGAGAAACGGTCAACAAGATTTCTCAGGAGAGCAAAAGCATTTGGAAGCTCCAGGTGAGTCCGGCTTCTGATCAGCGTCTCGGCCTCGGTGTGTCTGTGATAGGAATTTTGAGATCTTAGATATATGATAATGTTCATAACCGCACGTACATAGATCAGCACAGGAAGACCGACCTGAAGCCATTTTGATTTCTAAACTGAGCAAACGTTTTCTCTGCAAGGTCAAAGTGGGAAACCTCCCCATTGTCTTTTCCTTCACAAATCCTGTCTTAAGGGTATGTCTGTGTTTGAATAGGGTGTGAGCCTGTGACCTGGCTCAGGAACTAAGTACTTATCACTACAAAAGACTGGCCAGGCTCCCCAGGAAATCCAATCAAGTAACCTGCCAGACAGGAGATGAACAACAACAGGAGAAAAACAATATTCAAATTTCTGTTTTAGACTGCCTTTTCTGTGATGTAGGTGTGATGTATCTGAGGGGTGGTCTTAGGTTACACCCCTTCTGTGATGTATGTATGATGTTTCTGGGGGTGGTCTTGATCTACAGGGTGGCAATTTCAAAAGTCTTTATAAGACCTTGCATGCCATTTTTCTGGGTTCCTCCTCTCTCCTGCTTGTGAGGGGAGCACCCTGTTGCAACAGATCAATAAAGATCAAGCTTACTAGCTGCTTTGCTTCTCAATATTCTCTGGTTGGCCTCTGTTATTCTCTCCTACCAATAGGGAACCTATGTAAGGACTCTGTATGGGCTCTTGGATACCCCATAAGGGAAAAGGGCAATTTTTGTTTGCAACATGTCTTTGCTGAGTGAGTTCAGCCAGCCTTGGGTTAGGGTCGGGAGGCTCTGGAAAACGCAGGAATTAAGAGTCTCAGGCTTTACCAACTCAGATATATATATATATTTCCACCCAGAGAGCCATCACCATCTTGAACATCGAGAACAGCTATTGGAACTGCATTGTCAACTCCTTCCGATCTGGGAAACAAGTTCTGGTGGGGACTACTCCGGACGGGAAAAACGATTACCGCTGGTGCTTTAGGTAATTCTGGTTCCCCTCTCTGTACGCCTTGGGATGACAAGGAAATAGAGGCTGTCAGGCCAAGCCAAAACATCCCACCCACCACCTGCCAATTACCCACCACCCGCCAATTCTGTGGTCCCATTCTCAGGCTGCAAAATTGTGGCCATGGACAGGTAAGAACTTTTGAAGCTTTTCAGGGACTGGGTGTGTGGAAGTTGCCAGCCCTCCTCACAGCTCTGGTCAGCTGGCAAGTCACCCTTTTGTATTCCCCAGAAAGCCCTGCCTGCTTGAGATTCTTGGAGTCACGTGTTTACACTGTTCTGGGTTGTAGCAAACTGTTTGCTAATGGTAACAGGAAGTGACGGTGTAGCAGTAAATTTTGAAGTACAAGAGCTCATCTTGAGAGACATATCCTGCATAGCTACATCCTCAAGGAAGTTCTGTTGCCAACCCCTCTCCAAACAGCATAAAAAAAATTTGCAGGCATCTGTGTTATTTGTATATTTACACACAGATAGCCAAAAAGTGTATAGTGCATTTTCCTGACATGGTACCCAACTGATTTGGACCAGCATCACTACAATCCTAGTTTCCTGGGAGCAAATGCCCTTGTAAAACACATTTGCGCTTCAACAAAAGATCTTCTGCCAGCTGAAATGCAATGCTTAGCCTTTATTAGAAAGCCAAACATGTGAACCACTAGCATGAAGCAGGGACTCCATGAAAGGAAAGGAAAGCTGTATCCAGCCTCAGCCTGAGCACATCTGAAGGCAGCCCTGTTTAGGGAAGTTTTTAATGACTGATGTTTTAATGTATTTTTAGTCTTTTGTTGGAAGCCACCCACAGTGGCTGGGGAGACCCAGCCAGATGGGCAGGGTAGAAATAATAATAATAATAATAATAATAATAATAATAATAATATATTATTATTTTCCTCATTCTCTGGTTTCTGCCATGCTCATCCGTCCCATTATCTCCTCATTATCTCCCCATTCCTCACTGCCATCAGTGGTCTGTCAATTCCCCTGATGGATGATGTAATTGCTCCTGTTCTGTCAAAAAAAGAAGTAGCAGTCTCAGAGCTGGGCTGCCCCCCCACATTCCCTCCCCAACTGCGTTGCTGCTAGGGGGAGACCTGACCACGTTTGCTTCTCCTGAACAGGGTGGATGAGGTGAACTGGTCCACATGGAACACCAATCTGGGCATCATCAACGAAGACCCTGGTGGATACAGCGAGGAGCTGAAACGGAACCTGAGCTTTTCTTTCAAATATGGGAGAGGTGAGGAAATATATTCCTTGTGACTGGGCGGTGGGAGCCTTTTGCAAACAGTACATTTTTCCAGAGTGAATGGAGCCCAGGTGTTACTCAGTTGATGTTCTCTGCGGTGGGGGGACCCCAAGGAACTACCTGGTGTGGACTGAGCATGCTCAGTGTGCACAGAATGCTGGTTGTGGGAGGGACAGAAAACTAGGTGGAGTGGTGGGGGAGAGAATGGAATGGAGTTTCCTAGAGAAGGGTATGGCTGGCAGAACCTAGTAAACAGGGGTGCTGTACACTGCTTTTAATTGTTGGTCTTGTGGCGAGAAAGGCTATTGGTGTGAGTAGGGGGGAAAGGTTATATAGGTAGGTATCTCTGCAAGGAAAACTGGGAGGTAAGAGGTGGAGCCGGAGAAACTGTGTGCTGTTCATATTTTGTTCTTTTTAAATGCCACTGCCAGCTGCACTGAGCTCAGCCACGTTTCTGGAAAATCGGCGCGCAAGTGTCAAATCGAAACAAAAGCCAATCCCCGTGTCAGTTTCAGGGAAAAACTGGAAGACCTTGGTCCCAATCCGGAGAGATGGAAAACGAGAAGGGTCGCTCAAGCCCATTTCGGAAGACGGCACGGATTCAGAAGAGCAAGGCCCCCGGAAGAAATCTCTCCCCAAGTTTGTCCACTTTTTTTGGTCTCTCTTCATCTTCTGCAAGGTTTTTAATTCTAGAAACGAGGAAATTGGATGTAGGCAAAAAATGCCTTTTTAATCGTTAGAAGGATACAGGCAAACAGTGGGTCAAATACCTTTTCTCCATGGGGCCTGATTTCGGGACGACAGGTTGCTGGTTGATGAATACAATACCCCTAAACATTTTTTAAAAAATTGCAAGCTAAGTCTCCTAATATATTTAGGGTAGAGATGGGGACCTCCACCAGGATCCAAATATGGCCTCCCAGGCCTCTCTATCTGAACTTTAAAAATGAGAAACTGGGAGAAACCGAGGATTTGTGCCCCACCTCCCTGGCTAGAATCCTTCTCTGAGTGAGACCCTAGAGTCATAGAACTGTAGAGTTGGGAGGGACCCCAAGGGGTCATCTAGTCCAACCCCTGTAATGCAGGAACCTTGGAGGGCTGCTGCCAGCCAGTGTAGGCAATACTGAGTTAAGGTGGATGAATCTATCAGTTGTGGTTTATCTCCGTTTCTTGTTTTTCCCGTCTCGAGTTCAATTAAGCTCCCTACATTCAGGTGGATTTAAATGGCACATTAAAATTTATACTTATTTTGATCCTGGGTGGGGGCAGAGGGTGTGTGTGGGGGAGCCCCTTAAAATTATTCTAATTGTACACTTCTGTTTGTTTCATTTACAGCCCTGTCTTATGATTTTGGGAAGCTGCTGAATCAGTGGAAGAATCTCCCCGCCAAACCTTCTGTTATGTTGTGGCAAAAAATGTGTGTGTGTATATATGTGTGTATGTGTATGTGTGTGAGAGAGAGAGAAAGAGAGAGAGAGAGAGAGAGAGAGAGAGAGAGAGAGTTGTTAAACAAGCGTCCAACAGGCCTCTCTTATTGTGTGCCATGAGCATTGGCTTTTGGGGGTAGACTGCCTCTGAAAATGGAGGTTTGTCTGATCAATTATGTCTAATCGCAGAATTTTTGCTGGGGAGGAAGGTGTTGCATATTTAAGTGCTTCCCCCACATAAGAAGAGCCCTGATGGATCAAACCGAAGGCCCATCTAGTCCAACATCCTGTTTCCTACAGGGCTCACCCAGCTTCCTCTAGGGCAATCTGCAAGTGGCACAGGAAGGCATCAGACCTTGTTCCCCAGCAACACATATTCAGGGACAGACTGCCTCTGAACAAGGAGGTTTCACATAACCGCCATGGCCAGTAGCTGAACCTCCATGATGTAATCCAATTCAATACATTTCAGCAATGATATTTATTATTATTATTATTATTATTATTATTATTATTATTATTTTCATTATTTTCATTATTAATAATAATAATATATATTATATTTTACTATTACTACTATTATTTATTTTGAGTTAATATTTATTTATATATTCATTTCATTTCATTTCTATGCCACCTTTATCTTCCAAGGATCTTAAGGTGGTGTACATTTTAATTTCAATGGATCTACTCTGAGCAGGTCTAATATTGGATACAACCAGAAGTAGTAGTATTTTCTCAGCCCTTTAAAATCTGGCATTTCTAATAATCGGTTTTTGAAAGATTTTATTGTGGATTGTTGTGGCTTTTCCTTGTTTTCATTAGTTTGCAATCCATCCTGGAAAAGTTTTTACCCGCCTTAAAAAAAAGTATGTGTTGGGACATAATATAAATACATAAAATAAACTGGCATACACAGAACTATATATATGTGGAAAAGCTCCTTTCTATTCCTGTATGAATGAATAGCTCAAACCTCAGGCGCTCCCCTCCTTCTGGTTGCCATCAAGTCCAAGCTGGACGAGGGGATTCCTGACTATAAACTATATTTCTTTCCAAGCAAACAAAGATTGCATTCAAATGTCATTTCCCCATCAATCTCCTCCCAGCTGCCATTATGTCACAGCTACCCCTGCCCCCCCCGGCTTTTGGCAATGTCAGTGCAGGGAATGGAATTGTTTGAAATTGGTCGGGTTGCTCCATACAGCTCCACACCCCCTAAGAAGAGCTTGGCTCCCGGATGAGGCCAAAGGAGGACAGTCTAGAACCAGCATCCTGTCCCCATGGAATTGCTGGACGCAGAGGAATGGTGGGAGGTACCAGCTGGGGGAACCCCCAAGGGATGAAGGCTCAGAGTCTGGGGATTAGTGGTGGGACAACGAAGAGTGGTGAGAGGGAGAAGACTGGGAAGAGGTAACAGGGCTTAGTGAGCAGAGGGAGTCTGTGGCAGAGAGAAGTGCAAAAGCAAGAGAGGAGGGAGTCCAAGAGGCAGAGAGGAGTCAAGCTGGTGAAGAAGCCAGGGTGTCTCCCGCTCCTGCTGCGAAAAGCTCCTCTCCCCGCTGGTCTCCCAGAACCAGAAGAGGTATGAAGAGGGTGGAGCAGAGACAGGCACGGCAGCAGAGTCTCAGATTGCTTGGGAAGGACCTGGGGGAGGAGGGGGACTTAGGGAACTGTGGGAAGGTGGAGACCTTCAGTCTCCACAACTGCCTCATAGGGACAAGACCTACCCGTGAGAGTTGCCGTGCTCATTGGGCCTGGCACTCTGGAGGAGAAGAAGAAGAAGAAGAAGAAGAAGAAGAAGAAGAAGAAGAAGAAGAAGAGTTTGGATTTGATATCCCGCTTTATCACTACCCGAAGGAGTCTCAAAGCGGCTAACAATCTCCTTTCCCTTCCTCCCCCACAACAAACACTCTGTGAGGTGAGTGGGGCTGAGAGACTTCAGAGAAGTGTGACTGGCCCAAGGTCACCCAGCAGCTGCATGTGGAGGAGCGGAGACGCGAACCCAGTTCCCCAGATTACGAGTCTATCGCTCTTAACCACTACACCACACTGGCAGCCCATTTCTTCTAATAAGAGTTAACTTCACTTACTCCATGTGATTTATTGCTGAGCTGCTCCTGCACAATGGGAAGCCTGCGACCAGGATCTGAGCACAATAGCAAAACTCTCCCCACTTGTGAATCCCAGCAACGGCTATGCAGAGGCTTCCAACGTTGGAGGCAGAATCCAGTCATCATACCTGTGCTCCGTGGGACTGTTTAAAACATCTGGAGGGCGTTGGGATGGGGAAGGCTGGCATGCGTCCTGGGCTTGCATTACTAGAAGAAGCTACTTTGAAAAAACAAAAAATTCTACTAAGTTTCTAATTCAGGCAAATAGATGTAGAAAGCTTGTGCTATATTGTTCTATTTTGCATATATTTAGGCTTTGCTCTCTAATATGAAAATGGCTTAAGACAGCTGTGCCAATCTATCCACAACAGTTACTGGCCCACAGATGTTCTTTGCTAGCCTGCCTGCCTGCACACACCCCTCTGTTAGTTGTTTGTATCGTGTCAACAGCCTCAAGGTCAACAAATAATCACATCTTCATGCGACCTGGCAATTTAGGGATTTAGTTTTTTTAAAAGCAGGCAATGACCTTCCTCCTACCCAGGATGAACAAGCATGACTGTCCTACATCTGAGAAAGCACAGAGTTGGTGCTTCTGAATGTGGAGAAATTAGAGGTAACTACCGTATGTCAGAAAGTAGAGAGGAAAGCTTCCATATCTGAAGATGTTACAGCTAGGAAGATTTAAGCTCTTGCATCAGGGCAACTTCCAGAAGGTGGTGAAGGCAGGCTATTTAAAGCATGGGTAGGCAAACTAAGGCCCAGGGGCCAGATCCAGCCCAGTCACCTTCTAAATCCGGACTGCGGACGGTCCGGGAATCTGTGTTTTTACATTAGTAGAATGTGTCCTTTTATTTAAAATGCATCTCTGGGTTATTTGTGGGGCATAGGAATTCGTTCATTCTTATTTCTTTTCAAAATATAGTCCGGCCCCCCCACAAGGTCTGAGGGACAGTGGACCGGCCCCCTGCTGAAAAAGTTTGCTGACCCCTGATTTAAAGGGTGCCAAGACCCATTGCACCCATATTATCACTTTTGCCCCCAGAAAGGTCAGAGGCGGCAAGGAAGAATTGCGCCTTTGCACACCCCACCGCTGCCAGGTTTAAGGGGGCTTGTTGAGGATGCCATTTGCCCTGTCCGCTGAAGGAGCCAAGGGTAGCAAACATGTCAATGCCAAACCAATGAAAACTGTGACAAACAAGTCAAGCAATCGTGGATAACATCATCCTAAAACCCCCTAAAAGCAGCACCCTAGTCTTGAAATGTAGTCAAGGGGTGTTTGTGAGTGTCCTCCTTTCATTCTAGAAATCATTGCACCTGCACTTCGCAGCCTTCCTGGGTGTCTGTGCTTCATTTAAAGCCCAGAAGAAGTGATCGCCTTTTCAGCTCAGGGGACAGGAGGGGCAGCCAGGGAGGCTGCAAAAAAGATTTACTGGCAAGAAAAGCACACGCAGCAGCCTAGGCCCCTTGCAATGATATGTTTAGCTCTGCAGGGGTGGGGTGGAGGAATTCGCTTCAGTTCACTTCTTGAGACAAAATTACCTTATTTACATGTTGTCTCGCTGAGATGGTCCAAAGGAAAGCAGGTTTAATTGTCGTAAGCTGCCCTGTGACTTTAAGGTGAAGACAACAACAACAACTAATTAGATAGATAGATGATAGATAGATAGATATCTGGGGGAAAATGCTGATGAATTTTCATCAGGAGTTTCTTTTAATGCAACAACAAACCAGTGTGGAGAACTGAACTTAAGTTTGGAAAAACGAGAAACTAATAGAACCTGAAACTGTCAGGTTTCCCTTTCCCTAACCACTGCCTCAGAAATCATCTTAGCCACCCCAAATTTCACCACGTGCAAGTGGGGGGGGGGCAAAATGGGAAAGGACGATTTTGGCATGATGAAAACAGCACACAAATGGCAAGGTGTTGATTGGACTGTGAGAATGCCATCCGATTCAGCTGTTTAGGGGGATCCAGTGAACATAAAGAATCCTTCTCTGTGCTTCCCATCGCTGATGTCCCAGCAATGGACTGTCCCCCCTAATAGCAATGTAAGCATTGCTAAAACCCCTCCACAATAACCAGAGGAATGAAGACAGCAAGGATTTCCCTACCCAACTCGACAGACCAGATTTTTAATCATCTTCTGTCTCGTGGAAATGGCGCTGGACACCTGGGGACCCCACCCCAGTCCTTGCATGTTATGATGGTGATGAGTCCTGTCTGCCACTGGAAATGGGTTTGGCTCCACTTGAGCAGCCTTTTCACCTCTGACTAATGGTACCGCTGCTCACAGCCGGCCATGAGACAACAGTCCTTCTCTCTATGGAAAGCACACAATGCAGCCTCCATGTGGCCAGGGGCTGGGAAATCAACAGTCCATGCCGTGACGCTCACAGAGTCGCTAAGTGCTGCAGACCTATTGTATTTTTCGCTCCATAAGACACACTTTTCCCCTCCTAAAAAGTAAGGGGAAATGTGTGTGCGTCTTATGGAGCGAATGCAGGCGGGAGGCTCTGCTCAGCGCTCCCTTTAAAGAGCAGCATAGAGCTCTTGCTGGCTTTTCCCCAAGGAGGGAGAAGGGCAGCCCGTCAGGCCCTTCTCTGTCCTCAGGGGAAAGCCCCCAAGAGATGCACACACGCTCCGCACGGCTCTTTAAAGGGAGCGCTGAGCAGAGCCTGTGTGCGGCTCTTGCTGGCTTTTCCGGGAGGAGGGACTGATGGGCTGCCCTTCATCTCTTCCCCACCTCCCGGAAAATCCAGCAAGAGCCGCACACAGGCTCTGCTCAGCGCTCCCTTTAAAGAGCTGTGAAGAGCATGTGTGCGGCTCTTGCTGGCTTTTCCCCGAGGAGGGAGAAGGGCAGCCCATCTTATGGTTGGGTGCATCTTATAGAGCGAAAAATACGGTATATACATAATGTAAGCCCTAGCAGCCCAGTACAAATGCTGAAATCCTGATGCCCTGCTCATGCTATTCCTCCATGCAATGTTGCTTCCTGCCTCCAGGTTCCACCTGGTGATGTTTGGGGATGCTTGTGGTGCTGGAATTGCTGCTGAGGAATGAGATCTTCTTGGTTGAAAGAGATCCTTGTGCAACAGGGCTGTGATGCCCATGGTTGAGCTGGGACCTCGGTAAGGAGGCAGGCGCCCACCCACCCACACAAACCTCATTCAGCAATATGGAACTGCTCCATTTCGAAGAAATCTAGCAGAGGAATGTCTGTCCCACAGTGGGGAATGGTGCCCATTGGGACCGATGGGGCAGAAGGCAGGGAGCCCAACAGCAGGGGCAATTGCAGCCAGAGCAAACTCCGTCTAGTTTTGTGTCCATCTTCCTTCCTCTTGAGCTGTACAAGGAGCAACACTGGAAGCAGGACATGAGCTCAACAGCAAATCTCTCCCCAGTTGTGATTCCCAGCACTTGGCATACTGTGGAAGGGGCAGCATAGCCACTGTGTCTAGTAGACACTGGCAGACGTGTCCTCAATTAATCTGTGTAGCCCCCTTTTGAAGCATTGGTGGACATCGCTGCCTCTTGCGAGAGCAAATTCCATTGTTGTATGAAGTACTTTCATCTTCAAACCTTCCATTATGTCAGACGGCCCAAGTTCTAGTAGTCCTGCCTCATCCTTGTTGCTTCAGTTCCCACCTTTGTTTCCAAGCTTCAGGCTCATGTGGGGATAATGATCCTGCCCTACCTCGCCAGGTTGTTGTGAGGATCAGTGTGCTACTGGCCACGAAACGCTTTCGACTTATTAAAACGCGCCCTCCGTCATTATTTGGATGGAAAACTAATTGTCTCTTGCCTGCACCTGAGGAATCCGACCGCAAGATAATTAGCCTGCTTTCTTTCACTGCAAATGATTCCTGGGTGTCAATAAAAGAAGAAGGGGGGGGAATAAATAAATCAAAATGATGAAAGCTCTCCGGATGGTTTTGAGATAATGTTCAGGTGTCCTTCCTTCGTCATCGTTATGACTCAACCTCTTTTGCATGGATAATTGGCGATGGTGGCGTCTTTCCCCAGCTCTGAGTAGCCAAGAAATTTGTGGTCTAGCAAGTTTGTCTCTTTTCGTAGCCAACCTGTGGATCCTGTGTAACTCAGCCGGCATTGAAAAGCACCTCAGTGCTATACTTATCCAGGGAAACTGCACCCAAGTCAGACGAGGGATGTGTCCCTGCCTCACGTTTTGGGGATTTATTTTAAGCTACGAGAGACGGGATATTTATTTAGTCCTTTCGCACCTTTGAGGGATGTCACAACAGGAACTGTAACAGCAACCAAGGATCTTTGGATTTCCCCTCCAGGTATTCTCTGGACCAGTTTTCTTCCTAACTCTTGGCAGATGGGGATCCTTTAACCAAGGTGAGCCTTTGTGATTGTGTCGTAAACATCTTTGTTTTGAGCAGATATTCTCTTAAGGAGATTCTCTCCATCAGAAAAAAACAAAACAAAAACTCAGCAGGCTCTTGATGCGTTGCTAGATATGTTTTCATTTCTCTCCCATTTATTTTTTAAAGCTTGTGGGGTCAAAAATGACTGCTCGGTTTTTTTCGTCGTCAGTCTAATCTCCATTTTTCATTTGACATTCTAATTTGTTTTGAGGCTTTCTCTGGGAGTAGTGATGAGTTTTGTTGCAGTTCTTGACTTTGCTGTAAGCAGCTCAGTGTATATGAATGTGCTCAAGGGTCCTAAGGACCAAATAGTGAGACATGCACCACAAAAGTCATCATCTATTAGATTTCCCACCTGCCCTTCACCATTTAAAAACAGAACATTAAAACCTTTTAAAATAAATTACAGTCAAGGGAACAGTGTGGCCCCATCCCCCCCCCTTTAAACACTCAAGTGTCAAAAGCCGGGATAAAAAGTTAAATGTGAAGAAGGCATGGGGGTGGAAATTAGATGTTGTTAAAAGATGTGAGATGAGCTAAAAGTGGATTGGGTGGGGGGAAAAGAACTTTGAAAATAATCGGAACTGATTTTTTAAAAATCTTGGCAAAAATCCAGCCAGATTGTTTGCTTTCATACATGCTAGCTCCATAGATGCTGCGTTGCGTTTTATGGAAATCTAATTTGAACAGTCCTCTTAAAAGTAAAACCCCAAAGAATGCTCATGTACAAGCACCAGTGAGAAAGTGTGGGTGGGGGTGAAATAATTTGTGTTCTCCAGATGTGGAGATATAGCAGTCTTGCTGGTTTTACTCATTCACTGGGGAAGAGTAGCAGATCAGCAGAATAAGGTAGCAGCTTCCTGTATTCCTGTTTAACCAACCCTTTATTCAAAACCATGAGGTCTAGAATCTTACCGTATAAGTCTAGAGCAGGGGTTCCCAGACGGGTCTGTGAGCTTCATTCATGCAGTCTATGGCAGGTCTGTGAAAATACAACTATAACTCGTACAGTGCATTACAGTTGCGACAAATAGCTAGGGCTGCCATATGCCCTGAATTTCCGGGACATGTCCTGAAATTCACCTCCCAAAATGTCCTGGATTATTTTTCAGAAATGGGGCAAATGACATGGGAAACCAGCAATGGGGGTTAAATCCTGCCAAAAAATTCCTTTAAAAAAACCTTTAAAAACTCAACAATTTGGGGGCCTTCCTGAAAAAAAGATCAACAACTTACTGAAATATGGCAACCCTACAAATAGCAGACAAATCATTAACTGTGGTCTGTGGTCATTCAAATGAGGGGAAATGTTTGGGGACCACTGGTCTAGAGGAAGGGCCATAGCTCAGTGGTAGAACATCTGCCTCACATGCAGATGGTAGCAGTACCTGTTTCCAGGTAGGGCTAGGCAGGCCTCCCCCCCCCCCGTGAAATCCTGGATAGCTGCTGCCAGTCAGTGTAGACAATACTGAGCTGGATGGGGGGGACAGGGGAGAAGAAGATGCAATTTCAAGGCCAAGGGTCAAAGACCAGGGTGGAGAGGTGCATCTTTAGCATGCCACATGATATTGGGTGATGTGAAGGATTTCTGACCCTCGGTTGTTTTAATAACGGCAGCAACCAAACGACTCTTTCTCCCACCCTGCCAAATCAACTGCTGAAAGTAAGAAAGCTGGTGAACAGAGGAGCATAACCAGGTCTCCATCCAATTCTGGTACTCCAAACAAAGCCCCAGGCCCAGAATGAGTCAATTCTAAGTTTCAAGGACACATTCTGGACAGGACAAAAACAAGGAGGAAGTGAAGGAGGGTCAGAGAGGGGTGTGGCTTGGGGAAAGAGGGTGTGGCCTGTGAGAGAGTCCCAAGGGCCAGACAGAAAGGCTTGGAGGGCCACATTTGGGATCCGGTTGGCCTGAGTTTCCCCACCCCACCTCTGAAGGAGTAGTATCTAGTTTGGTTCCCAGAAAGATTTGCAGCGTGGTGATATATCAAAGGAAAAGGATATGGCACAATCAACCAAGGGCCAACAGCTGCATACCCCAACAATTAAGGAGAAAACGTGTGGTTATTTACGCCTATTCTTCCTTTAACGCCTAAGGAATTGGGGAAAACATTTGCTTGCAAAGTCTAACACAGCCTCTAAATCAGGCTTCCTCAAACACGGCCCTCCAGATGTTTTTTGGCCCATGATCCCTAGCTAGCAGGACCAGTGGTCAGGGATGATGGGAACTGTAGTCTCAAAACATCTGGAGGGGTGCGTTTGAGGAAGCCTGCTTTAAATGATGGTCCTCATGTCACCAGTGTCTGCCTTTAGTTAAAAACAAAGCAATATGATGCTGGGAAGGGGGAATGACTGCCCATGTCAAGAAGGGGGAGTATATTCATGTTTGTGGGGGGCTGCCGGGGGTAAAGGAAAAGGGAGATCCTTCATTGAATACAATAAGGTGCAATTTTCCTATAGACCCTCCAATCACATCAGTGGAAGAGGAATTGAATGGGGCTTGTGTAGGCTTGGTAAATTGGTTCCCAAGTTTCAAGCCCTCAAGAGAGGTGGGGAAGTTGCTTAAAGAGGCTTCTGGATGTTGGGAACAGTTTCTGGGACACTGGGAGGCTAAACATGTTGCTTTGGGACAAATAATACTGCTTGTGGTTCTACTCTCGTGGTTCATTGCAGGGATTTGAACTATATAGCCCATGCGGTCCCTTCCAATTCTATGATTCTATACTTTTGAGAGGGATGTGGGTGGCGCTGTGGGTTAAACCACAGAGCCTAGGACTTGCTGATCAGAAGGTCGGCAGTTCGAATCCCCGTGACAGGGTGAGCTCCCATTGCTCGGTCCCTGCTCCTGCCAACCTAGCAGTTCGAAAGAACGTCAAAGTGCAAGTGGATAAATAGGTACCACTCCAGCGGGAAGGTAAACGGTGTTTCTGTGCGCTGCTCTGGTTCGCCAGAAGTGGCTTAGCCATGCTGGCCACATGACCCGGAAGCTGTACACCAGCTCCCTCAGCCAATAAAGCGAGATGAGTGCCGCAACCCCAGAGTCGGTCACGACTGGACCTAATGGTCAGGGCTCCCTTTACCTTTACCTTTATACTTTTGAGAGTTGCTCACTCTGCTACACTTGCCAATGAGCAATTGTTTAGAAAAGACAACCTAAATCTCCAGGATTGTCATAATCTCAGAGATGTTGACTTCGTAAAGCCACAGAGAGCTTCTCACAACCTGTGGGAATATACAAAATTACTTGAGGCTGGGGTGGGAGAGGAATTAAATTCTGTTCACACTGAAAGGCAAATGTTCACACTTTGTGAAACAATGCACAAACTGAAATGCAAAAATCCTTCGAAATGCACATTTCCCTTGAATTTTGCACCACAGTTCTCCAGCCCAGTGTCCAAAGATGTATATACTGAGGCAATTAGTGCATTGAAATAACATTCAGAATTACAAAAAATGCTAAAAATTTCCTTTAAGAGGAAACCAGAAGTTTATCTTCTGGGGATTACAGATTAGGATATCCCGCAGAAAATGAAGGGTATCTTTTTATATGCTACAGTAGCAGCTAGAGTTCTTGTTGCTACAAAATGGAAGAGTGATGAAATCCTCTCTTTTCATGAATGGATTCAAAAACTGACAGAATATGTGGTTAGATAGCCTATCAGAAAAAATAAAAAGCAAACCAAAACAGGAATTTGTTTCAAAATGGGAGGTCTTCAAAGTTTATATGCAAAATAATTATAACAGTTTAAACTCTGTTTCAGCATTTGAATAAGTTCCATAGTAGTGTTAAGAAAGATAAGAGAGCTAAGATAAATTAAGCATTAGTTAATCTATGATAAAAGTGTGTACTGGCAACAAGTAACATATAATTGAAACAGGGAATAGACGGGAGGTTGGGTCTATAGTCCAAAGACCTTTTTTTTGCTTTATAGTTTTGTAATTAATACAGTGGTACCACTGGTTGCGAATGGGATCCGTTCCGGAGCCCCATTCGCAACATGAGCAGAACGCAACCCGCGTCTGTGTGTGCGGAGGTCCCATTCGCCACTTCTGCGCATGCACATGACGCCATTTTGCGTGTCTGCGCATGCGTGAGCGGCGAAACCAGGAAGTAACCCTTTCCGGTACTTCCAGGTCGCCGCGGGACGCAACCTGAAAAGACATAACCTGAACCGAATGTAACAAGATGTATGACTGTATTGTGTTTATTTCTACTTTCATTTGTATTTTTGTTTTTTGGTGTAATAATAATAATAATAATAATGGGGGGGGGGCAGTTTCGCTGGGGTCGCAGAGGGCGTCTAAGTGCGATCTCATTGATGGCTGCCAAGAGCTGGTTATTCCAGCTCTCGACAAGCTCATCTAATGAGCCGCCAGGGGGACAGGGTCCTGCAAGATCTGACAGAATCCATCAGGATCCATCAGCCTCCATAGACGAACCCAAATAGGCTCGCCACCCAAGCGGCGGGGGGGTCAATCCTGGCTTTCATAGCATAGTGATCAGACCATGGCACTTCCACAGGGGAGGACATGATCACATCTATACCTGTGCCAAATATCAAATCCAGTGTGTGGTCTGCTTGGTGTGTAGGGCCCACAACAAACTGGGAGAGCCCTAGTGTCACCAGGTCCAGAGCCCATGAAGAGGGGGCGGCATCAGCATGGGCACTGAAGTCCCCCAAAACCAATCGGTTAGGGAACTCCAAGGCCCAGCCGGCCACTGCCTCCAGTAGGCCTGACAGGGTGGCTGCTGGTGCGCTAGGTGGCCGGTACACCAGCCAGACAGCCTAGCTCTCCTTGGTGCCCCACACCAGGCCAAGACATTCAATGCCAGAGATCAATGGCACTGGCAGAGCCCTGAAAGAGCAATCCTCACAGATTAACAACGCCATCCCTCTCCCCCGACCCACAGTCTGCGATTGGTGAAGGACGGAGAAACCCGGGGCTGCCATCTCATGCAAGGCAACTATTTCACCTTCGTGAACTCAGGTCAACCCCCTGCGAGGGGGGAATGTCTCGCAGGGTGGCGGTTTTGTTGCCTATAGACCTGGCATTGCACAGCACCAATGACGGAGGTAGGTAATCCCTGCTTGCCCTACCTTCGTCCCTCGGGATGGGGTGCAGATTGGAAGGGGTTCGAGCATCTTTGTATCTCAAACCCCTTTGCCTACAATATCTGCCCTCACCGCCATACCTCCCTCGCCCCTCAACGGTGGTGATCCCAAGCCCCATGCCAGTCTCCCTTGTAATGGAATATCTATTTAATGGTATATCATCCCTGGTCCAGGTCTCCTGAATCAAAAGAGTGTAGTGTTGAGATAAAAAGTCAGTGAAGCAATTATCCCTGATGGATGCATCTCATCCAGCTACTGTACATTCCAGGTTGGTGTTATGCTGGCCTGTTAGCTGTCAGTCCCTCTTTCCCTCATGAGATGGTTCTGTGCCTTTGGAAGAATTAGAGAGGCATGTGCTGCAAAGTGAGGACTGTTGGCTAGCAAAGAGCCAGCTTCCCGATCAGGGACCTCCTTTGTCCTGTTCTGCCAGAGATGTAATGGGGACAGCTGGTCCTCCTGTGTAAGTGTAAATATCTAGGCACCAGTTGAGTCGTAAGTGTTGGAGGGATTGGGCAAAAGTCTGTGTGAGGCCTGAGTACTATTGTGAGATTTCAACTGTCTGTTGGTGACATGAGGTTCCTTGAAGGTTATTAGCATGGGAATGTCAGAGCTATCAAACTCCCCCTCTTCATCACTATCACTTGGGAAGCGATCGCACAGATGCACATGTGGCCTTCTTTGGGATGGAGAGCTGTTATGTATATTTGAATGTTTTGATTCCAGCTCCAGTGTCCTTTTGTTTTGAGTCGAGATCTCAGACCTTATGCTTACTGATATTCTCTTGAATTCTTATACAGTGGTACCTCGGGTTAAGTACTTAATTCATTCCGGAGGTGTGTTCTTAACCTGAAACTGTTCTCAACCTGAAGCACCACTTTAGCTAATGGGGCCTCCTGCTGCCGCTGAACCGCCGGAGCACGATTTCTGTTCTCATCCTGAAGCAAAGTTCTTAACCCAAGGTACTATTTCTGGGTTAGCGGAGTCTGTAACCAGAAGCGTATGTAACCCAAGGTACCACTGTAGTTCTAAACTCAAGGTTTTATCCTGCCCCTTCATGCAACTGACGTTTCTGTTGATTAATTTAGTTTCATTTTTGAAAATTGCCTTGGATTCCCTGCCAGAGATCAGCTGTCTCACTGTTTCATCCTTGAAGACCCTTATTGGGTAAAGGAAGTGAGTCCACCATAAGATGTTTTTTATCTGCACAAGTCGGGACAGGAGGGCAGGCTTACCGAAAGTCATAAGTAAGCGTTTGGTATTTCTTATGCTGGGCAGAAAATGGAAATTTTCCAGATCTACTTTTTGGTAGTGGCAGTTCAAAAGCCGAGATAAGGGCGCCATAACTGACCTGTAATTCGTCCATCTGTGCAAATTGTGGTGGATCATGAGCACTGCCTCATTCTTTTGAAGGACTTGGCAAGACCTTGTTACCTCTGGGACTCGGGTTGGTGAAACACTGACACAACTGTGCCTTGTCCTCCTTTTAACCCTTTGAGAGTTTGTGGAGGAGGAGCACATGTCCAAATTTTCCTCTGTATTGGCTATTTTAATCAGACCATAGTTTCTGCAGACATCATGCGAATTTCTTGGTAAGGGTGCATGTCTGGAATCTGCTGAATATAAGCTCCTCTACTGTCTTGTTCTAATGAGAAGGGTGGGTCAGTGTTTGGGATAGGGGGAACCCCTCTTGTTCCTGTCCTCTGTGGCAGATCATCTCCTTCCCACCCTGAAAGGGAGGGGGTTCCCATGGCTTCATTACTGTTATGTACTGAGTTGAATAGGATCCAAAAAGCAGCAGTCTGATTGGTCCTAGAACAATAGGATTCAGAATGCAGCAGTCTGATTGGTCCTAGAACAATAGGATTCAGAATGCAGCAGTCTGATTGGTCCTAGAACAATAGGATTCAGAATGCAGCAGTCTGATCGGTCCTAGAACAATAGGGTCCAGAATGCAGCAGTCTGATTGGTCCTAGAACAATGCAGCAGTATGATTGGTCCACAGGAACCCCCAAATCCAGCTCCAGGTGGAAGTGAATCCGCAACCTGATTGGCCTACAGGAGAATCCCAGAATTAGCCAATCACGTGCGACCCATTGTGTAAATAATGTATATAAAGCAGATATTTTGGGGAAACTTTCATTCCTCACTACTATGAGCTGAATAAAGAGCATGAAATCCACACTCGACTCCGAGTATATTTCAATTACTTACGATTTGTTCGGTTTCCTGGCTGGGGATGGCGGTGTCGGTTTTCAACTGCTTCTCTGCTTTAGAGGATTTGTGAGTCCCAGTTATGCTGTTTGGGCTCTTCCTGCCTCGTTTTTTCCTTCCAGCAGTCATTCCGATAAAGTCTGCAGAGTTCCATCAAGCCAGAACCAAATCTTTGCAACAACATGTTAGTCCAAAGTTTTAGCCAGAAACGAAATTGCAAGTCAGTCACAGTGGCTGCAATCGGGCTTCAACGGGCGTCTAATTGTTGCGGTAAATCAAGTTGAGTAATAATAAAACAGTAAACTAAACAAGGATAGGCGATGAGGTAATAAGGCAACCAATAAAACAGGACCACCTGTTTAGGCTGTTGACATTTGGGATGAACACAGGTGTATGTGGGGCTGAGGGGGTGGGAGGCGAGAGACTTGCAACTGAATGTACTCTCACTCTTTGTGAGATCAAGCAATTTGTTCATTTTTAAATCGCACAACATTAATGCAGGTTAATTTTGTACGGACAGCCAAGTTGACCCACGGAATCCTCTCTTCCAGGACGATGATCAGAGATAGCAAGGAGATGGCTCCTCTCATGGGCAGCAAGAAAGCAAATCCGCCGGGGACCCCGCCGACAGCTCCCCAAGAGAAGAAAAGGTAAGGAGCAGCATCAGGCAAACTGCTGCAAAGACAGCTAATGGGCATCTTTGATATTTGTGTTGTTTGAGATTTTCAGAAACATAATGGGCATCTGTTTGGCCCCTGTGAGAACAGGATGCTGGACTAGATGGGCCACTGGCCTGATCCAGCAGGCTGCTCTTATGAAAAAGGCAAGTCACGCTCTCTTCTCAAGCAGCAGGTCGCCTTTGTAAATTTGCACCCAAGCTTGCGCAGATCTAGGCTCCATCACTAGGAACAGAACTTCCCAAACTTTTCATGTTGGTGACACACTCTATAGACCTGCGTCATTTCGTGACACAGTAATTCAGTTTTACTAGCAAACCGGAGGTTGAACTAACCCCCTTCCAGCCCTGGGAGGAGCGTGGGGAGCATTCACACCTCCACACAGCAGCCGACACACTAACGTGTCGCAACACACAGTTTGGAAAGCTCTGATTGGAAATCTCACAAGATGAATTGGCAACGCATTTCCAAGGACCGGTGTAATTTTTAGAGTTGAAGTTACACAACCTTATAGTCCCCTTGGGGGACTCTTGCTATATCACACCCCATTCCATGCCCCTTCTTCCCCTAGCCACACCCCACACCCTCCTCTAGCGATTTTGACTAGCTGAAAATGTGTCCTTGAATTCTGATAATGCCTCTCGCCTGCTTGGGTGGAGGGGTGTGTGTGTGTGTGTGTGTGTGTGTGTAAATGTGAGACTAGGGCTGTGAGGGCCCAGGTTTAAATCCATACTCAGCCCCAAAGCTCACTGAGTGATGGGACAAAATTTTTAATTCAGCTTAACCTACCTCACAGGGATGTTGTGAGGTTAAAGGGCGTGAAGCATCACAAATTCCTTGGAGGAAGGGTTATGGTATTAATGCAGTCAACAGGAATGCTTTAAACTCTGCCATCTGCCATGGATGCTTTAGTTGACATTCCTACATTGCGTTAGATTAGATGACTCTTGGCATCCCTGACAACGCTATGATTCTGTGAAAATATACGGTGCTGCCATTTTGGGTGGGAGCGTGGTGCTGAGTCCTTTCCTCTCTCCCGCCCCCCACAGCAAATGGGACACTGACACCCCCTGCTTGTTCCCCTGCTCCTGCTTCTGGAGGGGGAAGGTGCACATTTCTCATGTAATGATGTCAGGATACAGGGTATGTTGAATATGGCAGTGTTCTTCAGTCCCCAGATGTTGCTGGACTACAACTCCCATCACCCCTGACCACCGGCTAAGCTGGTTGGGGACGATGGGAGCTGTGGTCCAAACAACATCTGAGTCGGCCCCCACAACCACCAAACTGAAGAACGCTGAAATATAGTATGGATTTTGGATGAGCTGGACACACGGCTACCGTTTCAAGCGGCAAATCCATGGGTGGCGATGGCTTTCAACATGTGCAAAGTTCCACTTTCAGAAGCAAAGGCCTAAGAGACCCACTGGTGGAGGGCGGTGGTGATGGGTATATAAACGAGCTGAACCATGGCAGAGAGACCTCTTGTAGTTAGGGTTTCTACAACACACTCACCTCAAAGGCCGTGTTTTTTCAGCGGAAACAGTTCCACGCGCTCAGAGGTGACACGCCAGACACTGAGGAACCCCACGAAGCCTGCAGAGGGACAAGGCAGCCCTCGAAAGTTGACCAACCCAGTAGCTGCATGGTAAATGTTCCATTTATTTATCACACGTGTACACTCCACCTGTCCTCTGAGGTGCACACATGGAGTTTCTTTTTCAGCACACCCCAGTTATCGTCACAACAATCTAGTGAGGTAGGCTAGGTCAAGAGAGAGAGGGAGGGAGGGAGGGAGGGAAGGAGAGACTGGACCGTGGTCACTCAGGCCACATTCATGCCAGTTTAAACCATCACAGCTTCCCCCGAAGAGCTGTTGTTATCAGTGCTATTTTTCTAGAAAAAGAGGTGCCCAAACTCATCATGAGAGCTTGTTCTCTTATCATGGCAATGGCGTTCACCTGAGAAGTGTCAGAACTGAGTTCCGGCTGGAAAAAAAGCCCTGGTTTTTTATGAGACCTCCCAAATCCCATAATTCTCTCTGAAGACGGATTGAGAGTTAAACCGAGCTGGGATTGGTAGCTCTGTGAAGGGAAAGGGGTTTTTCATAACAACTCTCAACACTCTCTCAGCTCCCAAAATCATTTGGGGGAAGCTTTTAAATCTACAGTATGGTGGCAAGGTGGTCCCTGCATCTCCAACACAGTCTATGATGCCACATAAGATCTCTGTAGCCATGATGGTTCTGTGATTCAAGAGGGCCATCTGCACATGCTCAGAATATTCTCCTTTTTAAAAACCAGGTTTAACCAACTGTGGTTTTTTTGTCATTGTTTTCTGCGATATATCAGGAATGCAGAAGCAGTTGTAAAGAAAGGAATAGCAGCTGAAGTAGGGGAGGGGAGGTAGACAAATGCGATTTGTGTGGTTCATAACTGAAGTTGTACACATGACAGCACAAAGCATGAGGGTGTAAGATGGGTGTAACTCCAGGGTCTAAAATTACCTAGCTGCACCATTTGGTAGAGCACATGGCTTTCCATGCAAAACGTTGGAAGTTCAATCCCTGGCATTGCCAGTTAAAAAGGGATCTGGTGGCAGGTGATGAAAGAAACCCAATTTCTGCCTGACACCCTGGAAAGCAGCTGCCAGTCAGAGCAGGTGATAATGGGCTAGATGCAGAAATTGCTTGACCTAAAGCGACACACAACTGAAGGCTGCTTCCTGTGTTCCTGACATCCTTTGCTCTCTTCAGTTCTCAATCTTCCTTCCTTCCTTCCTTCTTCCTCCCTTTCTGGTTTAATTAAATTTGTATATAACTTCCCATTAAAAGGTTCCATAGTGATTTACAAGCCACAAAAAATAGTTTTCACATGTTCAATTTTAAACAGATTTAATGTGTTTAAACAATCTGTTTAACAAGATTTATTTCATTCCATTTATGAACTGCTACATCTCTACCCCACCTTGTCCTCCAAGGAGCTCTGGCTTACATGGTCCTCCCCCTTCTTGTTTAATCCCCACAACAGCCCTGCGAAGTAAGTTCGGCAGAGATGCAGTGAGTGGCTCAAGGTCACCCAGTGAGCTTCATGGCTGAGTGGGCATTTAGACCCTGGTCTCCCAGGTCCTCGACGGACACCCTAGACACCACACCACAATAAGTAATATCATTGGCACTGCCTGAACACCCAAGAAAACGAAACAAGTGTTTGGCTAGCATTGAAACAATGATGGTGTTGGTGCCAGGTGGGCCTTCCGATGAAGAGCATTCCACAATCCATTCTATTTAAATCCTGTTTAAAATTGAGACTGATGACAAGATCCGGGAAACTCACATGCCCGCTCATGGCTCTGTTGATGTTGTAACTCGTCTTGAAATACGTCGAACAGACAAGATAAATGCTCGTCACCTCACTTCTAATCAACCACTCATATCCAGCTGTTAGGTTTAAGCCTCCCGCACCAGCCCAAGAAGGCGGGTGTAGCCAATACACTTTCCTGTCTTCCTGGTGAAAACGGGGTGCGGCCCAAAACATTCCTATGGTGTAAGCAACAGGGACCACGTGAGCAGATTTAATTGCAAGGAATGCTCCTCTGTGCTCCATTTAATTACATGTCTCACTGCTTCTTCTGCTGTTGTCCATCAGGCACCGATGGGAGGGTTTCTAAATCCGGAGTTTTGCAGCGCTCTTGAAGTGGGATGTTTTTATTCAATTCGACCCAATTTGAAGGTTCTGGGATTGCTTGCGGATTGGAATGATCAGGTGGCTTTAAAAGAGGATTAGACAAATTCACGGAGGATAGGTCATCAATGGCTACCAGCCACAATGGCTGCCTCAATGGTCAAAGGCATCTGAATAGAAGCTGCTGGGAATTGCAGGCAGGGAGAGTGGCTGTTTTGTTCAGGTGCCGTGTGTGGGCTTCCCATTGGGGGCATCAGGCCGGCAACTGTGAGAACAGGATGCTGGACTGAGTGGCCTCTCTTTGCTCTGGTCCAGCACAGCCGGGCTCTTCTAAGGTTTCAGTGCCTGGATAGCTCAGTTAGTTAGAGCATGGTGCTGTTAACAGGTTCGATCCCCATACGAGACAGCTGCATATTCTTGCAATGCAGGGGTTGCACTAGATCAGGCATCCCCAAACTCGGCCCTCCAGCTGTTGTTGGACTACAACTCTCATCATCCCTAGCTAACAGGACCAGTGATCAGGGATGATGGGAACTGTAGTCCCAAAACAGCTGGAGGGCCGAGTTTGGGGATGCCTGCACTAGATGATAACTCTACAATTCTATGATTCTCATTCCTCTTTTTTGATGTTGTCTCTCTCGTACCCCTTTACCTGAAAGTACAGGTGGGTTGACTTAGCAAGCCCATTTTTGAACAGGGAAGAATAGCAACACACCCAGGAGCAGTGGGATGTGCCATCAAAGGGTGAGAAGGCTGTGATTCGTGGCTGGGTACCTATGGATAATGCCTCAGTCGTTCCCAGAAGGATCTTCAGTCATTCATTTCCCACTTCCTTGTATAACTAGTATCAGAGTCAGCCTGCACACAGGCGATTCAGCTTTCTCTGGCTGTGCATGTAAGAAGCTGGCATTATGCCTGAGCCGAACTATCTGCCACCTAGCTCAGTGTTGTGTATGCCAGGGTAGCGAGGCTGTGGCCTTCCAGGTGTTGCCAGACAACAGTTCTCATAATCCCTGTCCACTGGGCATGCTGGCTGCTGGGAGTTGGAGTCCTACAACATCTGGAGGGCCACCAGTTTCTTTACACTGACTGGCAGTAGCAGCTGTCCAGGAATTTCAGGTAGGGAGTTTTTCCCATCGGGAACTGAACCTGCCGCTTCCTGCATGCAAAGCAGATGCTCAGCTGCTAAGTTATGGTGCGTCATGTGTGCTTTCAAAATTAATCGTTGCTAGAGAGCGCTCAGTTGGTAGAGCCTGAGACTCTTAATCTCAGGGTCGTGGGTTTGAGCCTGTTGCTGGGCAAAAGATTTCTGCGTTGCAGCGGGTTAGACTAGATGACCCTCGTGGTCCCTTCAAACTCTACAACTGTATGATATCTGCAGCATTTTGGATCCTTTTCTGTACTTCTCCACATTTACAAGTAGCTGATTTAACTGCAAGAGTGATGGGCCAGAACCAGGGTGGGCAGGCTGTCCTCTGCTTGGCTCGCTTGAATTAAGTGGGATCCAGTGCCCTATATATTTTGTGGCATCTGCAGAGCCCCCTAAAACAGCTTTAAAAACTCTTCTTCAATCATTCAAACACTGCGGAAGACTTTTTGTGATTAGCTCCTCCTCCATGCTCACCAGGCCACGCCCCCACACCTGAGGAGTTCCACGCTGTGTTGTCAATCACAGCTAAGCTCAGACCTCTGCCCAATCAGATACCCTTCCATGCTCTAAGCAGGCTCCACCCTTTCATATGAAGCACTGCTCTTTGAGCTTCCAAGCTCCATCCTCTGACTCTCAGGATAAAGCCTTAAGGTGACCTGGCCTCCCCACCCTCACCTGTCAAACTCAGCAGGTCTTGAGCTAGTTATTTGCTCAGGGTATTCATTTGCATAGTGCAATCAAAAGGCATTTCATTTGACAGAGTAACACATGCAGTTACAACAGCTGCAACAACAAAAACATCCCTGCCCTCAAGAGCCTACGGTCTAAATTTTGACAGTATACAACTGTATATATATTCTGTGATTACACACACACACACACACACACACACACACACACACACACAGTGCTTGCTTTGGTTGTGATGGAACTCATCAGGTTGGAGTATAGTCACCTCTTTTTTTGGCTGACAAAAGCAGCCATTATGTGCTTGCATCCAAGGCACTTTTATGAAGATATGTGCAGTGGTATCTCATTTTTTTAGGACACACACACACACACACACACACAGGGGGTGAAATTCAATTCAAGATGCATTTAAAGCTGGCCTTGTTGAATTCTCACTTTCCAAAACAATAAGCAAACTGAATCACAGCTGTCCTTTGCAATTTCTCACTTTCCTTCCCAAACTAGGCTATTTTTGCCACCTTGAGGACTAGAAACTTACCCTTTCTTGTTTTTCTATTCAACCCCCAACTCTGGCTCCATACTAGCCTATCTTTGCCACCTTACTGACTAGGAACTTGAGGATACTGAGTCCAGTGGTAAACTTTACACACTGATGCAGGGCTTGAACAGAAGTAAACAACACTCAGGGCTGTTATCCTCATCCTGCTCCCAAGAATCACTGTGCACAATGCACTGACATTTCTGCTTTCAATGGCTGCTATTGCCATTGCTTTTAAACTGATCTTAGCAAAATGTAAACAGCTTGTTCCACCCCACCTTGCCTCTCGGGGCTTTCCAAAAGCCGCTGTGCTACTGTTTTCTGGCAGGAGACTGATGTTCCCTCGGCTTTCTCTCTCTCTCCTCCCCATCCCATCCCTCTGTTCTATAAACACCCACATTTTTGTGTGTGTTGTGTTTTGCTGTGTAAGCCCAGAGAAATGTGTCACACGCTGGCTTTGGAATCTGCCCACAGAGGCCCAGAGCGTGGGAATGTGGGGTGTGAGCTTCTCACCCTTGGAGACAAGGCACTAAATTCAGAGCAAAGGGGGAGAAAGGGCTTCACCAGTTTGACCTGGAGGCAGTTCTCAGTTGACTTACTCCAAAAGCCATACGGCTGATGGATTTGTTCCATTTATAGGTGGCATTTTCATCTCACCGTTTTACAAATGTTTAATCTTTGTTGTTGCATTTATTCCTGATGTTGTTAGCCGTCTTGGGCTATTTTTAGGAAGGTAGGGCAGGCACAGCCCTCCTAAATATATACCATATTTTTCGCTCTATAAGACGCACCAGACCACAAGACGCACCTAGTTTTTGGAGGAAGAAAACAAGAAAAAAAATATTCTGAATCTCAGAAGCCAGAACAGCAAGAGAGATCACTGCGCAGTGAAAGCAGCGATCCCTCTTGCTGTTCTGGCTTCTGGGATAGCTGCACAGCCTGCATTTGCTCCATAAGACGCACACACATTTCCCCTTACTTTTTAGGAGGGAAAAAGTGAGTCTTATAGAGCAAAAAATACGGTACATTTCTACCCCATCTTTCCTTTAAGTCGCTCAAAGCAGCACATATGCTGTGTGCTCCTCCTTTTTATTCCCACAACAACCCTGTGAGGTAGGCTAGACTGGAAATTATGAGCATGGAACAGATATGCTACCTTGGCTCATAAGATAGCCAGGTGCTGTCTTGCCCTGTTAAATTTATTAATTTTATTTTTAAAACAACCTTCAATGTTAATTTATTGCCCCGCCTTTCCTCCAAGGAGCACAAGATGGTTGTTTCTCCTCCCCATTTCCCTATTCTGTCCCCACAACAACCCTGCAAGCAGTTTAAGCTGAGAGTCAATGAACTGCCCCAAAGCCACCAATGAGCTCCCTGGCTGAGTAGGGATTTGAATCCATCACCCTAACCACCATACCACACCTGTACTGCTCCGGCGGGAAGGTAAACGGCGTTTCCATGCGCTGCTCTGGTTCACCAGAAGCGGCTTACTCATGCGGCCACATGACCTGGAAGCTGTACGCCGGCTCCCTCGGCCAGTAAAGCGAGATGAGCGTCGCAACCCCAGAGTCTGGACCTAATGGTCAGGGGTCCCTTTACCTTTACCTTTAACCACCCCAAAAAACTTCCTCAACCTCTAATGACAGCTGAAACACTGGGCTTGTGGCCTGTTTGTACTACCTGCTTCTTGCAGATATGCAGGTGAAGTGGATGGGTTGCAAGCAGGCACATTCCACAGCCACACATGTTTCTAGTCCCCAGTGTTCCTTCTTGCCAGCTAGCTCCAGGGGGTGGTGGGTGGGGAATCAAACTTGTTTCTCTTTTGCTGGCTAGACTCAAAACCTGACTCTGTTTTTCCCCCTCCTCTTTTGGAACACCCCCTCTCTCAGGCAGATCACTGGTCTCATCCCCCTCTTTGGCTGGTAGGTATGACCCACATTCCAAACTGACCTCCTTAACAATTATTGCTAGCATTTGTTTATTCAGTTATTGTATTCTCTCATAAACGCACAAATCCTTTGGCTTCTCTGAAAGATACCTATGTGGATTTTTAAATTTTATTTTTGGTCAAGCACGGATTCAATCAGTGGTGCTGTTATGTAATTTTACAGTATAATCCTGGGGGCTGGGAGTGGGGAGACCTATTTAGAAGGTATTGCCAGCCCTGGTATGCTTGGGGGTCATCCATTAAACCCATCCATTAAAAATGCCAGCCCTGGTATGCTTGGGGGTCCTATTGCTGAGTGGGGCCACTGACATCTGCCTGATAGCCCTACCTGATTTTTTATTTAGGTGGAAGTGACAACATAAAGGGTTGAAAAGCGGGTGCTTAAATTTGCAACAAGCTCTCTGATTCAGGGTGGAAAACCCTTTTTAAGACCAAGGGCCGCATTGCCTGCTAGCCAACCTTCCGAGGGCCACTTGCCTGTGGTGGGCGTAGCCAGAGACAAAACTTGGTGGAGCAACAGGTGCATTTTTCACCTTTATGTAGTAGGTTAGTTTCTACCCACACGGAAACGCCCCACACTCTATCCTTCATCCAGACAAGCAAGAGGCATTATCAGAATTCAAGGACACATTTCCAGCTGGGCAAAAAACATTCAAGGAAGGTGTGAAGCAGGGCCAAAGGTCCATCTAGTGCATCAGTCTGATTGGTCAACCAGTGGCCAATCAGATGCCTCCAAGAAGACACCAAGGAGGGTACAAAGCCAACAGCCCTCCCCATGTTGTTGTCCTCAGGATTTCATAATTAGAGGTAGACTGCCCCTGTGTGTGGAGGTCCCACATATATCTGCCATGCACCAGTGCAAAGCTTTTTTTTCATTGCCCCTCTGGAAAATGAAACACATATGGACAGGGGGGTGGCTGCTAGGCCTGTCGCTCTCTGTTTTTGCCCTCCTACTAATAATAGCTTCGATCCAATGTATTCAGCAGTTCCCACTTTTTTCTCGAGATTGAAGCCTTCGACACCAATGTCACACCAAGCCGGACGTCACCTCCCGTCTTCTCAAAGCCGATGGACTCCAATATCCGCCCGTGGTACGTACCAGATAAGGCGCTTGTTTCCCTCACGTTGCCTGGAAAAGGCACCGTCGGGCTTCCGCAATGCTGCTCACCAGGGCGAATGCAAGATAGCCCCCTGGCAAGCATCACAAGCAAAAAGCCTTCTTCCCAGCTTCCCAGCCTTGTCACCCTTAGGGAAGAGAGGTAGGGTGGGGTAGGGGTGGGGAGGTTTGCTTGAGCTGTTGCTCTGAGGCTCAGCAGCAGGCCCACCTATCATCTACTCCACCATCCTAAGTGCCACTTTGACAGGTGGGCAGGACTGCCCACATGTCAGTCACATGACTTGCTGCCACAGGAGGCAGGAATGGCCATCCGTTTTGCCCCGTATAAACATTTTTGTTATGGCACTCCTTGTCTGAAGGCTACAAATTAAGTCTTAGTCGCCAATTATATTCATTCTAGATGCTTTTGTTTCCTGATTTTCCTGTGTAATTGCAGCTGATATTCTTCTGACCTTAATTTTTTTTTCTTCCCACACCCTCTTTTTTTGCGTCCAGTGCATCTGCAAATTGCGAAGATATGGACTCCCCACAGTCCCTCCAAGATGACATGACTGAATACACCCCAAATGCAGACAGCTATTGGTGAGTGAACACACGTGATGCATTTCTGCACAGGGGTTTTCTATAGATTCAGTGCTGACACGGGTTAGATTTACTGAGATCTTCCTCTCCTTCCCACTGGTGTGGTCTAAAAACCAAAGCCACCAGGCTAGATATCGATTTGGATGTGCCTTTAGGAATGATTGCCAATCAAATAAATTTTGTAGATGTTCTTAAACACATTTAGATGCTTTTAACTGTTCTCAAGTGCTTAGTATTTATATTTATCTTACTTTTAATTGTATTGTTTTACCACTTTGGTGTTTGCTGCCCTGGGCAACTCTGGAAGGGCAAGATGGAAATAAAATCACCATCATCAAAAACAAAATGTATAGCAAACAACTTAATAGAGAACAGGAACCAGATGAGGTCTGATGCAGACTTATCATTTAACCCTGGTTCACATCCTAAACCCAGGTTCTTGCTGAAGCTTGCTCAGCTAAGTCCTTAATGCTATATACATATACAGTAGCTGGACAAATAGGAAATGGTTTTAAACTTACCAAGCTACAAGCAAAGCCCTTTACCCAAACGTAGTGTGCATCCAAGTATCTAGAGCATCTTGCACAAATTATCTTATCAGCGCTACAAGGTGGAACAGTATTATTATCTCATGTTGCAAATACAGGGCAGGCTTACCGTAAGAGAATTTGCAGCTGAAGAGAGATTTGAAATTCCCGGCTGATCTGCAACCATTTCTCTGCTTCCATGTCAACATTCTTCTGCTTTTAATCCAGCACTAATTCATCTCAAAGCGCTCGGCAAAACAACCGTCGGAAAAAGTTGAAGAAGTATCTGTTTCGGGCAGTGTCAGAGGGCAATATAGAAGAACTCCAGCACCTCCTTGCCGAAGTGAAGGATCGGTCCCATGCCTGCAGAAACCTGACAGTCCAAGGTATTCAGAAATTAAATTAAAATTATACCCAGCCCTTCTTCCCAAAGGAGCCCAGAGTGCCAAACATATCAATAATAAGATGCACTTAAAATGTCTAAAAACAGTTTTGAAAAACAAACTTCTAAAAACAGTTAAAGGCTTCTAAAAACCAAGACCTACTCTCACAGCTAATAATTTATGGGTTGCTAGGAATAGTGTCTTTTGGCTATCGAATGGCTGGTGGCAGGGAAGGCCACCATATTGAATGGCTCTAAAAGTGAATTAGACAAATTCATGGAGAAGTCTGTCAATGGCTATTAGCCGCAATTGTTATGCTGTGCGTCTATGGTCAGAGGCAGTACAGTGGTACCTCGGGTTACATACGCTTCAGGTTACAGACTCCGCTAACCCAGAAATATTACCTCGGGTTAAGAACTTTGCTTCAGGATGAGAACAGAAATCGTGCAGCAGCGGTGCAGCGGCAGCAGCAGGAGGCCCCATTAGCTAAAGTGGTGCTTCAGGTTAAGAACAGTTTCAGGTTAAGAACAGACCTCCAGAACGAATTAAGTTCTTAACCCAAGGTACCACTGTAATGCTTTTGAATGCCAGTTGCTGGAAAACCACAGGAGGGGAGAGTGCCCTCATGCTCGAATCCTGCTTGTGAGTTTCCTCACAGGCATGCAGGTGGCCACAGTGAGAACAGGATGTTGGACTAGGTGATCCTGCTTTCGTTCTTCTGTTTTAGATTCTCCCTAAAAGATAATAAGGAAGGAGACAGACACACCTCACTAGGAAGGGTGTTCCACAAATGGGGAGCCACCACCAGGAAAGCCCTGTCAAGGGTCACTGCCAACTGGGCACCCCCACCCAGTGGTGGTAGTTTAAAGGATGGTAGATTTTGCTCATACATTAGAGAAAACGTCTTAATGGCAAGAGCAGTTAATTAATAGAACCAGTTACCTAGAGAAGCAGTGCACTTTCCCTTGGTAGGGCTCTTGAAACTGAAGATGGGTAGCCATCTAGTGGAAATCCTTTGGATTTCCTGAACTTAGCAAGAAACCTATAATGGCCTCCCTCCAATGCTAGGATTTTATGTAAGCACTTGCTTTAATTACTACTACTACTACTACTACTACTACTATTATTATTATTATTATTATTTTGCCAGACTATCTGATGAAAAAAATGACCTCTTCTGACACAGGCAAGACCTGCCTAATGAAAGCCTTGCTAAACATCAACGAGAACACAAAGGAAATTGTGAAAATACTTCTCTCATTTGCAGAAGAAAACCTGATCTTAGAAAGACTCATCAATGCTGCATACACAGAAGAGGCCTATAGAGGTACAGTATTTGTGCTTTGCGTTCAAACCTGAAAGAATATTGTGATGAGTATCCTAGAACTTATTCCCCTATGACGTACTTGCTCCCCTCATCACACCATAACTTTGGACTATAACATACAATGCAACTGAATGTTGGAAGATTCAGGGCGGACCGTAGAATTGGCTCCTGGAAGAGACAGCGATGGCCACCAACCTGGGGGACTTTAAAAGAGGATTAGACAAGTTCATGGAGGACAGGGCTAGCAATGGCTACTAGCCAGGATGGCTATGTCCTGCCTCCACCATTGGAGACAGTATTGCCTCTGAATATCAGCTCTAAATCGGGACGCGGGTGGTGCTGTGGGTTAAACCACAGAGCCTAGGACTTGTTGATCAGAAGGTCGGCGGTTCGAATCCCCACGACGGGGTGAGCTCCCGTTGCTCGGTCCCTGCTCCTGCCAACCTAGCAGTTCGAAAGCACGTCAAAGTGCAAGTAGATAAATAGGTACCACTCTGGAGGGAAGGTAAACGGCGTTTCCGTGCGCTGCTCTGGTTCGCTAGAAGCGGCTTAGTCATGCTGGCCACATGACCTGGAAGCTGTACACCGGCTCCCTCGGCCAATAAAGTGAGATGAGCACCGCAACCCGAGTCGGCCACGACTGGACCTAATGGTCAGGGGTCCCTTTACCTTTATCAGCTCTAAATCTCCCCTAAGTGGGGACACCCTAATTTCAGGCTCTCCACAGGCATCTAGTTGGACACTGTGAAAACAGGATGCTGGGGTAGATTGGGTTTCTGATGTGTACCAGCCAACACTTCTGGATCCTTATGTTCTAATGCATACTGTTAAGTGATGGGAGAAGGGAATGGATCAGGTTTATAAATACTCAAAAAGATGTTTCCAATCTGCAAAGCAGGTGCAAATGCCGTTTTAGCAGAAACAAGACTAAATATCAGTGGGTAGGATGCTAGGGTGACAAATTATGGAATTGCAGAATGAGATTCACAGAATTGTAAGTTGGAAGGGGCCCAAAGGATCACCTAGTCCAGGGGTAGTCAACCTTTTTATACCTACCGCTCACTAATGCATCTTTCTTGGTGGTAAAATTTCCTTACCACCCACCAGTGCTCAATGGGAGGAGGATTCAGCTTGTGCCTTAGAACCCCCTACCGCCCACCTAGAATCCTGAAAGGCTCACTAGTGGGCGGTAGGGATCAGGTTGACAACCCCTGATCTAGTCCAAGCTCCTGCAATGCCCATAGCTACCCCTGGGTGGGCTTGAACCACCAACCTTCTGGTTCGCAACCAGACACCCTGGCCCATTGCACTACCTGAGGTACATGTGTTTCTTTGTTCTGCAGGACAGACAGCTTTAAACATTGCCATTGAGAGACGGCAATATGACATTACTCAGACCCTGATCGAGAAAGGAGCAGATGTGAACGCCCATGCACAAGGCATCTTCTTCAATCCTAAACACAAGCACGAAGGTTTTTATTTTGGTAAGCGAATGCAGGAGGCCAGCTGATGCAATGATGCCATGGGAACAGGGGTGGATGAATCTGTTTTCGTTTTCTCTCAATTTACCAGTTTCCCAATCTTTAGTTCGTTTCTCGACATTTCTCCTAAATAATTGCAAATTTTGAAAAGTCCTCGGGAAAATTCATCCGCACCTTTAGTGCAAATTTCTCCTAAGATACACAAACTAGTGTGCAGTTTTGCCTGGTATCCACATGTTTTGATGTTTGCATCAGGAGGACCCCCCATGTCCTCTTCCCCACATACAGATGGAGAAATTTGCTTCAGCTTGCAGCCAAATGCATACCTAGCCCACCAGCACTTTTTGAAGCAATATGTGAGTTGAAGCACACCTATCCTTTGAAATTTGCAATTCTCTGAATTTTGCAATGCAGATTTCCAACCAAGCAATGTATACAAAAGCTCACATATCTTAGGGGGAAGTGTGTGTAAAAATGCAATTATTAGTAAAAACAACATAAAAACTCTGCATGAAATTGCTTGTATAAATGTGTATGTCAGGCAAAAGGCTACACATAAAAGTGTGTATATTAGGAGAAATTTGCACCGAAAGGCTACTAAATTCTCAAAATGACTTTATAAAATATGAATAAATCACAATCTGGTGTGGAAATGTGAAGCATTGGAAAAATGAGAGACTGAGAACTGCCCCTCTGAAACTGACAGATCTGTACATCCCTAATACCATTAAATTAAAAATATAAAGAGCAACAAACAACTACAATGATGCATTATTTCCTCAGGAGAGACACCCCTGGCGTTAGCTGCCTGCACAAACCAGCCAGACATTGTCGAGCTATTAATGAACAACAGCAAGACAGACATCACTTCCCAAGATTCGAGGGGGAACAATATACTCCATGCCTTGGTGACAGTCGCAGAAGACTTTAAGACGCAAAATGACTTTGTGAGGAAGATGTACGACGCCATCCTCTTGAAAAGCAAAAACCGGGATTTGGAGACGATGAAGAATAAGGACGGTTTGACGCCTCTGCAGCTAGCTGCGAAAACTGGGAAGCTGGAGGTAAGCCTGACTTGGGAAGCAAAGGAGGAAAAAGAAGGAGACCCTGGCAGGTGGTATCTTATGAAATGCTGGAAATACGTGGATGTTTTTTGGGTAGACCAGGAAAACCTGTGGTCCTCCAGATGGTTTTGGATTCCATTAGCAACTGCAGGCATGGCCAGTGGTCAGGAATGATGGAGTCCAGCAACATCTGGAGGTCCAGTGGTCAGGAACCTCAGGCCCAGGACCCAAATATGGCCCACTGTCTGGCCCTCATAACCCTTTCCAGGCCACACCATTACCAGCGCTGCTCCACACCCTCCATGAATGCTTTTGTCTGGCTGGAACATGTCCCTAAACTGCAATAAAGTCTCTTGCTTGCTTGCAAACAGGATGAGGAGATATGTGGTGTGTGTTTTCTGGTGTGTGTGTGTGTCTTGTATGACTGGAATGTAGCGCATCTATTTTGTTGCCTCTCGTTCCTGCCTTCTACTGGCATGCGGCCCTCAGAAGGTTGCCTGCAACACATTGTGGCCCTCAGGCTGCTGTAGATTCTGCAGCCATTTTGGACTTCACTGGGTAGGAGCAACAGGAAGAGAGCCAAGTTTAGTTTTCATTTGGTTGCAACAACAGAGGGAGGTGGTACAGCAATATGCTAGTTATGCAATGTCTGTGGGAGCTTAGCAGCCACTGCCAGACTTAATGAATGCGGTAACAGCACAGTATGCAAGATTAGATCTGAGCCAGATCTCATAACTTAGTCCCATCAGATGTTCCCCAACAAATGGTAGACTGCCTCTGAATGTGGAGGTATCACATAGCCATCTGGACTAATAGTTGATTATGATTTATTTTTTATTTTTTATTAGTCAGTGGGAGACTTTTAACTTCCTCACATATCTCCGTTTTGGTCCATTAGATTCTGAAATACATTCTCAGCAGAGAAATCAGAGACAAGCCAAACAGAAGCCTTTCCAGGAAATTTACTGACTGGGCTTACGGACCCGTGCAGTCTTCCCTGTATGACTTGACAGAACTCGACACCACCTCGGAGAATTCCTTGCTGGATATTATTGTCTACAATACAAATATTGGGGTAAGTTCGTGCACCCTTTTTTAAAAAAAAGTGTTGCTTTAGGAATCCTACATACCAACAGTGAGTTCAGTTTTCCAAGCGTCAATCTATATTTAGCCCAAATGGCAGCATCTATGCAAAAGAGGATGGTAACATCAGACGTGGGGCAGGAAGGAGCTCCAAGCTTTGCAGAAAAACACTTTTTTTTTGGGGGGGGGGAATCCTGCAAGGAAGAGAGAAACTCAAAATTAACCCAACAACAACTGGACGTGCCCATTTGCTATGGAATCCTGAGCATCTGCTAGGGCTGTGACTGTGGCAGGGGCAAGGATAGAAAATGGAGAGTGGATGGAATGGAGTACCCCAGAATGGACACTGCTGACTGGCTGGCTGGATTCTTGCAAAGTGGGGTTGTTTGGGGGGGGTATTACATGGAACAATACAATTAAAACAAATCTCTCTGTCACACACACACACACACACACACACACACACACACACACACTTCTAACTAGAGCTCACACTTGCTTTTACTATGCCTTGAAAAGTTCTACATAAATAAAATAAAAAACAGCCTTTCCTATTCATTCACCAACATAGGTTGTTTCTAGGACACATCAGCATTAGCCATCCTCAGAGTAGACCCATTGGAACTGACGGACATGACTAATTTAGGTCGCTTAATTTTAATGGGACTACTCTGAGTGGTCCTTAGCTGGATACAGCCCACAGCATTAACCCACCATCATATATCACATTGTTAAAATTAAGCCAGTCCTTAAGGCCTGCAGACACCTGGGTTCAAATCTTCACCCGGCACACCGGTTGACCTTGGACCAGTCACAGTCTTTCAGCTTAATCTGCCTCACAAATCAGGTGTGAGAACAAAATGATGGGGAAGCGGGAAACATGTATGGCGTCTTTGAGCTCCTAGGGAGGAAAAACAACATATAAAAGAAAGGAATAGCTATAATAAAATAGGCTCCCCATTAGTTAATCAACTAAGGCATTAGTTGATTAATCTACCCATTGAACGCTTTCAGTTCTCCTGCTCCAGGCAAGGCTCTGCTGGGATTAACTGTTTGTATAACCGCAGGCTTGACATCTTCCACCGTCTGTTTCCATGCACCAAAGAGCTCATTATTTTATTCTCTATCTGGTCACGATGACCCCCCGGGGGGACTGACTCCTCTTGTCTTCTGCAGAATCGCCACGAAATGTTGGCATTGGAACCTCTGCATTCCCTGTTGCGCATGAAGTGGAAAAGGTTTGCCAGACATGTGTTCTTTGTCTCCTGCTGTTTATACTTCATCTACAATGTGTTGCTGACGTTGATCTCCTACTACAGGCCTCAAGCAGAAATGGTAAGGTGTTCCCCCCTCCAAAAAAATGCCCCACTGTTTCTCCCATTTTTCTTTGTAAACTATATAGCTGTTAAATATGCAGTGATGGTCCTCAACTTGGGTGGCTTTAAAAGAGGGTTAGATAAATTCATAGAGCAGAAAGCTATGTATCAATGGCTAGTAGCCACAATGGCAACCTTCCACCTCCATTGCTGGAGGCAGTAAATGCCTCTGAATGCATCACAAGTGGGGAGAGTTGTTCTTGTGGGCTTTGGGGCAACTGGTTGGCCACTGTGAGAGCAGGATGCTGGACTGGATTGGGTCCCCTTTGGCCTGATGTAGCAGCCAGACCCTTCCAATGTTCTGAAAGCTTTGAGTGAAGATTTCACACCTCAGCGCTATACACTTTTTATGGGCCAGCACCTGCCCTCCAATTCCTTGAAAGTTTTCTTCTTCTGCAAAAAATGCTTTTTTGTTTCTCTACCTCATTCACAGGGCACTTTAGCTTGTATTTATATTGTTGTGTGCACGGTTACTGTTGTTGCTATTTATGAATTGCCTTGTGCAGATGTCCCAAGGTGATATACAAAACATGACAAAAACAGCTAAAAAACCAACAGAACATGAATTTAAAAACTAGTAGCCACCCATGGCAGAAACGTTTCCATTCAGTGTTGAGGTTGGAACAAAAATGTTCTCAGTTGTTTCTGGAAAGTGCAGGTGTGGACTCCCGTCGTATCTCGATGGGGATGCTGTTCCGCAGAACAGGGGCAGCCAAAAAGCTCTGCTCTGAGTGATCTGTGCAGTGGGCTTCCAAGAGCTTTGAAACCTGAAGGAGAAATTCTCCTGCTGGCTGATGGTTGGGTGGCGTCATGTACGCCTCCTTCCGGCAACTCCTGCAGCCAAGCTGGTGCCCAAAGTCTTGCTCTGCTTTCCTTTGGGCCACACCAGTGAGGCTGAGAGTGTGGTCTTATTCTGTGGGCAGCCCAGGACCTCCATACACACTGCCCAGGCTTGTGCCTTGGGAAGGTCGCTTTGGTGCTAACACAGCAGTTTGACTTCACTCCCAGAGGTGTACTTCATTGTCTCTTGAGACAGACAGATGCCAACAACATAAATAAAGGGGATTAGGTTGAGCTTACTTCATCATTGTAAGGGGCAGTCATGTATGCTTTCCTTTTCATTAAGTGTTTCTCCAGCACTCTGAAACCTCCCCAGATGCCCACACTTCCTGGTCTGAAAAGGCGCCATGACCACTTTCCCTATCCTAACTTCATGACATCATATGCACCGCAACTTGTTGGAAATTTGAAAATTAGGATGTTAAATAATGGATATAGATTCAGTCCTGGGATCATCCTGAATTTTTCTCTCTCCTCTGTCTTGTTTTCAGGCTCCACCATATCCTCTGAGTTTGACTGATGACCTCAGCTGGCTCCAGCTGACAGGACAAGTGACAGTGATGCTGGGGGCCATATTTATAGCAATTAAAGAGGTGAGATTCAATTGTTGTTGTTGTTTGCTTTTTAATGTAAAATCAAAAGTACAAACAAATCAATCAAAATGATGAGATATCGGAGCAGTACAGAGATTGTATTTTCCATATATATATAAAAATAAAAGCAGCAAAACACACCATGATAGCCAAACTGCGTGGTTTGGGGGAAGAGTTTTGTACATCTGGATCTGACACTTCAGAAATTAAATCCAGTGTTAAAATATTCCAGGTCCTCTTCATCCTTAGAATTGCATAATTTGTGAGTTATTTTCTCTGCAATAGTCAGAGTCCACATTCTTGTACCACAAGAGCTCTATGTCCTGTAGTGTCTTCAATTTCTGGGCCAAATAAGTTGTTATGAAACTTTCTGTGCTCTCTCATTCAGTCCAACCCAAGACATTTTGCTGTCTGAGGCACAGCTCAAAGGGCACACTTCCTCCTTTGGGACCAACACTTTAAAAAGTCTTACTGCCCCATTCAGGCTGTGATCCTTAGCTGCCTGACCAGAAGTACACCCTGCTGAACTTCATGAGATTTACTTTTGAATATATATGTATAGGGCTGTGCTAATTCTTGCCTTCATCTGTTAGGTTGTAGTGCAGCTACATGGCCTACCACTGTCTCTGTAAGCTGCTGTGTGTTTGTGTCAGTTTTATAGATACATCCTAAAAGTAAAATGAATGGTTTTGGGAGGAGAGACCTGTGGTCCTCCAGATGTTGCTAGGCTACAACTCTCATTGCTCCTGGCTGCTCCTTATGCCTGTAACGGATGCATTGGTCCATCCCTAGTCACTGCTTTGTGTGTATGTGTGTTTTGTTAATGTTTTGTTTGGCTATTTCTACCTGCAGAGCGTAGCTATCTTCCTGCTCAGGCCTTCAGATCTCCAATCAATCCTATCTGACGCTTGGTTCCATTTCGCATTGTAAGTCATGCATAAGAATGCAAACGATTACAGCTCTGAAATAACATCCAGTCTTTCTCCGCTAAGTGGCTCATGGGCAATGCCTCTCTTTAACTCTGCCCTTAGCTCTTTTCTAATCTCTCTGCCAGCTCTTGATGTGATTTAGACATATAAATGTATATGCCATTTAAGGTCAAATGTGTTCCTGGTGCCAGGGCGGCTTTTAAGATGCTTAATACTAGCATCTTAAAAGGCTGTGCTGTAATTATGAATGGGAGAGAAATTCGATTGTTTGCCTTGAAAGGCCATCCTACCTAATTCACGCTTTCTGATACAATATGCAAACTGAAGCAGAAGCCACCCTCTGAAATCCTCACTCCTCCAGATTTCCTAATGCAGTTCTTCAGCAAAGGATTGTGTGCAAAAATGCAAATACTAGGAAAAAACAGGCAGAAAAAAGCATGTGCTGGAGAAAATAACTTACAAATACGCATTATATGGGGGGAATTGCATGCAAAAATGCATCTATTTCAGGAAATTTGCACTAAAATGCAGGTGGATTTCCATGTGGACTTTACAAAATAATAATCACAACGTAGAAATGCAGAGAATTAATTTTAGAATGGAAAATTAGAAACTGAAATTGACAAATGCCCCCCATCCTTAGTAGTTGTAACATACCCACGTCAATAAAGCCTCTACCTGATTCTTAATTGTCCAGTTTTCCTCACAAATGCAACTTTTTCCCTGTTGTGTCTTGACAGTTTTATACAAGCAGTCTTGGTTGTCTTCTCTGTCTGCTTGTACTTCTTCTCCTACAAAGAACACCTTGCGTGCCTCGTCTTGGCCATGTCCTTAGGGTGGGCCAACATGCTGTATTTCACCCGGGGTCTGCAGTCCATGGGAATCTATAGTGTGATGATCCAGCAGGCAAGTATGCCCTTCCAAGTTCCATTCTATATTTGATTGTGGCTGTCTGTCCACCATCTCCAGAACCCTGGTCTCAAAAGTGCTCGTCCTTCAGAAGGGCAGCTCCATTGCTGCATGAGCTGCTGCATGTCCTTACTGTTACTTTTTGTATTAAGGAACTTGGCCATAACCTTGGCTCTTCTAATGCCCATTTTTCCTTCTTTTGAAACAAAGCAGCCTGTTTTTGAGGGAAGTGCAAGAGCAGCTCCTGCTCTGCATGCAGGAGTTCAATCCCTGGCATCTCCAGGCAGGATGGGGAAAGATTCCCTGCCTGAAACCATGGAGAGCCATGGAGAGCCACATTTGATAACACAGAGATAGATAGATGATGGCTATGCTCTGCCTCTATTGGGCACACCATAGTTGCCTTTGACTGGGCTTAACCGTCCGGGGGTCCTTTTCCTTTACCTGCAATTGGAAGGAGGCGGGAGAGCTCTTGTGCCCGGGTCCTGCTTGCTGGTTTCCCACAGGCATTCTCTGGGTGGCCACTGTGAGAACAGGATGCTGGACTAGTTGGGCCATGGGCCTGATTCAGCAGGCTCTTCTTATATTCTTATGGAGCAATGGTCTGATTCAGCATAAGGATCTCTGAAGCACATCTTAATGCAGACAAAAAGAGAGAGCCAGTTTTGTCTTCACAATGTATCAGCATCCAGTAAAAGTGCTTTTGGGGTCAGCTTTCCAAATGCATATAGACTGAACACACTGATGCTGATAACTTGAACTACTGAAAGAGGTAGAGCGGTAACATGGAGAGTTTTGAGGTTCTAATTAACATGCCATTGTGTTTTCCTTTTCCTTTTATAGGTCATCTTGCATGACGTGATAAAGTTTCTAGTGGTGTACATTGTATTTCTGCTCGGATTCGGTGTAGGTAAGCAGAAATTGATGGTTATTATAGGAGGGTGGCAGTATCTTAAAAACATTTTGCATAGCTGGGATGGTGAGCTATCTAATCTTTGCTGGACTAAGCCTGCAGGACTCATGGCCCGCCTAGGTAAACACAGCCCTGCTCTGTCCAACAAAGCATTCAGTGAAATGTGTAAGCTTGCATCCTCTTATTGTACCAATATATGATTTGGATCTTCCACATGGCAGTTCATGCGGCCAAGTTGTGTCGTTTCCACAGAAAATCATCCTAACACTCTGCCCCATGTTATTTCTCCATTGAACCCAGATGTACCAATTCTGCAGAAAATGCAACAAGTAAAAAACACACACCACCCTGGGGAAATGGTAGATCCAAATTAAATGGGGGCGAGGGGGGTTTATGGGATGGGATTTTAATGGGGACAACATTGTGTGGATGGTGAACAAAACTTCTGTAGATGAGCGCATCATGTCTCCAATAGACTGCAATGTGGAAGCTTCCCCCCCAACGTTTTCTTCTGAATATGGGGTAAGATAAATGCAAGGATTGTGGAGTCTTTGGGGAGCTTGTCAACCATTCTTGACCCTCGTAATAACTCCTTGTAAACTTCCAGAAAAGCGCACAGGAACACAGAAGACATTCTACAAATATACAATATTAAAGGTGCCCTTCTCTCTTTCTCTCTTAAACACAGCCCTTGCTGCCTTGATAGATGATTGTCCTGAAAATAGTAAGTGCAGTAACTTCAGCACTTTAGGGAATGTCGAGATCGAACTCTTCAAACTCACCTTAGGCCTCGGTGACCTGGAGATCCACGAGGATGCAAAATACCCCATTCTGTTTCTGCTGCTCCGCATCTCCTTTGTCATCTTGACCTTTGTTCTCCTCCTTAACATGTTGATCGCATTGATGGGGGAGACGGTGGAAGATATATCTAAGGAGAGCGAACATATCTGGAGGCTTCAGGTTGGTTTTCCCATTACCACTGGCGGGGGGGGGGGACATATCCTTCCAGTCAAAATCTAAACCATGCCTGTAAACAGAATGTCAGCTGACAGCGCCAATCAGCTGATCGGCACAGCTAGTTAGTCCTCTCGCCTTAGCATGGGTGATCTCAGTGGGGCTCATCGTCAGTCCTCGACTAGCTAGTGGCTTCCGTTTGCAAAGGAACAATCAAGTATTCACTTCAAGCTCCAAATCCTTTTTGCAGTCATGTATGATATTTGGTGTGGGGAATGCAGACTTTGTTTGGAGAAAACAGGTCAAAACAGGCCCATGCTGGGCCTAATGCGGGTTCCCATACCTGCTGTAGACCAAGAGTGAGCACACCTTATGTTTGTGGGATTTCTTTTTGACTAGAAGTATGAAATCCACCCACCGATAAGCATTCTTAAAAGTTTTTGGGTTTTTTGTTTTTACATTATCTGGTAACATTTTTCTTCTTACCACCAGAGGGCAAGAACTATTGTGGAAACAGAAAAGATCCTGCCAAAATTCCTGAGGAGAAAATTCCAGCTTGGAGAATGGTGCAAAGTGGCAGAGAATGATACCAGGTTATGTTTAAGGTAAATCAGATGTTCAGAAATGGAAAAAGCTGCTCTGTTTTGATAACTGTGTCCTATTAGAGAGAGAAATGAACAAGCTCTACATGGCATGTTTAAGGGATCTGATAGTTTCCAAGCTGCTCTTTTAACTGTGCTGCCACTGCATCAAGGCTTCTGGTCATGGTGGCTATGTTCTACCTCCACTGATGTCCCATAGGGAAAAATCAAATACGTCCATCTCTACAAACTGAATTCCAATCTTGTATAAAAAGTGAAACTATGCTCTGAACCAGTGGTGGCCAATCTGTGGCACTTCAGATGTTGTTGGACTCCAACTCCCAGCAGTCAGCATCGCCAATGGTTAGGGATGATGGAAGTTGTAGTCTAGCAGCATATGGAGGGCCACAGGTTAGCTGCCCCTGCTCAAAATATGACATTACTTTTTTTTAATAATAATAATAATAATAATAATAATATCTTTATTGTCATTGCCCCCTTCGGGGACAACGAAATTACTTGACTGCTCCATAAAAACTCTAATTAATCAATACAGTATAATACAGCAAGGGAGATTAGATGACTTTCAAAGTCCGGGCTTCCCATTCAGGGCCGAGATCGCTCTGGAGAAGAAGCTGTTCTTAAGACAGCTCGTTCTTGTCTTCATCGTCCTGTATCTCCGTCCCGACGGCAAGAGCTCGAAGAGACAGTGACCAGGATGCAATGGATCTTTTACTATGTCCAGTGCCTTCCTATGGCACCTTGTGGCATAAATCTGCTCTAAGGTGGAGAGTGGGCAGCCAACAATGCTCTCTGCTGCCTTAACAACCCTGCACAACCCCATCCTGTCCTGGGTAGTACAGCTTCCGTACCACACACATAAGCCATAAGTGAGCACGCTCTCAATGGCACAGTGATAGAAGGCAAGCAGCAGTTTCTGCGGAAGATGGTTTTTCCTTAGTATTCTCAAAAAGTACAGTCTCTGCTGCGCCTTCTTCACAAGCCCCCTTGTGTTGACACTCCAGGACAGATCCTCTTGTAATTCAATGCCCAAAAATCTGAACGTTCATATACTGATTAAGTGTGCATCAATTAAATGAATACTGAGCCCTGATTAAAAATCTGAAAACATGAAGTGTTTCTGTCATGGTGTAAAAGATGAATCATTATAATGTGTGAATTCTCTAACTAGGATTAATGAAGTCAAATGGACTGAATGGAAAACACATGTTGCATTCATCAATGAAGACCCAGGTCCAACAGGTAAGAGTCATTTATAATTTTGGGGGTAATATTTTTTTTAAAAAGCTTTGTGGCCTTTTTGTCCTGTGTGTCCACACACACTCTAGGGGAAGGAACCTCAGGACCAGGGGCTGACTGAAATGTGGCCCTCTAAATCTCTCCATCTGGCCCTTGGGGCTCTCCCCAGCCCACACTCCTTACTGAGTCTTGTGTTCTTGATGTGTGATAATGTCTTACTTGCCTGCACGGGGGATGGAGAGATGTATGGGCGTACGTGTTAAACCTCTGACATTTGCACAACTGGAGTGTAGCCTCCCATCCAAGGAAAAGAGTCACATTTGTTGATCCACCTAGTTTTTCCTCTGGTTCCACCCACCACTGGCATGTAGTTAATTTCACTGCACACAGGTGGTATAGTGACAATAAAGGTTTATTATTTCTTAGTAGTGGTTCACTAAGTGGGGTGGGGCTGCTGTTGCTTACTAGGAGAGGCCAGGTGGTTGGCTCCAGTCCTACTGGGCCAGGTTACAAGGCCTTTAACAAATTGGGTCCAGGATACCTCAAAGGCCACCCAATCACATATATATGTGTCCTGATCACGTAGGTCTTCAAGGGGTGGGGTGGGGAGTCACAGTTGTCCCCCAGTGCCCGGATGCACAGATTGTATCCACCAGGAGCCATGGTTTCAGATTGTGGGCCAATTTTACAGAACTTCCTTCCAGCTGAGGTCAGACAGGCCCACTCCCTCTTAAACGCCCAGGGCCAACTGAAGATTTTTTCATTCTGGTAGGCATGTTCAGTGATTTTATAGTTTTAACTGAGTTAATATTCCTTGTGTTGTATTTTTGCAAACTGCTTAGAGACTGTTGTAGTTAAATGGTATATAAATTGTTTAAATAAGTAATAAATAGTGCAAATGCTCTGGTGCAGCAAATCCAGTGCTCCTAACTAGTATGTTTGCACGACATCAGCCTCCTTGCCCATCCCCTATTGGTAAGCAACAGCAACCTATCAGACAGGAAGCTAGCACAGAAGCTCCACCCTACCCAGTGCACTGCTTCTGGTGTAGACAATGCCAACCAAGATGTGTCAATGATCTCTGGCTAAGAATATAGCAGCTTCCCAAGCCCACTGTACACACAGAAGATGGATCACAGCCTCAGTGAATAAATGGGGCATGTGCTGTTGTACTTACATACACAATTTTATTTACGAAAGGTTTTTAAATGAATGTACTGGTGAGGTGGGGAAACAATTTTGACTATTTTTCTTTAGATTACAGCAGAATGCATGACGCATCAAGGAGTAATAGCAAGACCACTCTGAATACGTATGAAGAAATTTATGATTTGCCAGAAACATCTGTGTAACGAGAGAACACAAGAAGAGCCTACTGCATCAGGCCAATGGCCCATCCCAAGTCCAGCATCCTGTTCTCAGAGTCGCCAATCAGATGCCCCAATAGGAACCCCATAGAGCTGTACATTGGACTATATAAGACTATCTAGACTCCTAGCATAATCACAGGGGTGTGGGCAGGAAAGACATCTGCTGTTATTGCTGCTATTCCTCACACAGCCCAGCTTTCACTTTCAGAGGCTGGCTGAACTGGTTTCTTGTGGAAATGATAGGCAGAAAAGCAAAGTCATGGAAGGGGAAATATGGGCAACGACATGGAAAAGAAAGAGCAACTGGTCCAAATGGTACACTGAAATAAGATTTTGAGATAGCCCACTTGTGTGAAGGTCCATCTGCATAAGTTCAAAGAATGATTATTTGGTTGGGCCTCTGCACTCCAAATGGTAATATATTCCATGGACTGAAAACATTTAAATATTTGGTTAGGATACCACAAATGTTGCTTCTGTGCTTTGACCAACCACGTAGCTGGAAACAGAGTGCCTTTTCACAACTGCTGGCCCTCCATCTCCAAAACCAACAACTAACTTTTCACAACTCTGCTTTGAAAGTGTGCCAAATGAAACCTCAGGTCTATAAATATTTTAAAGATAGCTCTTTGTCAAAAGGTTCTCTTAAAGCTTGGCAATATGTGATACAGAATCTCTCTTTTGCCTTTTTGAAGGGTGCTGTTTGTTTGTTTGTTTGTTGTTTGTTTGTTTTTTTTACTTCCTATGAAACCTTGAGACTGTTGGTTGTACTATGGGCAGGAGTGGGCAAACTTATGGGATCTACTTCTATTTTTACTAGAATCCCTTGGGATCTATTGTCTGTTTTTTACTAGATCCTTGAGATCCACCAACTAGAGCCAGGTGCAAAAGACATATGCTTAAAAGAATACTGAAGCTAGAAGTTTTTTTAGGTCAGCAGAATGGAACAAAGTTATGCATGAAAACCCACTCTTGGTTACCTCTATGCTCTCTTCATTTCAGCAGTATAAATTAAGGGCGGTGCAGGGAGTCATTTTGTTGCTGCTATTGTTGCTGGGAGCTGGAAATCCTTGCCAATCTACTGCAAATGGCCCTGAGATGTACTAGTAGATCGCTATCTACCTTCTTCCATCCACCTCTCTACTAGGAAACAATGAAGAAATTATGACACACAAAATGCATTTCAGATTTGAAGTGAAACCACAGTATGAAATCTTCAGCACTAACCATTCTGAGAGTGGTTATTCTCTCAGACCCTTCCTGTGCTCACCTGGGTACCTGCTTGCCCGGGTGCCAGAAGACAGTACTGCGGAGGGAATGGATGGGAGGAGCCACCTCACCTCGTGACTTTAATAGGAGATTCAAAAAGGTGGCCAATCTTATCCTGCGAAAGGAAGATGAGCACATATCCAAAGGGAATATTTTATATGTGTTTATGGTGTATATGTACAGTATTTATATCTAGTCATTCCTGCAGAATGTGCCTTAATCCTCATGGATAATTACTGAAGAGTGTTCTTGTTTTTATGTTGTGAAATTATGAATGATGGTTTGTATGCTAACTAGATGTGTATGCACACATACACAGAGACACTGGTGCAGCAATAGCCCGGCATATTTTTCCGAAGACTATTCTAAAGGCGTGTCTTTATGGATGTTGTACCCTTTTGCTTCCCAATCAGCACTTTAGAGCCAAATGGCCATTTGAGATAAGTCTTCCAAAGAACAAAAAAAGAGGGAAAAGATAGAAACTATAATATGGTACCATTGTTATGCTGAATGTTATGACCTTTATTTAAATATTTGTTATTCAATGTTTTTAAGAAAAAGATATTTATTGTGAATAAGAGAAATAAAAAGGATACTTTTATAAACATTTGATTCTCATGTTTTGTTTAGTTGTTCCACAAATCACATTAGCACCAATAAATAGCAATCAAAGAACAATGGGAGCACATTCTATAGAGCTTATAACCCACCTATTCTTAGCAGCCAGAAGCCTCATAGCTAGACACTGGAGAGAACTGTCAGGAGTAAACATGGACCAATACACTGAAACTGACACTGGAACAAATAGAAGAGGGTGCCTTCACCCCAGTATGGCTCCCCTTTATCAAATACACAGCCCAACAAGGCAGCAACAAGAATCCACTGACAGCATACAAATCCATCTGGCGTACCTGACCCAACAAGCCCTCCCCTCCCAAATAAATAGCATGTGCGCACATATATATATATATATATATATATATATGTGCTAAGCACAGAAGGTACCATGGAACCAGTTCATTGTGCCCTTGGGCCCCCATTTTTATTTCTCACAATGCTCCAAACTGTCCACAGCTAATTCTGCTGCTTGATATTACCACCACTGCCAGGTAAGCCTGCCATGGGTCCATTAAGATAGACGGGGTGTGTTCAGGCCTGAAACCATCCCTGCATAGATAGACCCCTGTTCCATTTTATTAACCCCAAACTTTATAAAACAATTTTGAAAAAACAGAATGTTGGACTTACCGGTATAAGTACCTTTTCTGCAATGGATAGAGGGGATAGTCGGTTGAGTTGTCCCTCAAGAGCACAAGTATCCCCTCCTCCCCACTAGAAAAATATTGCAATAATTTATTTATATATCCCCAGGGCTACCACTCTGATAAAAATCTGAACACACACATATATGCGGAGGAGATCATCCTCATGACCCAAATGTTTTGGCTCATAAGTCCACTCTCACTCTCACTGGAAACCTTTCCCCAACTCCAGTTCCAGATTAACCTCCCTAAATAATATTCAGATGTGACTCTATTAAGAATGCTACTCTGAAGCCGCCAAGCCCATTTCTCCGTGTTCTCTGCTGTTTAATGTTAATGTAGTATCCAGTGTCTCTCTGATAAGGTACATTTTGCTACTAACCATGGCAGGCAGGATTTCAAGAGGTGAATCTTGTAGGTTAAGCCAGCCTCATATAACTAGTATGCAAGCTTAGCCTAAGCCACTTCCCCTCAGCTTAGAAAACCAAGCCTTTTATTCTATTTAGTCTGCATGTGAATTTGGTGTGCGATGAGCTCTGAGCTGCTCCTTCCAGCCACATGGCTTTAACCAGCCTATTTTGTTTCAGACAAGAATGAAGTCTGAAACTAATGTTATCCTACACCAATAGTTTAGGAACTTTTACCATTTTGTAACCAAGCAATGTTTTACTGCCTGTGCAACTTTTTCTGGCTGCTGTATGGAAAAGTACATGAATCTGGCATTTGAAGAGTTTTGTAAATAATCCATTTTATAGCTTACTAAACGTGTGGTCTACCTGTGTGCTAGAGAAGTGGAATACTTTGGAAAGAACCATTAAAAGTGGTATACTTGGGATTCACTAGAAATGACACATTTTAAAGGTTTTACAGCCTTTATCTCCACACTTTCCTTTGTTGCATGTTTTGCTATGTTAAATCTCTGTTGGGGTTCTCTCACCAAAGGGAGCTTGCCCCCAAACTGTGGTACTGGCTTCCAGGATTTCCAACAAAACTTCTCCCATAATAGCAGCACTTCCAGAACTTGAGATGCCCTTACTGGTGTAAAATACAATATAATCTTTACAGGTTTAATTTGTCCATTGCCTCTTCTGCTTCCTCAGTAATGGCCATGAAATATCTCCATGTTCAGCTTCTTGGGGCATAACACATTAAATACAAAACATATATTTCTGTTATTAAAAAGTGCTATTAATTTAAAAAAATATTTAGCATTTAGTATTTATAAAAAAAATACTAAAATACATTCATACTAACAATGCTTCTGAATGTTGATTGATCATATTGCCTTCAAAGTGCTTATTCCTTAAAAAAATATCCCTTACCATTAAATATTAAAGTCTCTGTCTGAGTTACAGCCTATGAGTTCTGGCCATCTTGAGTTAGAAAGATCAAATGCATCTGTAATTGGGTTTCATCCTAAGTTTTGAAAAAGTTAAATGAAAAATTATTCCAGTTCTAAGAGACACATGCTCTGATCCCTTCTGCACTCAATTTTTCTATTACAGTTTTTACAAAAGCTTGTTGCTTTTCATAATAAGCAGCTTCATTCACAAAGGCTGGATATACTATCACGTCTCCTTCGTATAGGATTGTCTTTCCTTCAAGAGTTAAAAACATAGGGTCACCAGGGTTGAGAGGCTGCCAGTCTTGATCCTTGTGGGACAGGGGGGAAACAAGAAGATAAAAACACAGTATTTTTAATTACTGCCTATCTTGTTAGCCTTCCTTTATACTGGAGTTAGAAACCTCTTGCCCATAGGCTGATATTGGCCTGCCAAGGGGTATTTCCTGTTTGGCCACTTCCCCAAACCATGCTCACCTGTCCATCAGCTGATGTCACCCAGCTTAATTCTATGTTAGCTACACCTGCCAGTGAACTGGCATACTCATCTAATCTCTTCCTCATGAGCAGGATTGAAGTCTCCATTCATCAGCTGATGAGCAGGGGGTTAAATTCTGCTTGGTTCTGCTTTGTCAGTGGGGGGGGGCAGTGGGGGGACTGCACTGGTGAAGTGGACTGCTCTTCCTACCCACAGGTCATGATGTCATCATGATGTCAGATTGTCATCTGACAGGGGGGTGACCATGGCAATCTGTCAAAGTTCAGATAAAGATCTGACCTGCCAGGCCAAAAGTGTTCCCTCACCCCTGATATATATTCACATCTAGCAGGCAACCATAAACTATAGTTAACAGTGGAAAACTAATGGATAAGGGAATTTGCAGGGGGTGGGGGGGTGGAGGGAAAAAGCCTGCAAGGCACTTGCTGTCTTTCAATGAGGATTATATCCAGAGCAGGCCCTAGCAAGGCCCATGGGCTCTCATGCTTGTTTCCAGTGAGCAAGATTTGTGCATGAAATGAATGTGCGACTCAAGAATCAGCCATATGGGAGCTGATTCAAGACAGTCACACACTCATTCCATATGGAATGAATCATGGTCCTTTAGTAACTTTCCTGTTAACAAAGGGGTATTTGTACACCAGATTCCGACATTGCTGTTGTTCAAGGGCAGGGCAGCGGACTATATATCTGAAGAGAAATGGCATGTGTTTACCTGCAGGTTAGGGTGAATGACAGCCATGATCTCATTATTTTTCTTTCTTGGATAATCTACTTTCTCCATTATTTTGTAAACTTCAATTGTACACCGAGGGAATTCTTTTCCTAGGGAGAAAAAAAGAGCAACGTCTCCAAGTATTATGTCAAACAGCTCTTAGTAATTTTTTTTTAAAGAAACTGAATCTAATGAATCTTTTTATTGACAATGTTTGAAGTCATTAAGATGGTAGCTATCTGTATCTTGTTAATATCATAATTAGATCTGGTCACAGGAAAATGTTTTTCTATAGATCGTCTCACTTCAGAAGATTGGGTTACTGAAAGATGACCCAGTTATGCAGCGATGCATGAAAGTCAGATCTAAATTTTATCTGAACAGCGAAAATCAGGGACCTTAATCACAATATACAATGCATAAAATATATTCTGCAGATGATAGAATTTAGTAAAATGCTTCCTTTTGTCAGCATCTTATGAAGTTTAGTAATTATATTTCTCAGGTGCCATCAGATCATACCTTCAGAGATAACAATAGTAGCTATTGTCAGTGGCTATTATTGTAACTGTGAATGAATTTTTCAAATGAAATATTATTTTGTACTATATGGTATTGTGGCATTCATGCTGTGTAGGTACACAAATAAAAGCCTGCTTAAAACTGTGGATATATTTATTTAGGCCCAGGTATATGGCAAAGGATGTGTGGGATTTAGTCTTCAGTACAGCTTTAAGAGACAGCTTTAAGATTTAAGATTTAGTCTTCATTTTGGCCACATGACCCAGAAGCTGTACACCGGCTCCCTCGGCCAATAAAGCAAGATGAGCACCGCAACCCCAGAGTCGGTCACGACTGGACCTAGTGGTCAGGGGTTCCTTTACCTTTACCTTACAGCTTTAAGAAGATTCTCTTGTTAAGTCATCACTGTGAATTCAGGTGGTCAGTGTTAAAAGACTTGGAGCCAAATAAAGTGTAACTGAGAAGCATTTCACCAAGACTGCAGAACTACAGTGCATATTTTTACAAAACAGCAAGGGTCAACTGCCACATCACCAAGTAGCCCAATTCAGGTTAGTCAGATAATGTTGAGTATTACTTGGAAAAGAAAAAAGGGAGTGGGATGGAGTGGAATATGCTGGAAGAAGGCATGGCTGGCATCCTGAACAGAAGCGCTCCTGTTAGGAGGGACACTGCAAAAATCTCTTGTGATTGCTATTTCCTACCAGCACATTAGCAAACTACTTGATGCTTGCTTAATACTGACAACTGCTATACCTGCATTGAACATTTGCACAAAGTCAAGGCCATGCTTGATGATCCTCCGCATTTTGTCCAAAATGTCAGCCCTGAGAACTCCTTGGGGCTGAGGACCCACTTCAATGCCTGCATAAAAAGTGAAGGATATATCAGCTTCCCCTTCCTCTTTAGCACTATCTGACTGGCATTATACCCTTTCCCCCCACATTTTTTGTTTCAATTACTGTATACATTCCCAGTTATTTAAAATTTTCCTTAATGCATTGCACACATTTTTTATTTGTTCAAATGGGGAAAGCAGTTGCACAGTTTAGGGACCCAGGTGCTTGCCAAGCATACCTCCATGCAGGGTCTGTTCCCCAGGAGAGAAGCAACCACGGCTGTGACTGCTGTTACCACACTGGGAGTGGTGGACAGAGGTCAGCATCCAAATTCTATCCTCCAGGCAGAACATACCCAGTTCTTTGCACCCTACTTCACAGGGCTTATTTTGCATACCCCTGACCATATCCATTGCCCTCCTCTAAACATCCCAATATTGTCTTTTATCTTTCTTGAAGTGTGGCACTAAGAATTTGGTCACCTCTGCACCCTACACTTAAAGCACTCTTATACCACTTTGACAGCCATGCAGGGTCTTGGGAACTTTGGTTTGCTCAGGGTGTTGAGAATTGTGAAGCTACATTAAATCAGTATGCTTAGAAATCTACAGCTCCCAGGAATTATTTTAGGTAAGCCACAAGTTTTAAAGTGCGACAAGAGTACTTTAATGCAGGGTGTGGATGTGGATACTTTGAGTTTGGCCCTCAGATGTGGTTGCCAAAAGCAGATTGGTGTTGCTGAAAATAACTAACTTGTATGACTCAATGAATCATAACTTAGGTACCAGCCTATCTGGCAACACAATTGCATATATTTCATCTCTGAGGACTGGGTAAAGCTTATAATGTTCATATTTACCAACAGGATGTTTTGCTATAGACCGGGTCGTTGCATATTTCAGGTTGGGATGCTCAATGAGGAAAACAGGGCAGCCTTCTGGAGCCAAAGCATCCTGTGGAAAATATTTGTTTAAATATTGTACTTGTCCAAACATTAATGCTGAGTTAACAGAAGACCACTAGTGCAAAAGTTGGCTTATGCATTGTCCTCGACTGTTGTCTCATATTGAGCTGTCTTAAAATAAGTAGGCCATCTTTAGAAAAAGTACAAAGCAGTGTTTGTTGGTGATCTTTCTCTTAGATCACACAAAGTATGCTTCACTGAATTCTGTTTTGTGATAATATAAGTGAACATGATTCCAGCATTAAATTATCAATGAGAGAAAATTAATGTAGCAGTGCTCAAGAGGACCAAGCATTAAGCTGCCTTTAGGGCAATTTCCCATCCCACATCCTTTCAACTCTGATTTAGGTTTTCTTACAGGAAAAAACAACAACAACAACCAGGATATTTGTAGCTTAGCTATATGACATTCTTCACATACTGGCCCAGTTTGCATGTCACATTAAACTGTTGTTTTAAACAAGCAATGTTTTAATGCAAATGAGCAGTACAATTGAGCACACTGCTCAAATGTTCCTGCAGTGCTCTCCTCCGCCACTCCTGCAGGGGAAGTAACATTTAAATGTCTTATGTGTGGTGAATTTAAAAAAACACAGAGCTCAGCTCTTCATCAAATCACCTTAAACCAGATCCATAATGACTTTATGGTGTTTTTTTAAAACTAATTGTTACTTGTTCCACTCATCTGTCTTACTGATGTCAAGTGAACCCTTGTGAGTGTTGGGGAGAGGAGAGGAATTTGCTACAGAGAAACCACACAGAGAGACATACCCTGCCATCTCCAAATGGTGCTGAACTCAGTAACCTGGCTCTTTGGTGCCAGAGTGAGCTACACAGTTCACACATAAGAACATAAGAAAAGCCTGCTGGATCAGTCCAGTGGTCCATCTAGTCCACCATTCTGTTCTCACAGTGGTCAACCAGATGCCCACTAGAGGAAACCCACAAGCAGGATTTGAGCACAAGAGCACTCTTCTCTCCTTCCAGCAACTGGTATTCAGAAGCATTCCTGCCTCCAGCTGTGCCACGTGAAGGAAAAGATTATGGCATTGACATGTTAAAGTAGAAGAAATGTGCACTAAATGCTGGTGAATTTCAATGCAGACTTTAATAAAAATGCAAACTGATATGGAAATATGGAGAACTGAAGAGTGAAAAAATTAGAAACTGAAATTGACAGATTCACTCATCCCTATTTACAACCAAATATTAAAAGCAACAATTAACAGCAAAATTTAGTCAGCAGTATACAGTGGTACCTCAGGTTAAGTGCTTAATTCGTTCCGGAGGTCTGTTCTTAACCTGAAACTGTTCTTAACCTGAAGCACCACTTTAGCTAATGGGGCCTCCTGCTGCTGCCGCGCTGCCAGAGTACAATTTCTGTTCTCATCCTGAAGCAAAGTTCTTAACCTGAGGTATTATTTCTGGGTTAGCGGAGTCTGTAACCTGAAGCATCTGTAACGAGAAGTGTATGTAACCCAAGGTACCACTGTACAGCAAAACAAAATATTTTTTAGAATTCTTTTTTTCCTGGTCAGTTAGCAATGCTCAGCCACATACACCTGTAGCCCTTGGCCCTAGAATGAGGTAGAAGAGCTAATTCAGGAATTAAACAGAAGGACTGGCTGGCCACAGACTGGCTGACAATAGCTGTGATTCCAGTGCTGGAAGCAGATGCAAGTTATAGGGCATGGAATATATTAAGGTTCCCTCCCCCTATCTTCACGCTATGCCATATTAGAGGGAGGGCTGTAGCTCAGTAGTTGAGTGTCTGCCTTGCAGAGGGTTGGACTAGTTGACCCTCGGGGTCCTTTCCAACTCTACAAGTCTATGATTCTAAGTCCCTGGCTCAATGCCCAGCATCTCCAGATAGGGCTCCCTGAAACCCATGAAAGCCACTGCCAGTCAGTGTAGACAATACTGAGCAAGATGGGCCAATGGTATGACTCAGTATAAGGCAACTTCCTATGTCCCTATGATCTCTGGGAATTTGGTGCTGGTTCTATAATGCTCTGAATTCAGCACAGTTAACTCATGTGGGATTAGAACTTTTTACCTTTATATAGCGACACATCTGAATTGTGAAATCATCCCTGGAGTTTTCCAGTATGATGGTGCCACCCATGTTAGCTGTTGTGTTGTGCAGGTCAAAGATAAGGTCATAAGCTTCATGGCTACCTTTTGGACCAAATATGCAGTTTATTTCTTGAGCCCTTCTCACTTCGTACGGAGTGTTGTCTGCAAGCTGTTCGCTGTTGATAAAAAGTGCACACAAATTAAAAATCACTTAGCCATTTGCTCCTTTTGCAATTAAAAAAAAGAAAAATAATTAACTCTTCATTTATCTGGCGCAGGATACTTATTCTTCCATTTGTATGTGTTTCTTTAATGTCAGAATTGGTGGCCATCAGCAATTTGCATGTGTGTTTGTCTCCTTCATTACTGACAGCAGCGTATGGCCTGCAATGACTAATACTGGTAATTGCTTAAGAACATAGGCAGCTATTGGAATTTTGTAATCCTTCTTCACACTACAACAGAGAGCTGCCCTATCTGTATTTAAACAGAGTTGTATTTTTACCTTTGGCAATGTGCTGTGGCTGCCTGTGTGCAGTGACATTCTGAACAGTCCCATGAAGCTAGATTGCCCAGGAAGTTCATTTCAGGACACATGGGGAAAAATGACACTGGGAGCTCAGATGAATAGCAGCACTTTAATTTAACACACGCACAGCAATGCTGGTACTGATTCTCATTAAACCTTTATGCTGGCAGTTTAGCTTCCTGTGAAATTAGCATTTTTAAAAGGATGAAAAAGCTAAATAATGCACATCATTCTTAATTTGGTTGTTCCCTATCTATGCAATGTGATTGCACCCTAGGGATTCAAAGGTTTCTTTTTTCACTGGTTCGCTTTCACACAAGCCCTAAATGCTTGCAGGAGGTGGTTGGTTGAGCCATGCTGGCAAACCACCCCTTTTGATGCTGGCATACCCCCAACAACCACATTTTCAACTGAAGGGGTTCTTACGCATGTACAGGCTTGCACATAAACAGAAACCTTGTGCAATCAGGGTTCGAGAACATGTGCATGTCCCTATGAACATACAGCTGCTTACAAGTAGGAGCCCATTTTATGCATTGATCTGATTGCATGGATTTGGGGGCATGGGTACCTAAGATTGGGGACATGGCTTGCTGGTATACTCCACCATCTCAATGTGATACATCTATGAAGGCTGCCTAAGATTCATTTCAAATTGACTTTAGGAGTGTTCGAAGGCAGTGGGCAATGATTGTTTTCCTTTGAATGTCAGGTATACACACATGTGAACTGCCACGTAGCACACTGCTTTGGAAAATTCAAGTTTCAAAAAGGCATTATTCATCTGGCAGGATGACTGCTTGAGAAATGCACAGCCAAAGAATCCTTGAGTGCCCACTTGGAGTCTTCTCACCCAACCTCAGGGATGTTTCTTGCAGACATAACCGCTTCAACCCTGTGGACTTATGAAAACAGGATTTCTACGTGTGCTGCTGCTCTGGATGTGGAAGACTCCAGCGGGATAGGGAGAGAAACCTCACCCTGCGACTGGATAACACGTGAGGAACATTTGCCTTACCCCAGAAGGGCCCCTCTAAGCAGTAGGCATGTATTTTCCCCCTTTGAGTTACAGCTGTTTGTGCATAGATGACTGCTGCTCCTGTGGTCAAGTATTACAGAACAGTGCGACCCTATAAATGTCTGCTCAGAAGTAAGTCACACTGAATTTAGTAGATCTTACTCTCAAGTGGTGCTGTGGTCTAAACCACAGAGCCTAGGGCTTGCCGATCAGAAGGTCGGCATTTCGAATCCCTGCAGCGGGGTGAGCTCCCATTGCTGGATCCCAGCTCCTGCCCACCTAGCAGTTCGAAAGCACGTCAAAGTGCAAGTAGATAAATAGGTACTACTCCAGCAGGAAGGTAAACAGTGTTTCCGTGCACTGCTCTGGTTCACCAGAAGCGGCTTAGTCATGCTGGCCACATGACCCGGAAGCTGTCTGTGGACAAACGTGGGCTCCCTTGGCCTATAGAGCGAGATGAACGCGCAACCCCAGAGACTGGACCTAACGGTCAGGGGTACCTTTACCTTTACCTACTCTCAAGTAAGCAGATGCAGCGTTGCAATCTTAAATGCATGCACATTTTGTTGTTGTTTAATCGTTTATACACTCAAACACACAAGGCAGAGGTTAGGCTTACCCAAGTCTTTTAGGATCAAAAACCCGATTCAGGTCGCAGTCAATATATCGGCAACATTTCTCCACTGCTCTTGGATTGGTGATAAAAGGCCGTACCTCCAGCCCCGGTCGCTGAATCTCTGTTCCATCATCCTGCCAGTGCTTGACCAGGAATACCCCAGACAACTCATTGCCGTGGGTTCCTCCAAAGATAGCGACCCTTCGCACAGGACCCTCTCTTGCTACAACTGGACAAGAATTCATTCTGTGAAACAGCTTTAATGACAGCTGTAACAACAAACCAAAACAGAAAGGCTAGGAATAAGAACAAGTGACAAAAAACAACAGAAATTGACACAGAACAAAGCCACACAAAAAGGTTCAGATTGCTGTGATGCCTACAGCTCTCTGGTCTGCCTGGAATTGATGTTATTTGGAAAATAAACATTTCCCTAACAAGTCTTAGATGCTTATTCTGCTACATGGGTGTTCCCCAACTAACTCTCCTCCCAAGACCGGCCCCTTCTTTCAGCTATATTTGGATAGTAATATGTTGGAATCAGCTTTAAGAGTTCTATGGTAAGGCTCTAAGGGTGGCAGAAGGTTTCTTCTCTTATAAGTGTTTTTGTTTGTTTGTTTAAAGGAATGTGTGCCAATAGACATACTAAAGATACTAAAAACGCCCTTGGATAAAAAATTGCTAAGAAGGCTAAGCATTCCTCTCTATCACAAGCAGCAACCATACTTTCCTCTGGATAACTTTCTATTTCCGCTATCAAGTTTTTACATTTATTTTATCCTGAAATCTCTCTCTTCTGCTCAGATTGCCTTCCAAATATCAATAATATCCAATTCACAGAGACATGTTGTTAAAAACAACACAGGTTGAAACTATTTTAAGGGGAGCAAAACTGTCAGAAAGCCAAGGAAATGAAAAAGTGGGTTGCCTGGCACCATATATTTAAAGTATTTTGATGTCACTTTAAACAGTATTGGTTTCCCCCTCCCCAAAACTTTGGGAGCTGTAGTTTTTTAAGGATGCTGAGAGATGTTAGGAGACCCCCTAGTCCCCTCCCAGAGCTACAATTCCCAGAATGATTCAACAATCAAGCTCTTCACAGAGAACTCTGGGAATTGTAGGTCCCTGAGAGGAATAGGAGGTCTCCTAAGAACTCTCAGGACCCTGAACAAGCTACAAAGGGCACAAAACAATGGCATAACACAAAACACAACAATACCAACTGGCAGGGAAATAATGGTGAGAAATTCAGTTCAGTTCACATTTTGATCCAAATCCACTTAATTCACACTTCCCAAAACAATGCAGGTACTGAAACAGAGCAAGCATTCAAAATTTGCATTTATCAAAATTCTACATAACAGTTCCCCAACCAGAAACAAACAAAATGTTCACAAAAATGTGTATATAAGAGAGAAGTTAATTTCATTGTACACAGGTTGTACATTGATAATAAAGGTATTATTATTAATAATAATAATAATAAATTTTATTTATATCCCGCCCTCCCCAGCCGAAGCCGGGCTTCTTCTTCTTCTTCTTCTTATTATTATTATTATTAAGTGTCATAAAATGAATATATTACTAAAAATAGCATTAAAACACATTGTATTAAGGGAAATAGATGGCAAAAATAATTGCATTTTAGGAGAAATTGCACACAAAAATGTGTTATGTTAGGAGAATTGCACACTTAAAATGCTGACAAATTTTCATGAGTTGTTTTTTTTTTAATTAAAAAGAATTATCAGACTTATGCAAGTGAAACATAGGTCTGGAAATGTGCTGACTGATAAAACTGGGAAAAGAGAGAAGCAGAAAGAAATTGAAATTGACATAGCCATCCATCCGTAACCCAAATGAGCATGATGCAGCTAGCTCCAGATGAAAGCTGGCAGCCATGGAAAGTGGTCCCCTTATTGATGAAGGGTCTTTGCTGGAGTTTGCCTCACAGTCACGTTCTGTGCAACTTACACTGAGCTCAAGGAACGCTCAGCTTGGCAAAACCCGGGTGGTCCTACCCAGCTGGGAGGCTGAAAAAGCTCCTCTCCTTGCAAAGCCATGTCCCACAGAGATGCAAAAAATAATTGCCATACCTTCGGTGCTTGTAGAGGGATGAATGCGGAGGAAGATTTGCCTCCCTACTATTTGAATTTATACAGCAGTGATTAAAAACAAACAAACCACTCACCTATGCTGATTCTGTTAGAAGATATAAAACTAGACAGCTCAGCCACGGATTCAAAAATACACCTCTTCTTACACCACCAGCAATCTATTCACACCATCGGCTTCACATTACCGACTTAATAGTTACTGAGGCTGTCGGTGTCTTAATCCAGACAGAGACCGTTTCTTTTAACTATATTGCCTCGACTTTCCCTGCACCCTGCCCTCAAAGTTCCTAGAGAAATAACTGTGATGGTAGATGATTTCTTAAGCTACGATGGAGCAGTTACACTGTATGTCCAAGTACAATCTGTACTGTCCTTTGCCCTCATTTCCCCAAGGCTGTTAATTAACAAGCCGCCAGAGCCAGTGAATCACAACAGTTGTAAAGAGCTGGAATAACTCGGTGCTTTTGGAACGTGCACAGGGTGTTTTGAGGGTCTGCGGTGGCCATAAGTATGCCACGATCTAGCCTCTGTTAACAGGCCAGAAAGAGAGAGTCTAAAACCCCTTTCTTACTAAAGCCGTGTGAAAAATGGAGGCTAATTGTTTTGATGTTCAGCATGCGGCAGGGTTTGCTCTCAGGGGTGGGTGAGAAACCATCCGAACAGAAGACACACAGCGCGTTTCCAAACACAGTTCAGGGCAGATGCCACAGAAACTCCCTTTCCGCTCATAGCACAGGTGGAGTTTGTCCAAAGAATATTCAAACTATCCCAACAGGACACAAGACAATAGAAGCCAGGCCTTTTCTATTATTCCTTTGGATTGTTTTTATAGCGTTCTATGCAATGCTGTAAATGTTATTGAGCACGGCCCTGATATTTTGCATGAGGAGGCAGCCTATAAATGCTTTTCGAAAAATATATAAATGAATAAAAAGCCAAAAAAAGGTTTCCTTAAGGAACCTGGGGGCTGCCTGAATATCTGGCATAATAAAGGGTTTGTGGGGCAGCAAATTCTCTATTACACCAGTCTTAATTCATTTATAGTCGAGATGGAAAAGGAGTCGGGGGGGGATACCTGAAGTATTATATACACTATTATTTTTATTTTTTTAAAAAGCTCAGTTTTGGCCATTTTGAAGAAATCAAAAGGACTTCTGGGGAAGGAACATCATATTAATTGAGAGTTTTCTAGAAAATGTGTCAGTTGGCCAGAAGAAAGGAGATCTTTTGAACGTTTCAGGGGTCCTGTGATGGTCATTTGTTTTAACTGTTCTTAATTTTGAATTTCAAACTGTTGAAACCCGCCCTGCAACCTGCTGGTCAAGGTGTGGGGTGTGTGTGTTAATAAACTTAATTGTCATTATGATCATCATCATAACTGGGGTGTGTGGTAAAACAAGAGGTGGGGGAAAGGCAGCATTAATAATAATAATAATAATAATAATAATAATAATAATAATATGATGTTATGTGGGGAATTGTGTTGACAACCATCTTGGCTACTCTGCAACTAGGAGAAAGACAAGTGGGAGGGGGGTAAACAACCACAAAAAATCTGATAATATACCAATTACATAAACTGCACATATTTTAAAATGTTAACAGTTGATAAGATTGGTGGTTCCGCTGCTCTGACCTTTTCTCCTCAGAGACTGAGGGGGGCAGCTCTTGACATCACTATGCAAACAGGAGGAAGGAGAAACTCTGCATTTTTCTCCTTATGTTTTTAGTACTTAATACTTTCAGTTCTCCTCCCTCTTTCCCCTGAAGTCCTGCTCTCTCTCTCCTTTTCCCATTTCTGCTCTTTTCTCTCTGGAATTAAAAGTCCGAAGGAGAGAGATTTATCTCCTTTTGCTCCCCACCCCCAAAGAATCTCACAGGAAAGGAGAAACGCTGAAAGCCTGAAGGAATTCCCGTCCCCCTCACCCCCAACTTTAAAAGTCTTGTGCTAATTCTTAAAAATACCGAGTGCTTTAGAAATACTTGTAAATAAATAAATAGTGGGTTTAGGCGCTATTTCTGTCTTTCTCTCCCTTGTCAGCCTTGTGCCACCCTCACTTTCACCTCATGATAGTGGAGTCAGGCATTTTCCCGCCTTTTTTACCTCATGCTTTGGCACTCCATAACTAAGCAATTTAGGCACTTTTCCTGCCTTTTCCTCAGATAACCATTTCTCTAAATGAATTTAAGCACCCCCACACACATACTTTCTTGCCTTTTGTAACCCCTGCCAGCATCAAAGCTTAAGTGTTTTCCCGCCTTTTCCACTTTTTCCACCTCATGCTACCTAACGGATTTAGGCCCTTCCCTGCCTCCTTCTCGTCCCCCTCATTAACCTGATTTTAATGGATTGTAGGCAAATTATTTTCTCGCTACCTTCCCCTTTCAGCTAGATTTAGGCACTCTTCCACTATTCTCCCTCATCAGCGTTGCACTGATAGATATAGGCACTTTCCTGCCTTTTTTTCCTCTGTCAGGTTTGCGTTTAGGCTTTTCCCTCCACCCACCGCCATTTTTCTTGCACGGAGCCATCAACCTCAAGCAAATGGGTTGAGGCACTTTCTTGCCTCCTCCATTAGCCTCGTGCTTGTAGACAGAGGCACTTTACGATGCCAGCAACAGATGACCTTTTTATGTTTGCATTTAAGCCTAGTTTTTCCTCATGATTTTTGTTTTCCAGCCAGCCTGGTCACCAGTTCTGATTCTGTCCTCACCCTTGCCTTTTAAAATCTCATTATTCTTTCTCTTCATGTGTGTTTCTGCTAAAAAATAAGACTCTTGTAATTTAGTCAGTCCTTTAATTCCCCCTCCTTCCCCTGCAGCTAGAGAGTTGTACACATATGCAAAAATGTGACTTAAACACACACGGGAGAAAGCAATCCAACATGTTAAAACAAAACTGAGCTTGGTTAGAAACTAGAAATTCCAGGTTGTTTTCCCCCTCCCCCTGCGCCCAGAAAAACCCTCTCAATTGCATTGTAAGACATGATTTATAGCTCTTCTCCTAAACTTTTATTTTTCCCATATACAGCCTTGCCAGCCACAGAAGTTATGAAAGCTTGGATGTGTATTTATACACAAAGTGAATGACGGGATTATTTTTATTCTGCTTAAACTAGGTAACAGTTTAATCTCATCTCACTCTGTTCTACCTAGGTTTGCATGCTATCCTTCATTTTTAATGGACATTAGTGCACGTGGTTCTCCTCTCATTTTATTATCACAACAACCCTGTGAGGTTGGTTAGGCTGAGAGACAGTAACTGGCCCAAGGGTCCCTCAGTATTTTCCTCAAAAAAATATTTTCCAGTTGCATTTTTTAAAAAAAGAAAATGCACAAAAATGGTCACCGTAGGGTTGTAGCCAGTGTTTGTCCTAAGACTTATTGGAATTCATGATCAAGACTTAGATCAATTAATTTCAATGGGTCTACGATGAAGAAAACTTAGTTGTTATTAATTATTGAATTTACATATCACTCTAGACCGGGAGGTCTCAGGGAGGTTGACGGAACAAAATCAAATTATAAAACCACAAAATATATAATCAAAATAAAAACAACAAACCAATAACCCAGCGGGTTGGATGCAGCCCATAATATCTACCTGTTATATTTATCAGTCACCTCGTGCAAAAAGCCTCAAGGTGATGCGCAGTCTCATATGAAAAAAACATTAAGCACAATTAAAATGACAGCGATTCAATCATGGAGCCAATGTCCTAAACAGACAATGCACCCTGGATACCAAATCAGCTTTTTCTGTCTATGTGTATGGAGCACTGTGTGCCCTAAATATTTTTACACGTCTTTAAAATATTTAAATATGATTTTATTAAATGTATCTTTTTTCTTACCGAGGAGTTTGCAAATAATAAGCAAACAAATAAACGTTTATAATGAATCCTGATGTTACCTGTTTGATCAGTAGAGTATTATCTACGCAGCATACTGGTGGGAACTTTGCTTGTTGTGTGTTTGCATCTATATAATGGGTAGGCAAACTAAGGCCCGGGGGCCGGATCCGGCCCAATCGCCTTCTAAATCCAGCCCACGGACGGTTCGGGAATCAGCGTGTTTTTACATGAGTAGAATATGTGCTTTTATTTAAAATGCATCTCTGGGTTATTTGTGGGGCATAGGAATTCATTCTTTTTTTCCCTTCAAAATATAGTCCGGCCCCCCACAAGGTCTGCTGAAAAAGTTTGCTGACCCCCAATCTATATATTATATTTTTAAATTTAGTACAATCTTGTTGTAAACTACTGTGCTTAAATAATGCACTACAATTCTCTTAAAAGCAATGCTTACATCACCCCTGGGAAAAGACGAGTGCTCAGTCATTTATCTTTTTGTGTGTGTGTCTAGGTATTGTGGAAGGAGAAATGAAGAGGACTTTAACTGACAGTTCAAACCGCTCTACTGCAGGTATCAATATTGCACTAGTACTGAATTTGAAAATTATTCCGATGACTTGATGAAATGCCTGTCATGGTGGTTCAGGTGGGGGAACTTTAGAGATCCAGGGTAGGATGTACAGCAAACGTGTGGCCCTCCAGACATCTCTACCTGGCCCTAGGGACTCTCTCCAGGCCATAACCTCTGTCCTCAAGCCACACTCCTCACTAGACCTGCCCTTGAGGGTTTGAAATACTGGAAGTACAGTATCTGCGGCCTTCTGTGGCATTTCTGCATGCGGGAGGTGGCCTTTGCAGGTGGGGGACAGTTCAAACTCTGCCTCAGAGCAAACTGTTAGCTTGTGTTTGTGTGTGAGAATCAATACAAATAATGTTATGAGAATAATATCATAACATAATATACATATTATGTTGTAACTTCGCATTTTAGGCTACTTACCAGTCCCACTGTTCAATCAGAAAAAAAGGAACAGGCAACCACTCACTTCAAACCCACTTAAAAATGAGCTATTTACCACCAAACCATCTGAAAATGTGGATTATTCTGCCATGCTAGCTGGTAAGTGGAGGACAATATTGTGTTTGTGTTTGTGTGTGTGTGTGTGTGTGTGTGTAAAATACACAATTATACAACTGAAATATCTGCAGGTCGCAGGACTACTTTCTTGTCTTTACTAATTATGTGGAACGCTGACATTTAAACAGGAGTTCTTGAAACTCTGCCCTTTTTTCTTTCAGTTCATATCATAGGTCCATGTTACAGGAAAGGAGAATTTCGGGCGCACTATTGTAGAAGATATATCTGTCATCTCTAATATGCTTGAAAAGGCTACTGTGCAGAATTTCTGCCAGGATTAATTACTATAATAATAACAGTTAATCCTATTTTATGCTGGTCAAAGGGGAGGGGGAGCTTTCTTAGCAAAGAAACTTCTACCTCTCAATTGCCTTGTGGTTTCAAAATGCTGCCTTTGGAAAATGGTAATGTACAACAGTGCAACCGTAAAATAATTGCTTACCTAGCTTTTCTCAAGAAGTGCATTCAATTTGGACCATGCAAACTACTGACGCAGAAATAGGAAACCGATAGATTACACCGACAACTGCTTATAAACAATTATATTAAGAGAGCACAAGTTTGGCTGTGGCTATTAGCCATGTTCAGTCAATGTACCTCCAATTTCCAGATGCTGGGCGGAAACAAAGCAGGAGATGATTGTTGGCTTCATGTCCTTCTTCTGAGCCTCCGGGGATTTCTGAATGGCCATTGATGGAGGCAGCATGTTGAAATAAATAGATAGGCCCTGACATCTGATCCAGCCAGGACTTATATCACTGGTGCCCTTTAAATGTTACAGGAGTGCTGTAGGGAAAGTACCCATGTGATCAACCCAGCCCACATGTCTGCAGGGCTGTCAGCTTCAAGAGGAATGCTGTGAAAGAATCCGGGGGAGGGGGGGGATGCCTCCCCTTGTGCTTGTTATTTATTTTACTTATTTATTTCCAAGCGGGACCTGCAACAAAATGTTGCATTGTAAAATTCTCGTATTCAGGGTTTCTGGCCAGAAAGGCAGCCCTTTTCTCAGATACAGTGGTACCTCGGGTTAAGTACTTAATTCGTTCCAGAGGTCCGTACTTAACCTGAAACTGTTCTTAACCTGAAGCACCACTTTAGCTAATGGGGCCTCCTGCTGCTGCCGCGCCGCCGCAGCACAATTTCTGTTCTCATCCTGAAGCAAAGTTCTTAACCTGAAGCAGTATTTCTGGGTTAGTGGAGTCTGTAACCTGAAGCGTATGTAACCTGAAACGTATGTAACCCAAGGTACCACTATACTCCATTTCATTCTTTATTCTGTCTTCCTGGTTTTCCATTCCTGCCACCCCTCCGCCTGACACTCAGCATTCCTTTCCCCCTGAGCAGGCTCGAACCTCCATCAGCCACATTTCTGAGACTGCTCACAATAAATAATTAAGAACATAAACATAGCAAATCTATTGGAAAATGACAGATATGTCTATCCCTAACCTGTAATAACTTTCACCATTAGAAGGGCACCTGAGAGCTCTTATTTTGGACAGTTATTGTCACAGTTCAAAGTTTCATGGGATTCCAGGCACACATGGAGATTACTGTGAAAGATGAAAGTGCAATTATCTTCAGTGTTGGAGAACTGGAACTTGAAGCACTACTAGTTCAGGGTGGGCATGTGATGGAATCCACAACACTGCGATTATGAGGAGTGCAAATGCAATTCGCATGTATATATTTTTTCAAGCTCACAAACAACATATTACCAACATCATGAACTTGATTTCAATTAACTGTGCCCTTTGACTTTTTAAGATTTTGAATGGGAAACTGCAAAGCCAGAACCAACTCGATTACAGAAAACAATGTATGTATGGAAAAAAGGAACACATCTTAAATATATTAATCCTCCTCACTGCAAGTATATTTTATACAGTTATATTCCTGTAATTATATTTATTTTAAAATTATGGAAACTGATACTGTATGATTACACATATGATTTTTACAAGCATCTGTCTCTTCATCATGCAGTGTAAGCTCTAAAATTATGTCCTTAAAGCCCAGCAGAGCTTCCTGTTCCACCTTCAGTGTTAAGACACCCAAACGCACCAACATCAGCTGTATCACAAGCAGGAAAGAACTTCAACAACTGGAGGTTGGTTGCATCCCCCAAAGCGTACAACTGCTTCCAGCTGAGGTCATAATATCATTTGACATGAAACTTTGCTTCATTGGAATCCCTCCAGGTGGATTTTGGAGTTAAACCTTTTTGTGCTGATGAAACAATTCACTCTGCCTATGCTTCAAGTTCTGCCCTTTGGACATGAACTAGAAATGCAGCATGGGTGGGGAGGAATTCTGTAAAAATTTAAGGTGCAACAACATGCAGAGGTTAGACTAGATCACTAGTCTTCAATTGGTGGGTTGGAACCCACTGATGGGTTGCAGCCTGATCCAATGTAGGTTGCAACAGAAGAAGAAGAAAAAAAGTTTGGACTTGATATCCCTCCTTTCACTCCCCTTAAGGAGTCTCAAAGTGGCTAACAATCTCCTTTCCCTTCCTCCCCCCACAACAAACACTCTGTGAGGTGAGTGAGGCTGAGAGACTTCACAGAAGTCTGACTAGCCCAGGGGTCAGCAACCTTTTTCAGCCATGGGCCAGTCCACCGTCCCTCAGACCATGTGGTGGGCCGGACTATATTTTTTTTTGAGGGGGGGAATGAATGAATTCCTATGCCCCACAAATAACCCAGAGATGCATTTTAAATAAAAGGACACAATCTACTCATGTAAAAACACGCTGATTCCCGGACCGTCCGTGGGCCGGACTGAGGCGGCGATTGGGCCGCATCCAGCCCACGGGCCTTAGGTTGCCTACCCCTGGACTAGCCCAAAGTCACCCAGCAGCTGCATGTGGAGGAGCGGGGAAGCGAACCCAGTTCCCCAGATTACGAGTCCACCACTCTTAACCACTACACCATGCTGGCTCTACTACCATGCAAATATATGGGAAAAGATTAAGTATGGCCAACGGTCAGGGTTGATGGGAGCTGGAGTCTAGTAACATCTGGAAGACCCCACATGGGCTCTCCCTGTTCTAGGTATTTCTGGGAGGAATTAGAGGAAAGGATTTCAAAATGCTGTTGGGTTTCTAAATGCTTGTATACATATTTTGATATATTCAAGCCATATCAACTATTTTCACTGCAGACTAGAGGAGAGAAACAACACTTGGAAAAGAAACAACTTCCCAGCTTTGGGCAGTGGAACAGACAACAGGAAGGGTTCACAGCTTGACAACAGTCCAGAGTGTTTGATGGGAACTGGATCAAAGCAACAGAAATCAGCTGGCTATTCGCATGGTAGCAAGGCAGGAGGAGCAGAACAAAGCTATCCAGCCACAGCCCAGTGGCCAGCTGGAAAGAACACAGTGCCGAGGGGCCCACAGGGTCAGAGTACATCGTATACATTTAAACCCAGCCCTTTACAACAAAAAGTTAACGAGAAAAAAGCTGATAGTGCTCAAGATGTCAAAATCGTTCAGGTAACATTATAATACACATGTATTTAAAAAAAAAAATGTTTGTGTGTTCCCCTTCCCACAAAACCTATGTGGGTCTCCAATGCTAGTCCTACTCAGAGTAGGCCCACAGAAAAGTAATGAGCATGACTAACACTGGCCCATTCATTTCAATGGCTCCACACCGAGTAAAACTTTGTTGGATGGGACCTCTAATCTTAAGTAATCTGCAACTTAAGACAGTGGTTGACTTGTAAATTATTTTACATCATTCAATAAAATCAAATTGCTTCCTCAGCTGAATTACCTGTTTCCACCCACCCCACCCACTTTTTAGCATATTGTATACCTTTTTAAAAATGGGGTTTAGATTTGGGTATGAGACAACCACATAAAACATTTTGCAAGGAGCTACCAAGAAAATTAACCCAAACAGAGTTACACCCATCCACCCAGTGCTGCTGGGTTAAGTGATCTGCTCTCATAACTCAGATCAATCACCAAGAGTTAAGACAAGATGCTTAACATCAAAGAACACCTGCTGAATAAAGCAGCTAAGTTTTTCTGCCATGCAGTTTCACAGAACCCAATGAAAGTTCTTTTAAGGACTCAGCTAGATTGGTAAAGAAAAAATGATTTATATGTGTTGTATATGTGATATAACACTGTTCCACCAGATGGTGCTGTGGAGTCCCATTTTTCCCTACGGGATTTCCCTGTGTAAATTAACAACGCATTTAACGGAAACGCTTCTTTGATGTGTCTAGATCCAGTCTAAGAATAAGGGGGTGGGGAAAAACATTCAAGAGCTTCTGAGCATGTTCAAACTGTGAGCATGCGGCTGACTTTGAGCATGGCTGAATGAAAACCATGCAGGCACAACATCTTGTTTCAACTTTCTGAGCTAGAGAAGAACTTATGGAGGAAAATGGTGCTCAGTTCATAGTACAGCTGACCATTACATGCTGGACAAATTTCTCTACCAAACCAGGTCTTTGGGGGGCATATGAGTTGTTCATCTTGTGCAGGAGTGATTTGTTCAGATCATTTCTCACTAAGAGGTCTAGTGGCCTCCACACTAGTCCTTGAAATTGCCCTGGAATGAGTACAGTAAGCCCACAACTTATGTGAGAGTTCGGTTCCTGGGAACTGTGTGCAAATGAAAAAATGCATAAAGCCAGGAAGGCCCCTTAAGCAACCTGTATAAAACCAAACATAAAAAACCCAGCACTTACCAGCTCAGACTACCTTCCCCTTGCTCACAGGCCAGCTCCACTTGCTCTCTGTGCTTTTGCTTGGCCCTATCTTACTCTCCAACTGTGACAACAGCTGAACACTCTCCCAGGCTGAGTGCAATGGCTGATCGGATTGCCAATTGTCATTTCCTGCTCTCCCAACTCCTTCTGACATTTTTTCTACTCATATTTTGATTTCCCTCATTTTTCCAATTTATTTATTTATTGATCAACCTGTGTAAGTTTGTGATCGCCTAAGAAAAGTGAGTGTAAGTTGCAGGCTTACTGTACCTCAAAAACTGCTTTGCTCATCCATTCAGGGCAGAAACATGAAGTCCATTTTACATTCTCACTCCCCACACCCACTGGATCTCAAAAACAAAGTTGCATATGACAGAAAAACATTTAAAAATATATAATTCCAAGTATTGGAGCAGGAACTCACCACTGTGCAAAGGTCTTTAATTGCCTCAAGTTCTCTTTTTGTTTTCCTCTTCTGTGTGAAAGAAATGGCCAGCGGCGTTTCAAGCAAAACTGCAGGAAAAAGACAATTCTCTCAGAATTATATCTGTAGTCATTGAAAGCATGAAACACTGGAGTCAGTATACGAATAAAGTGCCACTGTTATTTGAGGTCTTGGGTAAGTACAACAGTGTATTGTTTTTTTCTACACAGAATGCTGGTGCCAGGATGCCAAGCACAGACAATTAAATATATATTTCAGACCACAGCATCAGCTGCCTGGGACCCAGCACCCTAAGCAAGGCACGTTGCTGACACCTATCTTGCTGCCAACATGCTTTGCATTTTTTTTCTCAGCCTGGTGCTCCCAGCAGACCCAGGAGCTGGGCCAAGGCATTGTTTTACTTTGTTGCAATGCCTCAGAGCAGGGGTGGGAAACCTTCTAACTCCCGAGGGCCTCTCATTCCCTTCTGGGTAAGCTTCCAGGGGCCACATGCCAGTGGTAGACAGGGTCAGAGGCAAAAGTGAGCAGAGCAACAGTTGTAAATTTTACCTCGGTACTGTAGGCTAATATCAGCGCATACTCAGACAGCACCTCCTTCCAGCCACCCAGAGTGTCTGGGGCAACCCAGCTAGATGGGTGGGGTATAAATAATAAAATCATCAGCATCAGCATCCAGGCGAGTAAAGAGGTATTATCAGAGTTCAAGGACACATTTCCAGCTGAGCAAGAATACCCAAGGAGGGTGCAAGGCAGGGCTGGTGAGGGGCATGGTTTGGCAAGAAGGGGTCTGGCCTAGGAGGTTCCCCACCCCTGGCTCAGAGGAACACTGCTTTGGGGCAAGTGTAAACAATGGCTAGATCCAACTGCCCAGTGCTGCTTGGGGCACTGCAAGTGCCCTCTACTCCCTGTCACTGCTGCCAGCAAACTCAACAAGAGGGCACTTTGCACAGGTCTACCTCGGACCTGAGAATCGTGTCTAGATCCTGTGTGAAAGCATACAACCTTCCAGCTCTCCAATTCTATGACACATTACCTGAGCTTCACTCACAGGGCCGGCTCTAACATTAGACAGAGTGAGGAAGCTGCCTCAAGTGGCAGATGCTGGGATGGGTGGGTATGGAGAACAGCAGCAAAGTGTTGGAGGACGGAACTGTGGATGCCACACAGCCTGAGCTAACCCATAGAATTCAAATTGTAGTACCCTAGAAGAATAGATTGTCATCCCACTTCCATCTTTGTACAAAATCAACCAAACAGACCTTTACAAAAAGCCGTTTATGTTATCGTAGGACACCATGGGATACAATTGTTAGTGTAATCCTGCTCTATATATTTAGGCGTCCTGGATTCTGCAGTCACCCCTGGGCAGTACGGGGCCAAGACTTTCCTGTTGAGAGACGGGAAGGAGAGCATGCCATGTGTATTCTATGAGATTGTAAGTGTTTTGCATGTTTATTCAATCGTGTACTATATGTGCTACAGAAGCTACCACTTCTATTGCAATAAACACCTGTGCACCATTGATACAAGTAGAGGGATTGAGGCCATGCCCAGCAGGATGATCAATCAGGGAGCTTCACAGGTTCCCCGAGTGTTCACCCTGTTTTTCTTTCATAAGTCATTACACATGTCAAATGCATACTCATGGAATATGTGGTCAGTCCTAAAATTTCACTGATATACAAGTAGCATATAAAAATATTTTCAAAACAAATATTATTTCTGTAGATTATTCCAGTTTATTTTGACAGCGGAACATTTAACACCTATGCAAACCACTTAGAGGTTACGGATGATCAAGCAATATATAAATCCTGTTAAATAAAATAAACACCTTACATTGACATTTACCAGCCTTACCATTGCAACTGTAATTCTCCATAAACCATTTTTTAAATAATAATAAAAACTGAAACAGCTTTGTTGATATGAGTTAGATTGTGGGAAAGAAGCATGAAGCTGTTGTTTAACTACAACAAAAAGGAGAATTCCAATGTTACTGTTACTTTAAAGGAAGGATAGCCAATGTGTTGCCCTCCAGATGCCACTGGGCTCCAGCTCCCATCATTCCTGACCACTGGCCATACTGGCTGTTTGCACTGATTGGGAATGGAGTCCACAAGCAACTGGAGGGCCCCATGTTGGCTCTCTCTGTCCATTGCTTAGTATTTCATGCTAAGGGTTGGGAGGTCTTACCTCTTATTCTTCTTGCATAACAGGACCGGGAGCTGCCAAGGTTAATCAGAGGTCGAGTCCACAGATGCATGGGAAACTATGACACAAAACGCAAAGTCTTCAAGTGCGTCTCCGTCAGACCTGCAACGGTTCCTGAACAACAAACTTTCCAGAATTTTGTCAAAATTGCAGACACTGAGATGAGCAAATATGTCAAAACAAGCAACGAAGTTTAACTTACACACATATACTAGGAACCATAATATGGGCGTAATGCGAAATATTTGCTAAAGCTCATATTTTCAGCACCGATATGAAAGCATCACCATAACATGTTACCTAAAATAAAGTAGTTCTGGTTTACATCCGTTATGCTTTTCAGTCTGGGTAGCTTATTTAGGATTTCGTCCAAGCCTAACAGCTCAAATCACAAGGGCCATACTCAGCGGATAGAGAACTTGCTATTCTTCTGTTGAGGCCTCAGATCAGGGATTTCATGTAGGGCAGGGATAGCCAACGTGGTGCCCTCCAGATGTCCCTGGACATCAGCGTGGCCTGCCGCCAGGGTTGATGGGTGTTTGGTACCTAGTAATATCTGAAGGGCATCATGTTGGTTATCCCTGATGGAGCACATCCTCTCCTAAAGCTATGGAGGCTAGACAGTGACTGATCACTGCCCTAATTGCCTAATGCATTCTAAAAGGCAGCACTTTGCAATATAAAACAGTGCTTACCTATTTTAGCCAAGATGCAGCTACAAGTAAAAGCCCAGCAGATAGGTTCTAAATAGGGACAGCCTTAGGTGGTATCATAAACATTAGGAAGAACTTCCTGACAGTAAGAGCTGTTTGACAGTGGAATTTGCTGCCAAGGAGTGTGGTGGAGTCTCCTTCTTTGGAGGTCTTTAAGCAGAGGCTTGACAACCATATGTCAGGAGTGCTCTGATGGTGTTTCCTGCTTGGCAGGGGGTTGGACTCGATGGCCCTTGTGGTCTCTTCCAACTCTATGATTCTATGATCATTTAAGGAAATGCAATGGAGCCTCGCAGAGGGGCTACATGGCCTCAGTTTTAAAAACCCACACACATTTTCAGTGGATATTTACTTATTTGATTCAGATGATTTATATACAGTACCATCCTTTGCCCAAGCCACAGGGTGGTTTTCAACAAACCAAATGGGGGAGAGGACCCATTGAAATATAATGCAATTCTTAAGAAACACATTTCAACAAATCAGGGAGCTCGGCTGGAGTCTGGAGTGTTGCTAGGTGCTTAAAAGGATATGAGGCACACCTTCATGTGACCCAAACACACATAAAATTTGCACCTGTTGATTTATATGGTGAATGGCTAGGATCTCATAAGTATTTTGCAGTGTGCCCAGTCACCCTGTATGTTTTTTTTTTTAAGGGCTTTTTTTAAAGGGTATGGTTATGGAGCTCAGTTCAGAAAGTCTGAGGCTCTGGCTGCCTGCTCCACCCCCTAACAACTCCCCTGCTTGGAGTCTAAAGATCCCACTCATCAAGTTTGTCTACTTTGCATGCACACCATATATTTTTAAACACAGAGCTTCCCCCAAAGGATCCTTGGAACTGTAGCTTACCCCTCACAGAGCTACAGTTCTCAGCACCCTTAAGAAATTACAGTCCCCAGGATTCTTAAGGGGAAGCTGTGTGCTTTAAATGTGTGGTGTGTACACAACCAGAGACTCAGGAAGGTAAACACCTCATTAAAAAGAACGAGGTATAAAATCTCATAAAGCTGCTGAAGGAACCTTAAAATCACATTTAAAATATAGTAATCTTCTTGTTGGCATCCATCTGGGCACCTCTGGGGGTGAAGTTAAACAACTGCATTAACAGCACCTAAGTGACCTCCCTGGGGCACAAGCCTGGGCAGTGTGTTGGAGGTCCTGGGCTGCCCAGATGGCAAGACTCGCCTTTCGACCTCACTGATGTGGTCCAAGGAAAGCAGAACAATAGTTATCATCTACATCTAACTTTGCCACTAAAGCCGATCTTACTTTTAGAGGCTGAAATGTCAGAGGCGCTCAGGGAGCTGAGGACTGCTGAGAATGCGAAAGTGTTCTCTCTCAGCGGCTCAGGTGTGTGTGCCTGCGCGCGTTACTAAGGAATATCACAAAGGGCTGCCAAGGGAATATCAGCACCCAATGGAATAAAATGCAGAATGACAAGAAAACTTCTTTGCATCTCCCTTTTTCTTTTTTTCAACTGCACAATTTGGTCTCCTAAACACCAGTTACTGACGATAATGGAATTCAAGAAAACTTTCCCGCACTTGCAACGTTTATGGCCATTTCATTCAGAGTAACTGCAGCAGAAACAAAGAACTGATTTTGCTACTGTCTCAAATGGATTAGAAGTAATAACAGAATCGATACTAATTCAAACCTATTGCCCTTTTGCATTTTCAGTGCCGTTGTTCTAAGAAATTACTCTGAGTAGGCATCTTTTTAAAAGATTCAAAATCTATTTCATGCTAAGAAAACAAAATGCTTTAAAAATTGGCTTTAAGTAGTAATCAGGGTAAGTTATTTAAGAGTCAAATCCTCAGCTGCCTGGAACGTTTGGTGGAAACCTACCTCAATGTGTGCTATTCTTTTAAGATTTGTTTTAAATACTAGTGACCGTGTTAGATGATATTAAAGGCTTTATTAAAACAAAAACAAATGAGACACATGGAATTGCATGGATCTGAGCAGTGGCCTGGGATGGGGCTGCTTTCCTATCTGCTGGGGGAAAAGAAAAGGCATGAAGACCCTGTTTTGTTTTTTCCTCCTTGCAGAAAAAAAGCAATGCTTGGGAGTGCCCGACTAATATTAACAGAGAGTTCTTGAGGAAATTAAAATGGGGGCTCATAAAACCAGCTACTCAGTGAGAAGGGCCCAAGGCAGGTATCAGCACTGGTGGGCTCTGCTGGATACCAGCTGTTGGTTCCAGGTTTGCATGTTCCCTATAACAGAGCTGGAGTCATTACCTGGCATGTACATGTTCTGAATATCCGTTCCTCATTGCATAGGCTTGAGGGTTTTTGTGCTCACAGGATTCTTGGGGGGAAACGATGTTAATCTTTAAAGATGCGATTGTCAGATTCCTTAGTTTCTGGCTGTGTACACACTGCACATTAAAAGCACACAGCTTCTCCCAAAGAATCCTGGGAACTGTAGTTTATTAAGGGTAATGGGAACTGTAGCTCTGCGAGGGGTGAACTGGGAAGCCAGTGCCTTTATAAAGAGTGCAAGCCCGCACTGGACCAAGACAGTCATGGCCCACCTGCCACGGAGGCTTCCATAAATGCTCCATTGCCATTTTGCCCCATCCCATCCACTCCTCCTCACTTAACTCAGCATGCAAGGTTTTGCAGAAATGAAAGCAACCCCTACTGACAGCATGTATCGCTTTATTATAATAATACAGTGTTGGCAAATCAGAAAAATTCACATTTCAAATCATTGGAAGCATTTTTATTCCACAAGTCAAATACAGCCAGGGGGTGTAGGGTGAGTGGGAAGGTAATAGTCTAAAAAAAGGAGGCACCTGGACAAAAATACAAGGAACCACAGTAATGGAAAATACAGCTTTTAGTTACACATAAAAATTATATTTTTATATTTTTTATATATTTATATACATATTTAGAATCAAACTTGAACTTGAACCAGTATTTTTTTTAAAAAAAAGAAAAAGGAAATTGGGAAGCTATTATGCACAATTTAATTTACAAACTGTAAATGTACTTGTTTGTAATTTCTCAGCACTAGTGTAAGTATTGATATTTATTTTCCCAAGGGCAACTTTACAATAATATATCCTTCTTGTCTGTTTTGGATTCAGTCAATGAATGATTGCATTTGTATGTTACAACAAACCACATCACAATAAACCATGGTTTATGGAGAAAAGTCTAGCCTTCATGCACTCCCTTTTCATCTTCCTCCAAGGAGGAGCTCAGAAGTGTTCAACTCTCACTACTACTTAACCAGAGCTTGCCATGCGATCCAATCTTAACTATGGTTTGTTTCAAACATGCCAACTTCCAAACATCCTTTATGAAGCTGGCTTGTTTAAACAAACCGTCATTAATATCCATCTTCCTTGTGGCTTCACCAACATGGAGGGAGGGTAGGATTATTCTTGAAGTGATAAACGATAGTCTATTGAGATGGTCAAATGCAGCCATTGTAGTTGTGCGCAGCTTTGCACTATGAATCTCTGAGGGTGCCTTGTCTCAACCAAACCACGACGGCCAAACCACACCTCCATATTTCTCAGTGTACTTGCCTATTATTAGTGTTTTAGACTAAGGTACTGCCTTTAGGCAGAACGCAATTAACCCGTGCCATAAAACAAGTTAACTAGAATCAGGCAACAACTTGTATGTCTAAACAAGCCATCAACGGGATGAGCTGTCAATGTCAAGGTCTGGCAAAGCCAACTGAAAACACCACACACCTCAGCGGAGACAGCTCATGTCTCAAAGCAGAGCCGTTAAACTTAGAAGAGTGTTCCCCAAATTTCTGACAGCTGTAGACATACCGTAGTTGTTAAAATCAGAGGCAGGCTGCATTTTTATACCTGGAAAGGTTTGCCTTCAAGAATTACCCACGGTCTCGGAAGCACATGCTCACCTGTATTTCTGTGTAATTCATTAAGACTTGATTCTAGCTTTGAAGGGGCTGTCAGAACCGCAGCCTCCCACTGCTTCTCTCCTACACTTCTGCTCTTCCCATGAGAAATGTGTGCCATCTGAATTTCCTGCAATGACTTGGATGTAACACCGGAGGAACAGAGAAAGCTGCCTGCTACCATATCAGACCAGCAGCGGATCCAGCTCAGTGTAGTCTGCACTGTTTGGCAGCGTCTCTCCAGGGGTTCAGAGGGCGGAGAGGGGGTATTCCAAATCCTGCCTTCAGGTGTTATAGGGGCCTCCTGCAAGCAACTTAGATGCTCCAACACAGAGCTATGCCCCTTTGCTCCAGTGCACTGCGGGAAATGTAAAAGGACAGCTATACCTGTGCTATACCAGGAGAGATCCATGCCACCTGGGTCTTCGTTGGGGGTGCTGGAAAAGGAGGCACAGAGTAGGCACAACTGGAGGGTGCTGCTGGGGTCTTGGCACTTGGCCAAAGATGCTGGGGCAGAGGTACAACAGGGAGCCTCCTCTGACGGAGCGCCACGTGCGCTGCATCTCTTGTCATTGCTGAATGCTCTGAATTGCTCCTGCTGTGGAAAATGCAAGGTGGCAATGCCTTCGGAGACATGATCTGCAAAGAAGCCCCATTCACCCCTTGGTTTGGTCCCAAAAGCAGTGTTTTGTTTACTAAGGCTTCTCACAGCTGGTTTCTCGCT